TCACCACCAAATGAGAATATGTACTTAAAGATATGCTACGAGTTTTTCGGGTCATTGTTTATTTCCTCGTGATTCAATAAATTTACAATAAGAAAATATCCTACTATACTATTTATTAACATAAAAATAAATGGGTATAATTGAAGATTAAACTACACGTTTATATTATTTTTAGGAAAATAGAATGATAATGGATGAAATAATAATTTTATAATATCATTCCAAAATTCAGCTAAATTTATAATAAAATAATATTGGTATCTCATTAAAGGAATGTACTGGAAAATTTAATTGCTTAAGAATATGCCTTTTTTAAGTATCGCAAAATGTTTATCATTAGGCATAGTATAAGCACATATTCAAAAATTCTGAAGATTTTATTGATATAATGGTATTATATTCCTATTAAGTATCCATCATCAATTAAACAAATAAAGCAATTATAAAAGAGAGCCAGTATAATTCGCAACCCATGAAACAAATAGTTAAAGTACGAAACCTATAAGAGAAAAAAACACTTATGATCATACAAATATATGTAACAACCTGCAAATGATACTCACGTTAATAATAATTTTCGGCAATATAATTTATCCATCAACATTAGTTAAAATAGTATTTCTTGCTATTCAATATATTGACCAACGTGTATAAATTTGAAAAGATTAAAAACTTCAACTAGTGAAGGGTAAGAATTTTGTCATACCTCTTAATAACTACAAATTAGAAGCGTATTAATTTTATGTATGAATTATATAAATAATTGGTTTTATTTTTTGAAAATATTATGATTGGCTTTTCAGTGTAGTGGTGTCTGTAAGCGTATAAAATATCCCTACTTTTTTAAATTATCCGTGGTATTAATACGTTCATTCTCATGTCACGTGTCGTGAATCCAACTCCTTAATATAATGAGACTACTTCAATACACTAATGCTATCGATCAAATTTTTTTTTTTTTTATTAATCAACTAAAAATGGAAGTGACATTTTTTTTAGATTTGTTTTTTCCTGGCTATGAAATAGAAATTAGTTATTTATATTAAATTTATTATAAATAATTAATTTACTTTATTTAAAATATAATGTATTTACCTTATTCAGTGTAATTTGTTTCTAGAAGCGTATGAATGTTTCTACTTTTTTAAAAAATTATTGTATACCGTATATTTTATATCTTGGTGCTATGTCCCATGCACATAACGTCCTGATATATGAGACTGACTTCATACACAAGCTAATCAAAACCAATATTTCTTATTACGATAAAAAATGAAGTTTTTTTTTTAAATTTATTTCCGTGTCATTGAAATTAGAAATTATGTATTTCTTTTATACTCATATTATTATAAATGAATGTTTTGTTATTGATATTATATATTAACTTATTTAGTGTCTATGATTTAAGCGTGTAGATATCTACATTTTAAAAATTAATAATACCCCGTACATTCTTGTATCTCGTGTCCCGTCCTCTCTGCGAACTAACTCCTAGTATGAGATTAATTCAATACACCAAGTAATCGACCGATGTTTTTTTATTATTATTAATAAATAACTGTTTTTTGTTTCCTAAAATTTCTTTTTTGGTGTCAATTGAAATAAGAAATTAGTTATTTTTTATTTTAATGTTTATTATTATTAAAAACGATTATTTCTTATTTGAAATATAATGTATTACTTATTATAGTGTAGTATATTCTAAGCGTTCAATGGTCCTACTTTTTTAAAAATTGAATCATATCTCATATTTTCCAAATTTATATTTTAATTTGTTTATTATATATATTTAATAGTAATCATATTGTTTATTCCACACTTTTAAAGTAGTAATGGATTACTATTAATTTTTTTTTTTTAAAAAAAAAAAACTGAGAATTTAGATGATCTTGCGAAGATTATAGTCTGAATATATATGTGATGATAAGATTATTTATTATCAAATATAATTAAATTGATAAGGCAAAATGTTTATATTAGGCATAGCTATAGCACATATTCAACTGAAGATTTTATTTATTTATCCATATATAACAAATAAATTTAAAGAGTATATTCGAGAACAAAATAAGACAGAGAAAAAACATGTCTACAATATGTAAACCTGAATGATAACTCACTAATAATAATTTTGGCAATATATTTATCCAATCAAAGTAATATTCCACGTGTATTCCACATGGGTAGATTTGCATACCCGTTACCAATCATGTCTTGCCATTCTGGATTTATTCACACAAAGTTAAAATGAAATAATTTTATTTATTTTATTTCAATATTTAGGGAAGCAATATTAATTCAGCAAGCAAAGGGATCGATTAATTGGTAGTACAAAGCAACATGGTCACACTCATTTTGTAAATGATGAAACAAATGCCATAACAGCATGTTTAAGCATGTTTGGGGACAAAAATTATGCATGTCTTGTCACATTATTAATTATTTTTTTCCACTTGCAATTAATTTTTTTAATGGTGTCTGAAATTATTTAGAAATTAATATATTCTACATAAAATGTAAAATTTTATATTAATAGATTAATATTGTATATTTTACTTTAAAGAAAACAAAGAATCGAGACTGCTTTTTAAAGCACAAGACAAAGATTTTAATTTCAAGCTCAAAACTGTATTTTCTATCAATTCTTTTCTTTTTCTTTTCTTTTTTTTCATTGGGGACATAAGATTTGATTCTATTCAATCATTAACTCCCATCTAATGAAAAATGATTGGCTTCTTTATTCAAAATTTTAATGACAGCAAAACAATTTGTTCATTGAGAAAAAGGTATCTTGAAAAGGAATTTTGCTAGAGGTAATCATACGCATAATGCATATAATGTTCATGCACTGAACTGATTAACTAGTGCTGATTGCTTATACATATAAATACATATCATATGGCTGTGATAGTTCAAGTAGGTAATAAATAATAAAGGAAGAACCAGTTGTTGTGTTGTTGCAAGTTGCGAAGAACCCACATGGCCATGTTCTTATATGGAAGAGTCACGCATGCATATGAGAGTTACTGATGCTGAATTCTGATAGACATGTTTATGCATGTCTCTCAGTCAAAATAGTCATTCAGTGGCTAACATCTTTTCAAGGGACACAACTAATTTCACGTCTCAGAAATATTTTCAAAAACATATTTGAATTGCCTCCCCGATCTTCCCCTTTTTTGTTTTTAAATTTTTTTTTTTTACCCTATAACTTGTATCTACTTCTTTAACCAAATATAAGTTGGCCCCTCTAATTTTTCATAATTTTATATTTATCTAAGAGTTTAATGTATGTTTTCTAAAATATGTCTTGAGCCACTCTAATTTTAAAAATTTTACTTTTAGATGCTCCAAAATTTTTGAATTTTTTCCTTCAAAAGTATATATAATGTCCCAATTTCTCAATAATTTCATACCTACATGTCATTATAACCCATTAAAGTAGCTCAACTCAGAAGACAATTTCTGCAAGATTTGAGATCCCATACGTGAAAAAATATTTACAAAAAGGAGCAACTACAAATCCATAAACGACATTAACCTTTTATGTATATATATAATCTGGTCGAGACAAGAAAAATCTAATTTGTCGTATGCCAACCTAAAGAACGTGGCGAAGGCCATCATTATTGGATTCTAATTTTTGTTGTTAAAGCCTCACAGGCTTAAAACTTCATTGGTATGATCGATCGTCAAAACGCAGTTGTGGACCGATTATGATAATAAGTTGGGTTTATTGCGTTTATGGGCCATGTGGATTGGTCCAATTTCAGTTATATTGGTCCTATAAAAAGCAAGACTCAATTAACAATTTGTTCTTCCTTTCAAAAAAAAAAAAAAAAAAAAAGCAAAGACTCAATTAACAATTTGTTTCTTCCTTTCAAAAAAAAAAAAAAAAAAAAAAAAATCCGAAAGAGTGTTTTAATAACAGTAAAATTATTATCGATAACTATTTTTTAATGTTTTAATATCAGTAATAATAATAATAATCTTATAATTTATAAGATTGTAAAAATAATTAAACTCATAAAAAATTGTTATTAATAACAAAGAAGAAAAATAAGAGTAAAAATTATGGCAACCATTGACATTTAATGGATATGCATTCTATATATACTTTTTTAATTTTTAAATAATTTTGTCAGTAAAAAGTGTGTAATTGGTAATCCCTTTGAAAAAAAAAAAAAAAAAAAGTCAGTTAAAAAAAAAAAAAAAAAAAAAAAGTCAGTTGCCAATTTTCTTGAATATTTCAAAATGCAAAACATATAAAAACATTTTCAGAAAAACATTTTTGACAAACCAAACCAAAAACATGTTTCCATTTTGATTTTCAGAGCGGTAATCCCTCCCAAAAAGCAATAGAAGTTGCTCAAAAAATGAAAGCAATAAATAGAATCTGCATTATTTCGTTTAAGATTTGAAGCACATAACAACGCTCCAACAAACAAGAGACGTCCTTTTGATTGATTAGTGCTCATTTGATTTAACTATTTATGATAACCGATAGTTAACAAATGCTATTTTATAATCATACTACTGAAATATATAATAAATATTAAGAGTGCAATTATTTTCGTTTTTATTTTTTTAATTATTTTCTAGTTATTATATTATATAAATAAAAATATTAATTATATTTCTTATAATAATAATATCTACTAGTTATTTACTTTTAAATAACTATAAATAAAAGGTATCAACAAAAATATTAATTTGAAAAAAAAAATATTAGTAATAATTTTTATTAAGTTTGTACAGTGCAAATATAATATAAATAAAAATATAATTAATTTGCAGCTAATAGAAAAAACTCTAAAATGCAATTAATTATCAACAAAAATATTAATTTGAAAAAAAAAATATTAGTAATAATTTTTATTAAGTTTGTACAGTGCAAATATAATATAAATAAAAATATAATTAATTTGCAGCTAATAGAAAAAACTCTAAAATGCAATTAATGAATTAACAAGCTTGGGACATAACTTTTGAAAAACAGATTACAATCAAATAAAACTCATTTTGCCAATCAAATTCTGTAAAAATGAGTTACCATCATGTTAACAAGAACACTATACTAACCATGAACACTTGAATTCAACTTAGTCAAGTCTACACAAAGAAGTAATAACAGAAACTCCTGAATGAAAAGGAGGGAAAAAACTAAATAAATGGCTGAAATAGCCTTGTTCAGTTATTTAACCATATATTTCCCCAACACATATTAGAGTAGAGTTACATAATCTTATCTTTGACAGACAAACCTAATGATAGAGATGGTGATTTCAATATCTACCTTGAATCCATTGCATAAATTAAGTTACTGCAAAGAAAAAACAAGAAAATCCTCAACTTCATTGACAGTTTTTTACCACACAAAATTGCCAACAAAATGTGAAATTAAATAATGACCTGAAATAAAAGCTGATAAAAGATGTAATTAAAGAGGAACATGAAAAGCCTACCATATAGGTGAGGTCTATTTATGCTACTACTGTAATTACTGGCACAGCTGCTCAACCGCTGTCACAATCTGGGCAGGTTGAACCACAGTCCACTCTTCCAATGTCCCGGCATAAGGGGTTGGCACATCCTGTGAAGATAAGCATACAATAGGAGCATCCAAATAGTCATTGAAATTTTCAGTGATAGCTGCCGTCAAGCTAGCACCAATGCCACCAGTCCTCATGCATTCCTCAACAATCAGCACACGATGTGTTTTCTTCACTGAATTTCCAATTGTGTAGAGATCAAATGGTTTCAGCGATCTGATATCAATAACTTCAGGATCATATCCCTTGTTCACTAAAGTTTTGGCAGCTTGCATCACATGATATCTCATCCTTGAGTAGGTTAAAATTGTTACATGCTCTCCAGGCCTAACCATCTCAGCTTCCTCAAGATTACAGATGTATTCTTCATCAGGAATTCTCTCTTTGAGGTTGTAAAGCAAGACATGCTCAAAAAGTATGACTGGGTTCTCACTTCGAATTGCAGCTTTCATCAAGCCCTTGGCATTATAAGGCGTCGAGCATGCAACCATTTGGATTCCGGGAATTGATTGAAAATATGATTCAAGGCGTTGTGAGTGCTCAGCTCCAAGTTGCCGACCTACTCCACCAGGTCCACGGATGACTATTGGTATTTTAAATTGGCCACCGGATGTGTAGTGAAGCATGCCGCAATTGTTTGAGATCTGGTTGAAAGCTAGGAGAAGAAAACCCATGTTCATACCCTCAACAACTGGCCTCAAGCCAGTCATAGCAGCTCCAATGCCCATACCAGTGAAGGAGTTCTCAGCAATAGGGGTGTCAAGAACTCTGAGATCCCCATATTTTGTAGCCAGGCCTTTTGTCACCTTATACGAACCTCCATAATGACCCACATCTTCACCCATGACACAAACATTGGGATCTCTATCCATTTCTTCTTCCAAGCCTTCTCTTAGTGCCTCAAAGAGTAGAAGTTCATGTCTGATCACAAAATGCAGAGATACTTCAGTACTTCAAGCGTGATGCAAATCAATGTGACTTAATAAACATAAATAACGATATAATAATCCTGCACACATCAATCACAAGTCTAGAATACTAAGAAATGCAGCAGACACTTGAATGCGATATGACAAGGCATAATATAAATCATGTCAACATTAGAATCTTGTATCCACATGTCAGCTCTGCATTATAAGCCTTATGGCCTTATAAAACTGCATCTTAAAGCAAATTTGCAAAAAGAAGCAAGCACTTCAAAAAAGGGTTTGGCATTCAAATTTAGAAAAAGAACCTAGTTTGTTAAAAAATTGAAAACCGCTTTGAGTAGACTGATTCTTGGGAACTACTTTGTGCCGTCTTAACTATTAATTTCAGATCATACAAAACCAAGTTTTCCTTTCATCCACATAATTTCTCTTTCTTTCATAACACCCAATCACATCAGTTGCTATTAGTTTCTTTATTTTAGAAAGTCATAATTAGAGTCAATTAATGATGAGAGTATCTTAACAGTGTGTTCAAACTTCAGCTCCAAAGACAAACCAATTCGCATGCATAAACTAACGTTAGTCATTCTCCAAAGAGTCAAGTCAAGTCTGCCGAAAATTTTATTCTCGATATAAAATTGAATAAGGTTCATCCATAATATATGTCAAAGTTATAGATAGAATGGTGCAAGAAACAGGTAGAGCAAAGCAAAATGATTGAGCTGACAAGTGTACATATATAAGTAACCAGAGAATACAAGCATACCCCGATTTAGAAGCGGTTGAAGCTGCAGAACTATCAGCCTTTGTCTAAACAAAACAAAGAAAGTAAACACACTATCAGTTCCAAATAACAAATAGCAAACATAAAAACCCCATTATCAAGAAAGAGAAGTAGATTATTTACTGCAACAGCATTGGTAATCAACTGCTCGGCCCTGCGACTTCCCGAATTAGAATCTAAGTTCAAGTTCATGCTCCCATCAGATCTGACCACAAAGAAGCTCGCTTTCCTCTCTAAATCGAACAAAAAAACGAAAAAGATTAAGCAAATTTCACATATCCCCAACTACAATTAGATGGCGAAAAAAAAAACAAGTTATACATAGAAACCGAACCTGACAAGGATCTACGAGCGGGGAGCTGCAATTTCTTCGAATCGAAGGAATTGGAAGCTGTTAAAGCCGTTGCAGTTCCTAATCCTTGGAAAACTGTAGCCATATGTGCCTTTCTCTCCTGCCTTTTAGCAAAAAACTAAGCAAGAGATCAGAGAAAGATAGAGAGATGGGAAGATGGAGAGAAAAAGAGATTGAATTTATAAAGAGCAAACAGCGAAAGAAAATGAGAGAAGGCGGAGAAATTGAGGAGTATAACAGAATAGAAGAAGAGCTAAGTGTGAGCTATTGGGTTGTGCTTCGTCTTTTTGGCTTACGTAGGGCGATTTATTTGATGCTGAAACTTTCAGGCCACAATCCACATAGTTTCCATCGCCATTTCTCCCTCTCTCTGAAGAAGGGTTTTGCTAGGCTACATCGCACCAATCGTAGTTGAATTGGAAAACTAGCCACGTTAGCCATTTAGGGTAATTATGTCATTTCAGTCTCTTTGAGGCGTTAGATGGAGACTTCCAGTTGGTTGTTGAGAGCAATGGAGTGGGGGTGCAAGCCTGCAAGTAATGAAAGAAGTACGTGAGCTGTGTATTGCTTTGTCTCGTTGGTGACCCACTTTAACGGTTGGACCAACCCTAACAAGCAGCTCCTTAATTGTCTTGTGACTTGTTTGTGAGCTCTTTGGGTTCAGATCTGCTGCTTCTGAGTTTAGACTAGACTTAGTGGACCATATAATTAATAGGCCTGACTTATATTTTCTTTGTTGTTAGATCAATGTCAGAAAGCCCAGCCCGCAAGTTTTTAAGTGCCTTTTAAGGAAGTCTAACAACTAACCGTCACAAAAGTATGGAAGCTCTTTATCTGCTGTTTTCAATCATATCAACGTTCGTCACTTCCCTTGCTCTCTCTCTACGTCTCTTCTTCCGTACTCTACTCTGTCGCTTCCTCCCCTTCTACTACACTGATGCTCTTTCCTCCAATGCCGCCGCAGAATCTGTCTCTATCTACGAAGGCACTGTCTGGCACGAGCGGCGCCATCCCGTGCGCCACTCGTTCCGCTACTCGGTTCGTTATGCGCTTTTTGACCTCGATTGCTCCCCCGGCCCGCCGCCTGACCACCTCTCCGCCGATGAGGCTCGCCATGTAGCAGGAACCTCGGGACCAGTGTAGTTACTAATTACTCTAAAACTTTCAAATTGCCTCGAAATTTACATGCGTCAATAATCCACATTAAATAATGGAAAATTCACTTTTTTTTTTCAAAAATCAAGTTCAAGCACATAATTATTGTGCAATGAATTTTCGTTTTTCCTAATTGAAGGACATACTGTTCGATTGAGTTGAATTAAGTTCTTTGTTTTATTTTATTAATTTGTGTTTGGATATATGGATATTTGAAATGAAGGATTTGAACTCGATATGTTAGCTTCAATATTTGTAAATATAGATTGAATTTGTTTGATGAGATTCTGTCATGTAATCCAAATTTAAATGATAACTCGTTTGTGTGTAAATTTTCAAATAACTTCTAGAAAGATGATTTCAAATGCAGTATCTAAAATTTGGCTAAGTATATTTTTCAGTGCGTAACTCGATAAGTTCTAACTCCCCAAGTTATGATATCTTCCGATTTGCTGCACATTTTACTTTCTTTCCAGTCATCCAGAAGTCTCTTTATTGATTTTTGTTGCTCTTTTGGCAGTTTTCTCCTGACAATACCTACCAGCGTGGGATATGAACAAAATCCTCTGAGTTTGTACTATTGCTATGACCTTGAAGGCTCTCTTCGGCATTTGAAGAAGTGCATTGCTGAGGTATGTAGTTTTGTTTTCTCTGTGGTGAATTGGAAATAGCCAAGTTTGGAGGTGAACACTCATTATCAAAGTCACTGAGCTTTCACTCAAAGTGACTGTCAAACACTCCTCTCACTGAGTTCAATCAAGAACCAAACACCATTTAATGCATTCACGAGATATGCAGAAGATCAAATCTTATAAACCACATCAATGCCTTATTACCATTTTGCATGTTAAGAAAGTGAACATGCTGTAGCATTGAATTTCCTTGTCCTTCTCTCACATCTTAAGAAAGTGAACATGCTGTAGCATTGAATTTCCTTGTCCTTCTCTCAAATCTTTAAACCACATCAATGCCCTTATTACTTAAGAAAGTGAACATGCTGTAGCATTGAATTTCCTTGTCCTTCTCTCACATCTTAAGAAAGTGAACATGCTGTAGCATTGAATTTCCTTGTCCTTCTCTCACATCTTAAGAAAGTGAACATGCTGTAGCATTGAATTTCCTTGTCCTTCTCTCACATCTTAAGAAAGTGAACATGCTGTAGCATTGAATTTCCTTGTCCTTCTCTCATATTAAGTTTTAATATCTTATTATGAACTAAAGAATTCATTTTTCCTTGTTTAGAAAAGGTCATGATTTGAAGCTTTGTCTGTACTAGTCAGATTCTTTGAACTGTTATGTTAAGTTACCAGAGGCTGCCACTTGTTTGTTTATGTCGACTCAGTGGAAATTTCTTAAATTTCTCTAGACCATAATTTCTATCGAGTCTTTCTGGAAGTTCATGTTGCTAAAGTTTGTTCAAGTTCAAAAGAAAAGAAAACTAAAGTGGAGATATGACACACTGAAACAATGAAATCCTTTCATTCAGGTTCTAATATAGAAAAAGCTTGTGCCAATGCATGTGTGTTTGAAAAATTGTCAGCTTAAACATTGCTTACTGGAACTGGATGACTTATCACTTATCATTTGAAAGGGAAGCATCGACCATCTAGTCAGAATTGCTGCATTACTCACCGAAGTGTTTTTCCTACTTTTCTTTTCTTATTTTGAATTTTCATGCCCTTCTATATTTGCTTTGATGTAGTGGAGTTCATGCATATCATAGAATACATTGAAATACCTTTCACAATGTATGATATGCATTGGACCTTGTAAGATATTATGTGGAATCTACTGGTACTCCCTTTTTTCTAATATTGAGACAATTGGAGGAGGTCCACCTCCTCATGATTCAAATAGTAAATTTGATGCGTCTAATTGTCTTTTGAAATGTGAAATGTGAAATGTTTTGATTATTTTATATAGCAGGCACTTGGCTGACCTTGATGTGATTGGTTTAGGTAACAAATACACCATGGGGTGAACGAGTCAATTTTGTTTTCAATCCAAACTCGGATTTAGTGGCAAAACCATTGCATGTCAGCCCCTTTATGGTATTGTTCAGTACTTCCTCTGCTTTTCTAGTTTTGGGTTTGTTATAATTACCTTCTGCTTTTTGCTTTTTGTTTATTGCTTAATGTACTAATATTACCAACAAATTATTTCCTATTGAATACATGCTGTTCTATTTCACTCCTGTTTTGCAGTCCAATTGGTCAACCATGGCTTTCTTATGTTCTTATGAGTTTTATATCACGTTGATGCTTTCTGCCGTAATTACATATATCATGTCTATCTTTTAGCCTTCATGCTTTAGCATATTATGGGATAGGATCTGCTGTGAACCCAGTTATATGTAGAGTTTTCACCTTTTGATTTGGAATGGGCATTAAATTAGATAATACCTTGAGGCCAATCTGGCATAGATTCATATTCAGAAAGAGGAATCTTGGCATCTTACGGGTGAATGGTATTCCTATTGAAAAAAAGGAATCTTGACATCTTATTGGTGAATGGTGTTCTTATTCAGAAAAAGGAATCTTGGCATCTTATTGGCGAATAGTTGAAACGAAAGTCTTCATTATTGTCAGGCAGGGAGTTCTGAAGGCGTCTGCAACACTGTGTGCTGCACCCTAGTTAAGTACTTGGCAGAACTATTAAAAATGGTGTTGTAATTGTTGGCTTCATATGGTGGATGAAGCTTCTTTAGTTGTGATTGTTTGAGCTTTAGGATCCTTAGGGTTATATGACAGCTCATTGAATTATATGCCAATTGAAATATAGGACAATAGTAACCGAACATGCCAAATATGTCACATTTATTAAGATTAAGAGAATCAAGTGATGTGATAGTTATGTGACCTACAACAACCAAATTGTAGCAGTTCTGCATAATCTTTATATATTTCAATTGTTCTCTTCTGTATTCTGAAACTAGATTCTTCACACTTCAAAATATTGATGGAAAATTGCAGGATATGATTGGGAATTGGAGCATCAGAGCAAATGATCCTGAGGACAGTTTATCTGTATGCATTTCAGTCCAACACCCTAAGCATGGCGATTATTTTGTGGCTACATTAAAAGCTAAGAGAATCTCCTCAATCTCAGTGTCCGATCATGATTTGTTCTTCTGGTTGATGCCTCATAAAGTTGCATTGTGGATATATTGGCATGTGAGTAGACTTGAGTAACTGTAATCATCAATTTGATCTAATCAACCTATCACTTAACTATTATTACAGTTGCCTTGGAAATTGCAAATCTGTTTTACCTGTAATTGGAAACAACAAACATTTTGTTTTACCTTTAATTGGAAATAACAGAAATTGCGCAGTTTGAGAAAATATATATAAAAAAAGATCAATATACTTTTGATATCAAAACGGTTATTTTTTGGCATATTTGCTACTAGAATACTTTTACCCTCTTCTTTACCTGAACAGTTATGCTTTTAGATATTAGGAGTTGAAATTTAATATTTTCTTATCCTCACCATGTTATCATATGTAGGCTATTAAACTCTGGTGGAAAAATGTGCAATTTATAACACATCCAAGGTACAGTAACCCTAAACATAGGGAGGAAGCACAAATGCGTGACCAAATGCTTCAATGCAATCAGAAACCTGCATCGGACAGGGATAAACGTTTGCAAGATGAAGGACATTGCCCAGAAAATTTCACTGACAGGAATTACAGGAAACGACAGTTCAAGTGGAGAGATGCCAAGTGGCCTTGGTGTTAAATTCTAATGGTAAGCTTTCCACTAAAATCTATTGGATGAGACTTGGTGTTTCTTATCTTACTTTGTATAAACATGTGATGTTTGTCTATAACCATCAAAAATGCAGCTACATATAAACAATATTGCGAGAATCTATTATTCATTGGGCTATTGGGATTCTTCCTTTTTTTTTTTTTTTTTTTTTTTTACTCTGTTACTTGCTGTGATATCAGACATAGTGAATGTTTTGTCTATAACGCATTCAAAGAATGCAGCTACATTATAACATATTGCCGAGAATCTCGTATATGCAAATTGGGCATTGTGAGTTCTTTTCCTTTTTTTTATTTTTTTTTTTTTTTGTCCAAAAATCTGTTATTCAGCGAATGCAATTGCTCTTTTTTTTTTTTTTTTTTGTCCAAAATCTGTTATTAGCAATGGCAATGCCAAATTAGTCCTTACTGATCTTTCTGCAACTCGGGGGTGTTTGCTCTCAGAAAAGTGCTTCCATAGTGTTTTTCATGATATAAATGTGAGAAACTGCAACTGGCATTATGTAATCACTTTTTCATAGCAAATGTATGGCACATATCTCTGAACCATTCATCATTATCGTCAGGATCAATTATTTATGATCATAATCTGTCCGTAAATAGTACTAGCTTCCTTTTTCAATATGCTTTATGTGTACATAATCTAACCTTCTCTGCCTGCATGTGGGACACTTTCTTTTTGCTTTGGCTATTTTGATGCATTTTAGTACAAAGCAAGAGTCTTTTTGAGGAACAGTGGCGCAGTTTCTTATATATCTGCCTCAATCACTATCCTTCTTTTCCTTGGGTCGACAGTAAAGCAAATTAGCTTGGTTGATTAGGTCGACATCACTAGGAGCTTGCGCTGCATTATGACCTCAAGAAGAATCGGTCTCTTTACACTATGTCATTATTATTGCTTTTGCTTGAAAACGTTACCGGTGAGATTCTCGTGCTAGTGTATAGATAGTATGTCGATGGCATATCACTTGGCATTTTTGGCATGGGAAAGCTTTTACATGACAACAGCCCACCTGCCACCTATTTGGCTGCAGTCAAATGGTCTTATATCAAGTTTAAGATTGAGAAACAATGAATCAAAATTACAGAAATTACAAGAAAGTATAGTTTGATTCTTATTCATAAATAATATTATTATTATTGGAAATAGGGGGAAAAAGCGGAGGCGAAACACAAGATGCCACGTGGCCAGTGGTGGTATTCTTAAATTGACCAGTAAAGTGGAGGTCAATAAATTAATAGAAAAGAAAGAATCAAAGAAAGAAGCCACAATGTTTATATTGATGGTGATGCCTGAGTTATAGTCATAACTCAGTAACTAAATTATATTATAGATAATAGTTTAGCTGACTTACTGAGTAAACTTTAAGAACACATAGCATTAAAGCACACATGTGAACAACAAAAGAGACTTACGATATGTCCAAGTCAAAGCTTGGAATTCTTTTTCTGAAACAGTCAAATTTATTTCCACTATTTGGCTGTATTTTTTGTTATTAAATATTCTTGTCTTACTAGAACAAAAATAATTAAACGGACAAAGTTCTTTGATCATATAGAATCTTTTTCATTGAAATCTTACATACGAAAACGTAATATTTTTTTCTTGGCAGAGTTTCGTCGAGAAATATGCCAAATAAGATGACTTGAAATTGTTTAGGCCCTATGAATTTTCATTTTCAACAAAAATGGAGAAAAGGTTGTGATATTCAATACATAAATTCATTTTTACGTTTCGTTAATTTTGTAATGATCTTTAATTTTTATTTTAATTCAAGAAATTTTGACTTATAAGATTCATTAATTAAACAATCTAATAGGTGAAATTACTTTATTGAAATATTTTAATTTGTAAAATTAAATGAAATTTAATAATTATTATTTTTAAAATGTTTGAACTACACAAATCAATATTTTATATATAAAACTTAAAAATTTTAAAGAATTATTGTTACTTGTATGGGAAGGTGTGCAATATTTTTAAAATTCATAATTTTAAGATTTCAATAAGTCTCTTAAAATAAGACAACCGAATTCATAAGGTGAATTTATATTCTTGCAAAGAAATATATTGAAATTCAACTTCAATGCCTACTTTACGGTTTTTATTTTTTTCCGTCTTTAAGGAAGTAAACATCAAATCAAATTAGTAATCATCAACGTGCCACAATGCTTGCTTCAATGATCAAAACTGTTCAATTTGGATTTATTTATATAATTAAGACATTGAATTAGGTCTGTGATTTATGTATTATGTTATCTCTATTTAATTAAAATAAAATACATACTTGAAATTCAAATAAGCAATGGACTTTTTTTTTTTTTTTTTTTTTTTTTAAGCAAATTGGACTTTTTTTTTTTTTTTTTTTTTTTTGTGTCCTGTCCGAGTTTTGTTTTAGCGTAGCTAATAGTCTTAAAAAAACTACGACCTCAAAACATATTATATTTTAAAACATCAACTTACGCAAGAAACGACCACCGAGAAACATCAATTGGATGTTTTTTTTTTTTTTTTTTTTTTTTTTGTGTCCGTCCGTATGTTTGTTATGGTACTAATTAGTCTTAAAAAACTACGAACCTCATAAATATATATTTTAAAACATCACTACGCAGAAACGACACAGAAAATGAATTGATTAAAACCCATAAATAAATTACAATTTTTTTACTGTTTTTTATTTGTTTCTACCTTTGTATTTTTGTTTTAGTCCATAAAAATAAAACTCTTATATAGAAACAATTTCATTGTATTTTACTTTGAAAATAGATAATCTTTTGAATCTTGGATGAAAAGTTCAAAACCCAGCTAGTCATTTTCCATGCCCTAGACATGATCCATAAGCATGTGATGGGTAAGCAATGCACACATTAATCACGTTTGTTAAATAAAGAGCATCAGAGGTTATCTTTCTTCTCCCAATACCAGAAAAGCAAGTAGGCCATCCAGTTTATGAAATGAACTCTTCATTTTCCAAAAACAAACCCCACAAACACAGCCTGCTCGGCTGTTTGGTTCACGTGAAAAATTTTTAATTTCTTTTTCTAGTCTGGTTTGGTTTCCATGTGAGAAATTTTTAATTATTATTAATGCTAATGTTAATAAACGTGGGAACGGAATCATTTGCTAATTCTAATTAATTACATAATTCATGCAAATAAATTATGGAGTAGTATTATTTGTTGTGTAGAATTAATTAAGAGAAGATTTATTTATAATATTGAAAGAAAAACGAAATTTCCTTAGAAATTGTTATGCGTGGCTAAGTTGCTTCATGAAAATTTCTAGGAGAGAGACTAATATTCAAGAAACTGCCTCATCATGAATTTGCTTTTGCCAGCCAAATTCCAAGAAGATGAAGCTTCCGAGTCCATGTTCCTATTCAGTGCACCGCCAAACTAAATTAAACTGTATCATCGTCATAATTCATAATCATTAATTTCTCAATTAGTATTATTGTATTCTAATTAAGATTGAATTTTTAGATTATATTCGATAATACTTTAAATTTGATAAAAAAAAAATCAAATCTCATAAAAAAATGAGCAAATTGACTGAAAAATAATAATATTTATACTATTAAAATAATTATCTCTATAATTTTTTAAGGAGTAATCTAGTAAAATTAATGGACCATTTTGCTTTAAAAAATTAATTATTTTCTTAATCAACGTATAACAACTTTAAACGACTCATGTTTTTGAATAAAGGGAGTAATATTTTATAATCATCTTAAAATATTTTATATTCATATAATATTTTTCCTTTATGTAGTGTGCAGTTTTATCAATAAAATATAAAATTATTAATCATCTTGAAATAAACAATTGATTAAAACATAAACTATTTTTTACCCAATTATGTAAGTTTTTTTAGAAAACTTTATTATATAATTTATTATGTTATTTCAATATGTTGAGGCTCTTAATGAATAAAAAATATAAATATTATTATATTCTTATATTAATATAAAATGAAAGTATATATCAACTAAGAAAAATTAAAGTGTATCGAAATTAATTAGTCCTGTTTTGTTCCTTTTTATGAATGGATGGAGTACCAATGATTTGAACAAAAATTCCACGTGTCTTTACTTTCTAAAAGTAGATAGTTCCCTTGGATTAAAAAAAAAAAATCATAATAACAAGAAAAGCAGTTGGGTTTTTCTGTGAAATTAAAAAAAAAAAAGGGCCAAGCCGACAATTAATTTAAAGTAGTATAATCACAAAGCCAGTTAAAGAAATAAAATTGAAAAAGTGAAACCACGTTTCCATATGGATTACAAAAATAGATTATAAACATAAATCACGTGCATGATTGAATACTATTATATTGCTATTATTTTATTAATTAACAATAGAAAGCAGTTGAAAAATAAAAAGAAAATAAGTAAATAAAAACGGGTGCGCCGTGGCGGTTCTTGTGCTTCACTTTACCCGCCGCAAGTAAGAAAATAGAAAAAGAGCATTTTCCACGTGATTATTAAACGGGAAAGTGCGTTACGTGTTTATCGTTTACTGGCTGTCGATGAGCTAATCTTTGTGGCCCCCACCCACTTCACACCCTTGAGCCATTCATTCAAAAAAACGTTCTATTCATGCACCCTCTATATATATATCCATTTCCGTCTCTTTCTTCCAAATTCCAAACTCACATCTCTTCTATTTGTGTATTTCTCTCTTCGTTTGCTTTTAGATCTCCAATATAATAACAAGGAAACATGAGGAGAAACTGCAATCTTGAACTCCGTTTGTTTCCGTTCCCCGATTCCGATGACGACCACCGCCGATATTTGTAAGTTTACTCATCTTTCTTTTGAAATCTTTATTTCTTCTTTAATGATAAATTGAAATTTTCTGACTTTTTTGAATTTTCTTTTTTTGATGATTAAAGTGTGGATGAGTCCAATAAAAGCCCACAAGATGAAGAACAACAACAACGAAAGCTTCAGCAGGAGCAGCAAAAGTTAACTATTTTCTACAATGGCAACATTTGCGTTTGTGATGTTACAGAGTTACAGGTACATTAACATTGTTAATCAAAATATGATTAATATATCTTTTATTTATTGGAATTGTTTAAAATTTGCTAATGTTTTTGGTAATATATATGTATGTATGTATATGCAGGCTAGAAATATCCTGATGCTGGCCAGTAGAGAAATGGATGATAAAATAAGAAGCGCGAGTGGATCGCCGGAACCGACATCGCCGACATTGTCATCTCCGGTTTACAGTCCGAACAATGGTCTATCGATGAAGAGATCGCTGCAAAGATTCCTTCAGAAGAGAAATCATCGGATCCAAGCAACATATCCGTACAATATAAATGGAAGACGCGAATATAGGCTGGATGGTTGATGGACTTTAACTGCAAATTTTTTCAATTTTCGTAACGAAACAATAGTTCATTAGCACATTTAGAGTAATCAAGGATTCTAAAGCTTGCATTATCCTTTATTATATATGTGTAATTACACATTTATTTATTTATTTATTTATGCATCTTTAATATTAAGTCGATTTTCTATTTGAAAAAGATTATGCTAGATTAGCTTTTGAAGGCCATATTCAACAGTATTAGCTAATTATTCGCTAATTTTAGTGGAAGTATTAGTATTAAACGCTATTAAACTAGATGATAAACTTTAATTTATTACTTGTAACCAGATTAGGTTTATTTAACGTGACAAGCTTGTTTTTAGGAGACCTACTTGTTTATAAGAGAGAGGGAGGTGAAAAATATCAGATTGTCTGCACTTTCAAGTTTTGATATTAAGCAAAATGAAAGAGAGATATTTAAGCCCAGCCCATTCAAGCCCAATTGTCACTAATCAGTCTTCAATATCATCAATAGAGGAAACCTTGAAGCCCAACCAATACCCAAACGTAACGTGTGCACGTATGAAAATAAGTGATGAATAACTAATCAGTCTTCAGTATCATTTTTTTTATTTGTACTTTGGTGGGTACATGTTATTTACTTGTCAACGAATAACTCAAAAGGAAGTGGCTATAGTGATGAATAAAATAATTATCCATATGCATGTATGAAAATAAGAAATCACTTTCAATTTGATAAAAAAAAAAAATGAATGTAAATTACGTAGCTTTGAAGAAGTCATGTGGAATGGATTCATTAACATGCATTAGGCAAGTAAATCAAAAAAATAAATCACATTTAATAGAAGTCTAGTAGACATTCATGCATAACAGAGTCCAGCCTTAAAAACCTTTTCCACACGTATAAGAAGTTGGTCAAGGCTTCCGTTGTCACTACCGACTAGACAATTCTAGCACCGGTCACTATGTTTATATTTTAATCATAAAAATTGCTGATAACTGAAAACTTATGCGGACAGATCGTTAATTTGAATTACTTATCCATAATATTATTTCGACCAATTCACCTTTTATAAAATAAATAATGACTCTGCTTAAATGCACATTAAGCTTGTGTAATCTGAAATTTCTGATATACTATATAATTTTAATTTATTGTCAGAGAAATGGAGACATTACCAGATCATGGGAATCATGCAGTTTCAGTCTTAGTCATGGAATCAATATTCAATGTTTTAGTATTATTTATTTATCTTAAAGTTCTAAAGGGGATTAAGAATTTAATACTTATTTGGCACCTAACATACTTTAAAACCTTTCAATGGAACGTTGGATGTACAGAGACGAGTTTGAGAATTGGAATGGATGTTATTGCTTGATTGGCAGACTGCAAATTAATTCATATATACAAATTTGAACTTTCTATAGCTTCTATCTTTTTATTTTTTTATTTTTTTGGTTAAAATTATATATTTATATATTAAAATTTGCATAATTGATATGAAAATAAAATAATTGCGTGTAATACATTATTCCTGAATACTAATAATATTTTAAATTGTATGTTAACAATAAAAACAGAATAATTTATTAAGTCCTACTAAGAAGTTAAATGAAATGATGTGATTAATGAAATTTTTTCATTTTCCTCTCAAAAAAAAAAGTTAAATCAAATGAAAAATACATAATAACGAAAGAAGATTTTATAGAAATTATTTTTAGAGGACAGAAAGCATTATTTTCTATCACGTGACTGATACGTGCAATCCACGCCCCACAGATGCATGTGGGGGCTCGTGATAGCCCGCCAAAATTTCGGTCCAACATTGCCTACCATCTTTAAAGCTTTTATTTACCTAATCATGGAATTTAATTAAAGCCTGAATTTTTAATTATGTGGTAATTATAATCTGGTGGATACGAATCCTTATAGAATTGGTAAACAACATGTGATATGAGTAGATATTGATAGCTAATACCAAATTTTAAATATCTCCAAATCTATATCTCCCATCTAATTAGGTAAATATGTCAATTTTCTTAATATATCGTCTTTTTTTTTTTTAAATAGGTTTTTTATCTTTGAATTAATTTACAAATTTTGATAAGAATTTAATTCAAGTAAAAATAAAAATTTTAGATAAATATTTGTCAATTATAAGCAAGTGTGATTTTATAAAATACCTTCGAAATTCATATGATTAATATATTTTTTTACTTAGAAATTCGGATGTCATCCTCTCATATTATTGCTCTCCTTTGAAATTGAAAATAAGGTCTTTGAACATATGTATAGCTCAATCTTTAAAATTAATTTCTTACATGCTTAAAATACACTAGACAACAGACATGCCTAATATAAAACTTATATTGTGTCCCATAAAATTAAAACCACTTAAAACATCATTTTTATTATTATTTCCTCTCACTAATTTGTGTCTAATAATTTGGCAAAATTAATTCGGTAAAAATTTTAAATAATATGGATAATTCGTAACAGTCTCAGTCAGTTTATATTTTAAAATTTTCAATTTCAAACTTTTTTTTCATATTAGCTAGTAGTTATACTAGTAATAATTAAAATTATTTTAAAATAACATTTTAAAAAGTCATATTATCCATAAATATTTAGATATAAAAAATAACTTTACTAAAAAAAATAACTATTTAATTATATTATAAAATTTAATTAATATTTATTTTTATAATATATTCATTTAAATATTAAATAATATGAAAATAACTATATTCTTATTAGTTATTTTATATTTTAAGAAAAACCTTTACTAAAATTTTTTTCAAATAACCCGTCAATAACATCAATCTGTCATCTAGAGTATTAGAAATGCTACAAAGAAAGTATTTTTCACATGCGACAAATGATAAAAGAAAAGTTTCTTTCTATTTTTCTTTCGGCAGACAGATGAAAGGGTAGGCCACCGATTTTAATTGTATAACGAATGACCGTCGCCAACCTATTCATCTTTGATTTTTTTTTTTTTTAAATAATTAATTATTATTATTTTTTTTTTGGATCTTAAAAAGTTAATAATAATATTATACTGTCAAACGAAGACAAGGAAATTATTTTTTAGGTTAAATTTGAATATATCAGTTTATTAAAATGAAAATTAATTAAGATTCATATCTTAAATAAAATTATTGTATAGCTCTTTAGTAAAATATCAAAATAACAATTTTTTTTTTTTTTGTTTGAGTTTGTAAATGTGTTTTTATTGCGACCAATCAATTTATGGATAGCATGTCGGTAATTGTATTCTTTCTGCTGGGAGTGGGACATTTGAATTTTTAAATATTTATTGGATACTTTTCTTTTTAAATGAACTTAAGTCTTTTTATTAATGAAATGAATTTCTCCATTTTCCTTGAAAGGTACAGCATACAGGTTACGGTGAATAAATAATTAATATATAATTATAAATTAACGACCTAACGGCCACTAGCTAGTTATTCACCCAATTTCACATTCCACAAGTAGGAGACAAATTCCAACATATCCCAACATCCAAATGTTTTTCCCAAACTGGGTTTTTTATGCATATTTCTTTTGAAAAAAATTACTAACTCAATAACATATATAAAAATTATTTATATATAAATGAAGACTTTTATATATTGATTAAAATATAAATATTTAAAGTTTATATATCAAAGTCAAAAGGATTTATGTAATAAAAATAATTTTCTCCTGTAATTTCCTAATATTTCATATTTATCTTATTTAAACATTTAAATTGTGAACTTTGTGTAAAAGGTCAGTTGCTCTGAGTCATGCTCTTGAAAAATTTATATGTATTTATTTCAAGGTTGTAGGATTGGAAAAACTCCCACAAATATATCTATAGAACTATAGAAGTAATAAGTATATAGCTTATTATTATTAGACCAATTAATAGCACATTTCATATTTATCTTATTTAAACATTTAAATTGTGAACTTTGTGTAAAAGGTCAGTTGCTCTGAGTCATGCTCTTGAAAAATTTATATGTATTTATTTCAAGGTTGTAGGATTGGAAAAACTCCCACAAATATATCTATAGAACTATAGAAGTAATAAGTATATAGCTTATTATTATTAGACCAATTAATAGCACAATATAGTAATTAACCCATCCTAATGTTTATCTTAATTAACCGTGTAAAAATTGACCATTCAAGGAATTTCACATAAGTCCACGGTTTCTCTCTCATCTTTTTTTCTCCGATTTATCTAACTCTAATTTTTATTTGGGCTGCGTTGTTAATCAGCGTTAGCCCCCTACTTTTCTTTTTTCTTCTCACTTCTAATCTTTTATTTATTTTTAATGAACTCAGATCTATTTTCTTTTAATAGATCTATTTTTTCTTTTTTTTTTTTGTTATTGTTGCTTTTTCTCCATATTTGAAGCTCTCTTGATCTTTCTTAATTGAGGGTTTGATTCTTTTTTTTTTGTGAAAGTTTGTTCTTAAAAAAATATGATATTTGATTTCATTTGGTTGTAGAATTTAGATATTGTTTTACTAATGTGTATCTTCGATTAATAGAGTCTGATAATGTAACATGTTTCTCCATTGAAACTATTAATACATAGTGGCTTAAACTCATCTGTGTACGTCATATTTTTGAAAAAACAATCCAAGCATAGAAGGTCCAGAGAAGTTATTTTGTCGTCAAAATCAATTAAAGGATCAGTTGCTACTATAAAGATTTATATCGGTCAAGATTATCTTCGAGCGGAAAAATCCTATATTGTTTCTTTTAATTTTAGTTTTATTATTTAAAAGAATATAAATAATTCTTTTGTTGTTGAAGGATCAGCAAACTTTCTATTAATTATGATAGTAAGTTATAGTAAGTTCTATATCTGGTCTAATTGAGTATTTGTAATATTTGATTTTGTTATTAATGAATTATATTTCTAAAAAAAAAATGACAATTCTTTTTTTTCTTCATTTTAAATTTTTAAATTTTCTTTGGACAGAAATTTTGTAGTTACCCATTTGATAAGTATTTTCTCATGGATCAAAATTCTTAAACTTGCAAAAAATCCGTAGGATTCAGACGTGACTTACTTTATGACTCGAATTCACTATCTTTCTGAATCTACAAAAACATGAATAATGAAGAACTGGAAGCGGTGCAAAAATCCAAAAATGGCAAAAATTGAAGAAATAAAAGGAAGAGAACAAATAAAGCAAAACTAGTCGCGATTGTTGGGTAAAGCTTAGAAGTGGAATATTAGGAAGGTATGTTTCACGTGCAGAATAAAATTAACGTTTGTTTCTGTTCCGCTTGATGACATTGTGCGTAACTAGTTAGCTTAGCTTAGTTAGTTTCTAATTACTATTAGGTGCGTTACGTGTTTAATTAACTTTTTATTTCTTTTTTTTCGTACAATTAATTAACCTCTTCTTAATTAGTTGTCAAAACACATTCCGCATCTGTACCCACTGCACTACACTGCACCTTTTATATATAATAACACCAAACGCGTTGCACAATTATGCAAAACACACTCATGATTTTATTTATATTACTTAGAAACCGCCCCTTCTTTTACTCTCTTTTTTAAATTGCTTAATTCTATCAAACATGAGAAGGAACTGCAATCTCGAACTCCGGCTTGTTCCGTTCTCTGATATCGACCATCACCACCGTGACAACCGCCATCACCAACCAATATCGTAAGTTTCTTTCTTTCATTTTTTCCTTCCTTTTTTTTTTTTTTTTTGGTTTTTTTTTTTGGTTCTTTTTCTGTTGATGATGAACGTGCTTGCTAAAAGGTTCAGTTTTTTTTTTTTTTTTTTTTTTAATTATTCTGCTTTTTCATGCATTAATTGGAATTTTTGTTCTGTTCTTGAAGGACAGAGAAGGAAGGTAGTGAAAGCCCACAGCAGAAGCAACAGCTAACTATTTTTTATAATGGGAGCGTTTGCGTTTGTGACGTTACTGAGCTTCAAGTAGGTGTTTTGCTTCTCTTTTCGTCTTCTTCTTCTTATTTCTTGGTTTAATATTTATAATTTTACATGCGTATACATTATTGCTCTGTCAATGGTTAAAGATACTGTTCCTAGTTGTTGGTTTTCTTGACTTATAAGCTGACAGTTTCAGTCGTTCAACCGCCGGTTCAAAAAATTTTTAGATTCAACTTGAAGTGACTATTAACCGAACCATCGGTTCGGTGCCCGTTTCGATTCCAGCAGGGTTCCTAGATCTCATGGTTTCAACGTTTATGTTTTTTTTTTTTTTTTTTTTTTTTTTTTTTTTTTTTTTTTTTTTTTTTTTTTTTTAAAGAAAAAAAAAACTCCAGTACAATCATTTTGATTTTAATCTCACATATTTTTCTTTCAAAAATTTAATGTAAATTTAAGAATTAATCTAAATCAACTTTACATATTTAATTAATAATTTAAAAACATAATAATTAAAATAGTTTTTTCATATTTGATTCTAATATGATTAGGTGTATTTTTCTTTTCTTTTGAATCTGAATCGACTCGAACTATAAATTTTGATTTGGCTTATTAAGTTACGGCCAATATTGAAATGAGTTTTTTTCTTTATCAGAGTAAGGTAATTAATTACCCCCTTTGGGTACACATATTCTTTATATTAAAGAAAAGAAAAATTAAATTCAACAAATTAATTTCTCATAAAAAATAAAATAAAAGAGGCCGATGCCGACAAGTTCTTGGTCGGTGTATATAAAGTCAGTGACATTTCAAGTTTCATCGAACTTTCATGATTTGAATAATGCAAGACGCAGTGTTTGACATTTGACTTTATATTAATACAAATGCATGAGTTTTTCATGTCTTATTTATTTAAAATTTTATTTTTCTGCTTTATTACTGGTTATACTCTTTCCGTCTCGTTTTGTTATGATTTAACAAAACACGTATATTAAAAATTTAGTCAATAAAAGTTATTTGTCCTTTTTTACCTTTAATAACTCATTAAGATGTTAATAAAAGTCATTCATTTAATGAACAATTTTTGTTACCTTTAATCAACATTCATTATTAAAAATTTAGTCAATAAAAGTTATTTGTCCTTTTTTACCTTTAATAACTCATTAAGATGTTAATAAAAGTCATTCATTTAATGAACAATAATAAATATTATTATGAAAAAAATAATTGTTTACGTGTATAAATTTAGACACTTTGCAAATATTTTGGGACATCAAAAAAAAAAAGCAAATAAAACGTAATTATTAAGTATCAATTTCATAATATAGAAAATATTAGGAATAATTAGTTTTGTTCATATAATTACAGGCGAGAGCAATTTTGCTGTTGGCGAGTCGGGAAATGGAAGAAAAGCTAAAAAGCCCAGTGGGAACCCCGACCTGCAGCTCGGAAACAGCTTCTCAGAAATTGCCATCTCAGCTGTGTAGGCCTAGTGCAGGTCTTTCCATGAAGAGATCAATCCAAAGGTTCCTCCAGAAGAGGAACCATAGGATTCATGCAACCTCTCCTTATAACCATGAAGGCTAGCTTTTGATGATATATACATGATTATATATAAAGGATTATCTCTAGGCGTTAATTAATCCTTCTCTCCTGAAAGGGTTACATTTCTGATGGGGCTTGTATATAATAATTAATACATTATATGTATGCATTTATTAATCAATTTGTTGATTATTTGATGATGATATTATGTTCCAGAATAACATGATTAGTGTTTATTTCTTTTATCTCGATAAGAAACATTATGTTTGATTTTTTTTTATCTATTTTGTATATTTCTTTTAGGTTTTTTCCATTAATTTTTTCATGTTAGATTTGAGTGTATTGAGAGGCTTATTGGCTTAGGTTAGTTGCTTAAATAAATTAAATTTTTTCTAATAAATTAATAAAATAAATTGAACTTGATAATTATAAAATGTGTTAACGTGAATTAGGCGGATACATTTATTCTTTTTTAATAATATTTTGTTATTTATGTATAACAAAATATAACCATTTTGAGAGAGTGTAACTTGATTAACTACAGTTGACGTATGAGCTTGCTCATGTATCAACTAATCTCATAACTTTAGTTAGTGCAATGTATAATTTTCATTTAAAAATAAGAAACACAAATTAATAAAAAATTACGAGAGTTTTTTTAAATGACAATTAATTACTGACTTGGTGATAAATAAGTATTTCCACGTGGAAATAGCCAATAAATAATCTTATATTGAAATACCCAATTAAAAGCAATTTTATAATGAAATCTCAAGTCCAATTGGTATAAGATTTCTATTGATGACTGAGTCTTGAAAGTAAGAAATGAAGGTATGATTGAGTCTTGAAAGCACAAAATCTTGGGTAGTGATCCGTTATAATTCAACATCTAGATAAGGGCAAGTCTAAAGTTGTCTACTTCCCCAACATTTTAAAAAAAAAAAAAAAAAAAAAAAAAAAATCTTGAAAAGCAACGAGAAATCTTGGGTAGTGATACCGTTATAACAATTCAAGCCATGTCTAGCATAAGGGGCTAAGTCTAAAGATTGTCTACTTCCCGCAACATTTAAAAAAAAAAAAAAAAAAAAAAAAAAAAAAAAAAAAAAAAAAAAAAAAAAAAAAAGGAAAAAGTACTAAAGAAGCCTCTTGGACTGACATTATTATTCAACATTGGTATACGTTTTCCACACTCACCAAAAATGTGCCTCTTAACTTTTATGATTAGACATAATTACTAAAATTACTAAAACATTTTTCTTTAAAGTCAAATTTAGTATTGTCATTTACACCCATATAATTGTGATTTTAATTTTTACAAAGACATGTGAAAAATATTGTTGTGTTTATATCATTTTATGTGTGAAATCTCATCAAATTCTCATGCCATTCCAAATAAAAATCATGCAGATCGTGATCCTCACGATTGGGTCCGTCAAATAAGGATAATATACTATTAAATCTGATTTGATGCTAATAATTATCTTAGAAGCACAGCTAGAGCTCCACAAAATTCCCAATTTGACAACTGTTTGGTATGGTGTCCTTCAAGTTTCAACACTGATTTCTTTATGCCTCTGCACATCTACACAGATTATATATGCCTCTGTAAGAAAAATAAATTTTAAATATATTATTTTTCTAATTTCAAAATATAACAATTGATTATATCTGATGAAAACATTTCCTTTTGAAAGAGAAGATGCAACTTCAATATTTTGTAATTAAATAAAAAGATGTCAATTTTTTAATGTTCAAAAACTCTATGTCACGGAAACTGCATGCATTGAGCGGTTACTTTCAGCTCTTATGAGTTTTGCGTTGCCAAATGGTTACAACGAAACTTCCCATCCTCGTATGCTTATTTTCTGCATCTTCTTCATCACAAACAATCCACAAAAAACATACACGAAGCTGCCTGTTTGTTAGACATGTGATAACACTTGACAGCAAGAAAAGCAGAAAATAGTGAAAATGACATTTTTTTAAAAAAAATAAATGAAATAATAAAAATATTTGACAGTATAATTTCATGAAAAACACTTTCAAAACTCGCAGATACCAAATATATAAAGACATATAAAGGTGAAAAGCAGTAAACCCAAGAAAAATAAGTTTTTTTTTTTCAGAAAATAGTATTTTTTTTTTTTTTTTTTTTTTTTTTCAAGAAAATAGTGTAATTGTTTTTTTTTTTTTTTTTAATGGCATGCTACTGAAATATTTTTTTTTTTTTTTTTTTTAATGGCATATGATAGTTTTAGTTGAATTGGCACCTATCTTGATATCCATTAATTGTGACTTCAAAGGTATATATAACCGCCAATAAAATGTTTTAAATGATTAATTTCACTTTGTCTGAAACCTAACAACTGAATTGTTGATATGGTCGTTCTGTGGATGCCAAAATCAATTGAATTACTCCATTACTAATATTAAGTTAGTTAATACTAGGTAATTGATTTAACTAATGGGGATTGAATGAGCAGAAGCACACCGCATTTACGGCTAATTTTATTTGCTATGAACAGGAAACTTTCAATCTGCCAATTATTTATATTAAAGGGTTTGGTTTGGATGGATTCTTTAAAGGTTTTTGGAGAAGAGGATTTGGATTAGAAGGTAATTTCATGATCATTTGTTAGGTTAAAAAACCCAAAACACCTCATTTCTGAACCCACCAAATTGAAGGGGAAGGAAGGGTTTAAATTTTTTAATTTTTTGTTGGTTTCTCATATTGTCTACTTTTATTACCTTTCAAACATAAAATACACGATTACCTTGCTTTATCAGTGTTTCTTAATAAAAAACAGACTAAACACTTGTCACTTCACACCTGTTTCTCTCCAGTCATCTTTCTCAAACGACGAGTCACTTTATATCAAGTAAGTGCTTCAACTGCTTGCTGCACTTATTACTTCGGCCGACATGTAGTTCTTGTCGGTTGAATAATTTGATTTAAAAAAAAAGGCCCAATAAATCAGAAGCACTACAAACCCTACGAGCGAAGCGAACCCAAACACAAAATGGCCATTAAATCTATCCAAGAAATTAACATGTCCTCTACACCGTTCGGATAATTTTGCTCAAAAGCCCACAGGTATTACCCAAACGACAGGAAGGCAACAACTACTACACGCATGGACTGCGCTTGTGTGTTTCAGGTATCGTTCCTATATGGGTTTCGTCCGAACACCAACTGCAAGTTTGCAAGCAGAGCAGAACAATGGCGGATCATTCTGGCAATCTATGAAGGTTCAAATATTATTTATAAAATAGTTTTTTTTTTCTGTAAATAATTAAGGTTAAGATTTCAAATACATCTAAGTAATGTGGATAAGTTAAACACCTCATAATTAGAGAAAACTACAAAATGTATGACACAATTCTATATCCTATTTTCTTGCTCACCAAACAGGAACTGAACTCAATTCTGCACCTTGAAAGCATAACAATGCTGATCAAGTAATATAAAATGAGGCTTGTGCATCAGCTAGTTTGGAATAAAAGAATATACAAGAACGCTGGCCATTCATAGAAATACTATTGATTGTCACAATAAAAAAGTTCAAATTCTTTGAAATGTTTGATCAACCCTTAAAATCTCATATATGTGGGTGGATTCTAATGACAGGCAGACTGCTTATAACCTGGGAACAGGGCGAGGAAGGTCCCAGTCGGCCACGATGTGGTTACGGGTGATCTCCCTGAGTGAACGGCAACCACTTAATGCCATTGTTAGCTCAAACTCCTCGCGAAGCATCTGCAATACTTTCCTGATTCCAGCTTCTCCTTCTGCTGCCAATGAGAATACCACTGGCCTTCCGATCTGAAATTTTCAAATAATGTATGAAAAGTAAGATTATTTATATCCCAATTATAAAAAAAAAAAAAAGACGAGATTGATGAGTTAGATTATTGGTTTTACTAGTTAGGACTATATGTACTTACAAATATTCCAGATGCTCCTAGTGCCAATGCCTTGAAAACATCTGTTCCGCGGCGAACTCCACCATCAAGGAAAACAGGAACTCTGCCTTGTGCAGCTTTCACAACCTGTAATTCAGTTGCATCCATAATGTAAACATTGGAAGTTTCAGTATAAGCAAAGACACATAACCATTAAAGAGGAGGTTATTTCAGTTATTATTTTTGAAAAAGTAAAAAAGGTTTCAATTTCAAGGAGAAAATAAGTAATTACAAGGAAAAAGAAAAAGGATTTAAAGATGATAATCTCCAAAATTGGTGAATGTTCTTGAACTTGTTAAAATTACTTGCAATTGGAATAAATTAATTTTACAAGAACCAACATTCATACCTCTTCCAAAGCCATAATAGTTGCAGGAACATAATCAAGCTGGCGAGCTCCGTGATTGGAGACGATGATTCCTGCAGCTCCATTCTGTATGGCTAGTCTTGCTGCACCAATTACCAAAATATGAATATCGAGGGATTTTTAAGAATTTCACTTTTTTTTTTTTTTTTTTTTTTTTTTTCTGGCGAGCTCCACCGTGATTGGACTGACGATGATATCCCTGCAGCTACATTCTGTATGGCTACGTCCTGCTGCACCAATTACCAAAATATGATAATATCGAGGGATTTTTAAGAAATTCACTTTTTTTTTTTTTTTATTTTTTTTTTTTTTTTTTTTTTTTTTTTGCTCCTCTATCTTACTGTATGGTGGAAGAAGAATTTGTTAGTATTCTTACCATCCTCAGCAGTAAGGACACCCTTAACCAGGATTGGCAATGATGTGATTGTCTGAAGCCACTTCACATCCTGTCCAAATTGCCGAAGAAGAAATTTAACAAAAAGATCATGTTTATGTCCTCAGCTCAAGAATGTAAAAATCATTTTACGGAACCCTACCTTCCAGCTAAGTGTCCGGTCAATTTGGCCAGCAACATATGAAGCTAGTCCAGAATCATCAGCCTGCAGAGTCAATAAACCTCAACTCAAGAACATAAAAGCAATACACAGAAAAATGGTATCCTAAATTTAGTCAATCAGCCATACCTTGTCCATTTGGCCAAGATTCAAGCCCTCAAAATTCTTCAAAGTCAAAAATGGTGGCAAGGTAAATCTGTGATAAAATACATTGAAAAATTATGCACTTCCTATAAAATAGCGAACTAAATTTAGTTGACCTTGATTATTCTAAATTACCTAACAAGAAACCTGTGTAAATATTTCTGAACATTTTTATTATATATTTAAGATTTTCACCTGTTCTTGATATCAGCTTCTCTCCGGCCAAGTCTTGGAGTGTCCACAGTGAGGGCGATAGCCTTGAAACCAGCCCTCTCAGCCCTTCTCACAAGCTGAGCTACAACATTCCTGTCTTTGTAGACCTGAATGATAAGAAAATAAAAGGGACAGAATTAAGTCAACTCTCAAGGATAATGCAATTATAAAACATTTCAACCATACAGATTATACTATAATATGTTATGAATTGCAGAGGCCTGCTTGTGGGAATGGAATACTTTTCTTTTTTTTTTTTTTTCCAACTTTCATATCACCAGAAAATTAGTAACTGAAACAGTTTTTGTAGAAAAAAGGTAAAAGTATTTGTCTATATTAATTTACAGTCATAATGCTGATGAAAATAGCAACAAAAACTGATAAGAAACAGAAAAATGATTTCTCAAACTCACATAGAGCTGGAAAAAGCGAATGCCAGGCCCAGTTGAAGCAACCTCCTCTACACTGGAAGTAGCCCATGAGGATAATGTCTGAGACACAAAAAAAAAAGATCAACTGAATTAGGCACAGAAAAATACCAATTCAAAGTACATTAACAACTCTGAGCCAAGCAGGCTACTGCAGTTTGCTAATAAAAACTAGTATTATGAACAAACTTTTCAAAATTTTAAATGTACAAAAGATAAGGTGAGAAAAATCAGACCATAATTGTGCCAGCTGCTGAAGCTGCCCTTGCTGTGGCATACTCTCCTGCAATGATATATCAATTCCCAATCAGAAGCACTCTTTTTTTTTTCCTTTTCCATGTTCAGTGGCCAGTAATAGAACAGAGGAAGGAAAAAGAGAACTCAATAGGAATTTGTTATCAACTGAAGAATAACATAACGCCTAATTTTTCAACGATCAGTTTTTTGAAACCATATTTGACACTTCATGCTGAAGCTAGCATAGCACAGAAAGCTGTGTACTGGGTTCTTCTGCTCTAAGTGTTAATTAGGCCTGTTTTTTTCAGGGATATCTTATAAACATTCAACTTTCCTGGTCATGATTATCCTGGGTTTCATGCTCATATCCTTTTATGCCTTAACGTGCCAGGAAGTCCAGATATGTAGACATGAATGTACGAGTTAATACACTAAGAAATCAATTCATATGTTACATGTGTTTGTATTCAATCAATTCCACTTAAAGAAAACCAAGTAATTGAAGATAGGAGCATATACCTTCAGGGTGAGCCATTTTTTGCATGGCTGTTGGAGCAATCATGATAGGCATGGAAATTTTGAAGCCCAAGACACTTGTGGTCATGTCAATCTTGCTCACATCAATAAGAATGCGGGGTCGAAATCTATTTAAGGGAAAAATATAGAATGAGCACACCAAGATTAAATCTGAAGTAAGATAGAGCACTTGATATAAGGTAAAAAAAAAAAGTAGCAGACAACTTAAGAATTGCTTAAGCAAAACCTTCACAAAAATGTTAAAATATGTCTATGAATTGTTTGATATAATCAAAACCAAAAGAATAGCCACGATTATTTAAACGGGAATATGAATGAGCTCACAGAATTCGAGAGAAAGCATTGCGATTCTCCTTGAGAGTCCACTGATCTTCTGCTCCTGATGCATAGTAGTCAAAAACCATCTTTGGCAATTTCTGCCTAGCAATTTCCTCATATTCCATAACATTGGTTATCTCCATCTTTCCAAATTGATTATTTGTACCTTAACACAATATTTTCTGAAAAAAAAAGAATATTCCAAGTGATTTTATGAGTATCACTTCTATTTCACACAGAATATGAACATAATCACATATAGCATCTCATAAGTGTACTTCAAAGACAATGATACTTGTGAATAATGGAATCCAATATGAAATTTTTGAAGGAAGATAAAAGAATAAGAAACTATCCATAAAAAAAGTTAAGAAGGAAACAGGAAATTACACATGGGAAAATTCTACCAGAAAAGAAAACGTAATAAAAGAAAATTCGAAGTCCCCTGTAATTGCACTAAATGAGCTGCTTTAGTTAGCGAATGCAAGATTCAAGAATCCTCCAATAACTAAAGGAGAAGGATTCTCCTACATGTCTCGTATCTTGATAGCGGATGACACTTTATAGATTATATTAAATTAAAATCCAATACAAGAACTCTGTTTAGATAAAGAAAAAGAGTAGCTTGGTTAAGCTCAGGGGTTTACAGCTTACACTCCAGAAGAATATGTTATAAGCTTGTGAATTGTTAGAATTTGAATAAATCAAACAGCAAAATCACAATTATGTGAAATTAAATCCTATAGATAAGGAAAACAAAACTAGAAACCGAATATCATCGACTCTGATGAATACCCACGTGAAGAAACCATCAATAGTTAACAGTTAAATCATGCGAGTCAAATAACGAATTCAACAACAAAGTATAACATGATTAATGAAGATTACAAAAACCCGAACTGTCAGTTCAGACCCAAATGATAGTAAACTCACAGACCAATAAGATTAAACAGCAAAAGGTAAAAGCCCCACAACATGGGAGGTAATTGAGGAAATATAAACATCAAAATATATATAAAGAAAAAGTAATATAAGAGTGAAGCGAGAAAGAGAAGAAAGAACAGACCTTGGCCAAACTCTACCAATAGGAGAGGGAGAAAATGGAAAGAGCTAATGAAAGAAAGAGTGAATATAATGCTGGAGAGAGACACGAGGAAGTCTGGAGCTCAAAAGTGATACGCAAGAAAACAAATAAGGTATGCGGAGAAATATTAAAAAATGGACAAAAAGACAAAAAGGGTGGGGATCAAATGAGAGAGATGAGTCACAGAGAGAGCTGGAAGGATTAGTTTTTCAAGGTGAGTATTTGTAGCCAAATCTGTTTCATGGAAATTTGAGACTTGTGTGGAGAGCAATTTTGTTGGATTATCACTTCACAATGCTCATTCTTTTTTCTTTTTTTAATTTATTTTGTACTGAGAATATTGTCATACATGTATACATTTATTATTGTGCATTAATGCAATAAGAATGTTTAACATTTTGGATGAAGTCAAAAAAGCATATCTATCTTTTCTATTGTTCGATAATGTAGTATCAATATCAATATTTAGAGTTTGAGACTCTGAATTATACAACATTACTCTCTCTTTGACGATGAAACGCTAGTAAATAACTATATTAATTGCTATTAAAATAATTAATTTACACAATATGTTCTAATTCGAAAGGATTAACTAGTGCAGATGTTAAGGATACAACACTTTAATTGAGAATATTATTTGGATATGCAAAAAGATGGAAAGGGTCACTGTCAATATCCCCAAAAATACAATTTAGTTGATAAGACAATTTATTTTCTTGCTCTAGTATCAGAAATTTTCCTTTTCTGTGAATTTGCAAATTCTTTAGTCTTTATATATATGTAAAATAAGCTTTTATGACATTTTTTAATAATGATATTAAGATGAAATGAGTAATTAGATGAGGGAAAACAAGGAGTTACTAGTTGACAATCTCTTTCTAAGTTGTGGTTGATGAAATATGAGAATAACTAATGCATAACAAGTAGGCAATTGCTCCAGTTTTTGGAGGTCAAGAAATGCAAAACAAAAGCAATTCTGCACTGGGTCACATGAAAATTGCTGAGTGATTTTAATTTTATAATAAATAATTATCCAGAATTATGATAATTAATAACCAATCAAATACAAAATTTCAATGTAGGAAATTGGATAGGCCCATCTGTGTATTGACTGGTTGATATTATTCACATGCTTGGACATAAAATGACAATTATTTGCAGGTGATGGAGATTTGGGATAGCTTAGCTGCCTCACAAAATTCAGCAAAGATAAGAGTATTCAGTCCTCTATCTTATGGCTAAGATAATGCATGGCCATGTGCAAGGAGTTAAGTAAATATAAATGGATAATAAATTAATTTTATCAAATGGGGTGAAGGTAAAATAAATGCATTTTGTTTTGCTTATCAAGACCCAATTTGGCAAATAATCCAAATTCAATTTGAAGATCAAAACAAAACACAGGAGAATGTGAATAGATGCTTCTGACATATATAAGCATTTTTAGTTTATTGAAAAGAGAATTTTGAATTCTATTATCTTAGTACTTTTGATTATTTAATGTAAATATACATATATTGTTCTTGCAAGTGGAAGTAAAACAAATAATTTCAGTACTACTTTGCTCTTTAGTCCTTTATTCATCAAAATATATCCATAATCTATATATATATATATATATATTGGAAAATATACAACCAAGAATTTTAGATTTAAAAATATTTATTAATAATTAAATTTAATTATAATGTTGCAATTAAAGCAAGGGTAAGAATATTCTTTCTGAATAATCAAATACTAATAAGAAATTAGAAAGGGTTTAATTGCTTATATTTCAACGATGATGTAAAAAAAAAAAATATTTCGGAATAATCAAGAACTTAAGGCGGCTTTGATTGCTTATATTTTCAAATTCTGGGGGCTTAGAATTAAGAATGCCAAACCATATCCTTTCTGATAATTTCTGCTGACTACTTTTGTTATGTATTTAAAAAGAGTCACGGCAACGCTCTGCTCTGCCTAGGACTATTGTGGTTTTAGTCTATATAACTTTATATTTAAAACAGAAATTATAAGAAAATATGTATTTTTTATTATTATTTTTCAAAATTTTTAATTTCAAACTAATTGTTGATTTTTTTTTTTTTAATGGAGTTGATTAGTTGTGGAAGTGAGTATTCTAACAGTTTTAATCGAAATTTCGGTTTGATTTTTCCGATTTAATTATTTATATTAATCAGTTCAATTCGGTTTATTTTATGTTTTAATGAACCTTGAGTTTTCTGATTAGTTTGGTTTTGTTTATAGAAAATCGACAATTAACTGAAGAACCAAAATTAAACTTCTGCAGTCTAAAAGGAATAATAGTCCAACTCAGCTATTTTTAAGAAAGCTTCAACAATTAGATGGATTTCTTAAAAATTCTGTTATATTATATAGTTTATAAATTGGGTCAGGTTGGGCTTTTCTTGTTCATTTTAATCTTTTTGGTCTAGGTCCATTGGGCTTTTAATGCATAATTTTTTTAGGTCTGTGCAATGAATATATATTCAACTCACGCTAATTAGGCTTCATGTTCAACCAGTGTAATGAATACTATTTTTTTGAATGGGTAATTAACTATTTAATCCCTCATGTTTGTACATAATTACAATTCCATTTCTATTGCTTGAAAAATTTATTGATTAATTAATCCCTAAGGTATAATTCCTTAATTTAAAAAGTAGAATCATTTCAGAGGTTAAGCGTAATATTTGAATGTTTGATCTTTCAACTTCAATATATTTGTTTAGTTTCTCATATTTATTATTGATTAATATTTAGTCCTTCACTCAATCGGTAAAATATTAAATTAAAAAAAAAAAGATTCAAGATAGCTGTTAATTTGAAGTTCCCAGATAAGTTTGTGTATATATAATTATAAATACTATTTCTTTTTCTGAAAGACTGGTACAGAAAATTACACTCCCTGGTGGAACAACACAATCAGCTTTCATGTTCCTCCTTCGCTTATGAAACATCAAAATCAAACCACAAAAGGGGAAAAAAATATTAAATATTTAAAGAGCAAACTGTAAATATTTTTCACCTTTCAATGCAAAAATTTCACTTCAACTTTGCATACTATGTACCCATCTAAACATATTTGACACCAATATAGTATATCTAGCCATGAAAAAACTCATAAATTTCCATTACAAGCATTCATAGAAAAAGCCAGTTGTCATACAAAATATACAGTGTTACAAAAAGAAAAGCCAAAAAGAAAGAACAAAAATACATAAAACAAGAAGCTTTTGATGATCCAAGCATGGTGGAACAGCATTTGAACTTATGTTTCCATGGAACCGAGAAGGTTCCATCCCTTTGGACTCATCTGGGTTTTCTTCAGGACCGTCATTGTCTATTTTACCCGAGCAAACTGGAGTCTTTAAATATAGAGAAATTTTTTTCTTACTGTAAGTTCCATTGCTTGTACACAATCCAATATTTCCTCTAACATCTAATCTTTTGCCAAGTCTAATAATAAACTCTTCAGGAAGTAGTAATTCTCCACTTAGCTTATTGTTGCTCACATTTACTTGGTCTAGATTTGGAAGAAACCCTAAACTTGAAGGGATTGTCCCAATAAGGGTGTTGTTGTCTAAAGAAAGGGCAGTGAGATTTTTCAATGAGGACAAAGAATTTGGTATGGTGCCTCTTAAACCACAACCTGCCAAACTCATCGATGTTAGTCTTTTAAGTGACCCCACAAACAAGGGTATCCCTGAATTTATAGGGTTGTGGTCTGCTATCAAGTATTGTAACTGCTGCAAACCTGAGAAAGTTTCAGGGATTGGTCCATTCATGAAATTATGACTTAAATCGAGCAAGACTAACCTCTTTAGCTTTCCCAATTCTGGAGGTATTCTTCCAACAATATTGTTAGATCCCAAATCAATTTTCTGCAGAAGCTGAAGTTGCCCTAAAGAATGAGGAACCTGCCCTTCAAGGTTATTAAAGCTTAAATCCAAAATGGTTAAGCTTTTTAACCCATCAATCCTTTTAGGGATTTCACCACTTAAATTATTGTAACTGAGGTCCAGTTGCTCTAAATTTACTAACCCACTAATCTCATTAGGGATATTTCCAAGCAGATTATTCTGGGACAGACTTAGAACTCTTAAGCTTGTAATTTGCCCTAAACTTGAAGGTATATCCCCAGAGAGAGATGGGTTAGAACCAAGAGATAAATGCTCTAAAGAAGATAAAGAATCAAAAAGAGTAGGAGAAAGAATAGCTGGCGAGTTTAAAAAACAGTTGAAAATAGAAAGAACTTTTAAGTAAGGTAGTTTTTGTAAGGAGTTTGATAGATAAGCAGAAGATTTACATGGAGGGTTAACAATATCAGGACCAATATGAATTTTTGTGACATGAAAGACAGGAGGGTTGTCTTTATTTTCATCAAAAGCTATTTCACATTGAATACCAGGCCATGGTGTGTCAGTGCATGGTTGTGGGTGAAGTTGAGCCCAAATAGGATCATCTAAAAGAGCATCAAAAACCTCAAAAACTCCTAAAAGCTCTTCTTTATCCATCACCATATGGTCACTCTCATTTCTTGATGATAATGCAATCACCTCACCTGCTAAAACAAGAAACCCAAGAAAGAAATAAAGAAATAAAGAAGAAGCCATGAGAGAAGCAAGAAACTAATTGCTAACAAGAGAGACCTTGTCCTGTAGGTAACGAATAACAAGAGAAACCTGGTCTGTATTTATATTATATAATGATGGGAAAGAAAAGCAAGTGATGACTAGGCCAATCCTGTCCTCTCGTACTGGATCCAGCACTTGAGCTATTATTCCCTTTAATCCTCTTAATTCTTTGAGTCCATTGTAAAATATTATTTTATATATGTTGTTAAAAAAAGAAAAAAGAAAAACTCTGATAAATATTTTAAATATAATATTTTCTTAATAGTTATTCAAACAATAATATCAGACAGTGATATATACATATAGCAGTTCGTTCTACTTTAATCATTGTGCTACTGTATGTGTCTTTACTGAAGCTGCAGATGGAAAATCTAATATACAGTGTGGCCTTTGTTTATCCATGTTAAACAGTGCAAAGAAAGTGATAGTGTTAAGAGGTTGTATGGAAGAGGAGTGAAATGAGAAGACAGGATTGGAATCAGAAACAGTAATTAAACGGGGAAAAATTGCAGAACGGTCAAAATGGCAATATAAAGGGAAAGAAAGGGGTAAAATGATGGGACAGAGCTATGGCGAGCTACCTGATGAGCATCTTCTGTGAGACCGACATAACATAACATAACACTGTATAGCTATGATTTCGTAGAGCTATTTATGTGGCTTTTATTGCTGTCTCTGTCTTCTGGAATGGACTAATAGTAATTGGATTGGCCACTAGACCTACTGGAATCTTTTGTTTTTGCAGTCTAGTTTGGTTCTCAACTCTCAAGCTTATTCATCTTCTTAACAGTTTGGTTAGACATGACTGGTAGAAATAATAATTTTTTATTTTTCTCAAAATTTGCTCTGACCTATAATTTTTTGGATGTTCTGAATTTGATCTATATATTTTTGTTATTTAAACAGTCACGTGTACTTGTATACAACAATTTCTTTTAAAATTTATTTTTTTTAAATACATTCATAATTTTTTTTTTTTTAATTTGTGCCTTCTACGTGCACACCAATGAAGATTTGCCATTAAATTCATCCGAGAAAGACTTAATTTCGATTTATGAGCAAAATGATTAAGAATAACATGCAAAATGGTTCTTTTATTATTTTTCTATGAAGTCTCCGTTCGAAGTGTTGAGTGGTGTGATACTTAACATTATAAAATATTATTCTTTTTTAATGTTTGTAGAAATATTAATAAAACAATTGACCGTTAATGGCATTTAAAAATTACTAAATAACTAATTTTATTTGATCGAAATAGTAAGTGAGTGGCAACGTCAATTTTTATAAAAATGAAAATACAAATTAGACAACTGAGGAGCATAAAAATAGTAAAGCTCTGTGATGTGGGCCGGAAGTAAATTATGTCTAGTGTCTTTATTTCGGGCTCATAGGCTTTGCTATGGGTTCAAGCTGGCATGGCATGGACTAAAGCAGAATCAGGGCCCAAGGTGATTAGTTCCGTATACTGTGACTAATAGCCCATGTAAGCCCATATACTCCATCCTTTATTTCCAAGTCAATAACTATTTAAAACATTATTATTTCTATGAGAAATTATTTGACGTACCATGCATTGACATCCACGTGCCATTAGAAAGTACAAGGTCATAAATTAGCAATTGCATTTTTTCAAGAAAAATCCATTGTATTCATTATCAACAATGCACTAGAAATCATGCGAATCTTGAAAATTAAATTAGTAGGGACGATATATAAGAGCAATAATTCAATGGAGGCAAAATATAATAAATATAAATTAACATAATTATATATACTAAAATATAATAAATTATAAACTGAACGGTAAAAAGCGAGTGGGGGCAAGTACCCCCATTGTAAATCCGCTCCTACTAGAAATGTCTTTCCATGTTAAAGTATACTACGTTCTATTATGATTTTCTAAGTATAGCTTAAAAACTCTCTCTTAAATACTTTCACCCAAAGCTAGATTTCAATAAAAATTCAAGAGTAATAAATTTTATCAAAAGAATTTAAAGAATAATTTATGTGTAAATTCAGTTTATATCTTATGAATATGAATATGAAAACTGACATATTTTATATGATTGATTTACTAATTTTGGTTTCTTACGAAGATAAATAAATACGATTTGATACGAGGGAATGTAAAAGATGCATTATTAATCTTTTTAATGAACAAATGCGAAAGGACACTGTTTATTACTTTTATGGATATATCATGATAAACACAAATCTAATTTGTGAATCCATTTCAAAAAGTTAATGTATTTAAAAAAACTCGAAAGAGAAAAAAAAAACGTGAAATAAGTAGAATTTTGCTTTAGAGTGTGATTTACTCCTCATAAAATATTTTATACCAAAGTCTTTAAACTATACAAAAAGCCACCATAAATGTAGCCTTGTCTTCCGTGACCAAAAATTATTAAATGGTCACAAGAAAGAAACACACATTTGGACATCTTTGTCTTGCTGTCTTTGGAGTGTTCCTTTCGTTACTACAATACTCTATTGCATTAAAAACTTGATTATTCGACAAATAATCTAATCTTATAACCCCATCATGCAAGAGAGGGAGAGAGTAGTAACCAATTAGCAAATGCCATTTAATCTTCAATCCCCACAATAGTCATCTGTTCTCTTAATTAGCTTATAATTATTATTATTATTATTATATAATTAATAACAAGTCATAAACCAAAGTTTGTTCCAAGGAAGAAGTGAAATTCAAGCACAAGTAAGCAAAAATATTACAAAATTACGGTGATGATGATCGTTGATTATTATATTACAAGTACAATTATTTCATTATATTGTAATCATTATGGAAACCTTGAAGATGTTAAAATATTCCACGTAATCTTATAGATGCTCTAGTGTCACATTGTTGGATTTTTCACATGTGGCAAACACCCAGATGAGTTGTGCGGCAGGGACCCAGCAGTTGGCGGCTACATGAAAGAGAGAGTTCATAGCTCATGGGTCCTAAATGTAAATTCATGGTATACGTGTAAAAGAACTAACAGCATAGCTGCATAGGATTAACATAAAATGTGGTTGTGTTTGATAAGGGTCCACCACGGTCACCATTATTGTGTGCACAATGGGACAAGGTCTTGATCTTTCACCATTCTTTCTTTCTTATTTTTTATCATATTATAAATTAATATCTCGTATCATGTCTATTCCTCAATGGAATTAAAGGTAAATTACGCTTAATTACTTTCTGTATATCACGTTAAATCATTACTTGATGATATTATTTGAATGATTAGATTATAATATTATATTCAAAAATAAAGTTTATAATTTTCAATCATAAATAATTCAAAAAAAAAAAAAATTCAAATCACGTTCTTCAACATCATTTAATATAATATAGGCTCCAACTTATCTTTCCAAAAAGAAAACATAAAATTATATACACAACTATATTAATAACTCAAAAAATATATTTTAAATTGTGATTCTAAAATTTGGAACTCCAATTATTAAAATAGAAAGTAAAACTCAATTACAGGCCAAACCAATTGTCTGTTTTGTTCTTCTGATACATAACTATCATGAATAGAATCTCTTGACATGAGAAATGTCGATATGCATGTAGAGTTTCCTTCAAAGTGCTTTAATCATGCATTCTCCAATCATCGTGTATAGAAAACTCTAGACTATATATATTCCACTCACAGTCTCACACCATTTATCTATGCCTCATTGGAGTGTTGCATACAAGATAATCCTAGCCGTCAACTAAAATTTGATCACTTGAAACTAATTACTAATACTTTGGAATTTGGATAGCAGTTTCTTATGTAAGACATGTTTTAAGAATAAATGGTTCAAAATTATTGAAATTTTTATATGAAATATAGAGAAAATGACGTGTTTATATAAAAATTAAAAAAAGATGCCACGTATCTTATGTAAGACATGTGATCCGATTATGATGTGGCAATTAGTGGCCCTTTATGCAATGGCAATCTAATAGACAGTTTTAATGGTGGTCAGAATGGCAGATAAAATACACGAGTAAGGATCTATTTGTAATTACAAAAGTTCAATTATTGGCCGAATCCATGCGTACGATAGCTATAGTTTGCACTATATAAACCCCAAAAATTAGAGATGAACTTCACCAACCGCTTACTAAAAATAAGCATATACACTAAAAATCTCTCTAGACCTTCTTCCTCTCTCTTATTCTCTGAAAATGGAAAAACTATGCAGTCCTTACAAATTTAAAGATAACTATCCACAAAAAGCTAAGGGCATGTCTTTCTTTGCCTTTATTTTCTCCGTTTTTATCTATATTTCTATCTTTTATATCTTCAAACTATCCCCTTCAAAGCTCTTCAATAACACCCAGTTTTGGTTCTTTATTTCCAACACTCTGATAATTATCATTTTAGTAGATTATGGTGCATTTTCTTGTTACAAAGACAAACAACATGATTTTAATTATCAAGAATACATAATAAGAAGGCGAACAGGTGCTCCAATATTCTCTAGACAATCTTATGACCCACAAATTATTATAAGAACTTGCATTCCTGCAGAAGAAGCTCAAGAATCCATTCAAGAAAAGAGGATTATGGCTCATCAAAGATTAATCCCTGAAAAGAAATTGACAACTTTCCCTGAAGGTCGACCTAGAACGGAAACGAGCACGAGCACGCAGACTGGCTTCGATGGCAATATTAATAATGTTTGCGACAAGAATACCATTACTGCAAAAACATTTCAACGTAGTCAATCGGAGATTATTAAAAGGGTAGTGATTGATGAAAGCAAGAATATAATTAGAAGAGTTGAAACAGAAAAGTATGAGTCACCACAAAACGTTGAAAATGGTGATGAAGAAGAAGATAAAAATAATGAATATGCAAATATGTCTAATGAAGAATTAAATAAAAGATTTGAAGAGTTTATTCAGAAATTCAATAGTCAGATCCGGCTTCAGAGAGATTCTTATTAGGCGAATTTTGAGTATAAAAATTAATTAAGAGAGGCTTCAGCTGGCTCGCTAGAAATTTTGCTGTAAAATCACCAGGAGAAAAAGATATATTTTAAGTGAATAGGAGGAGATCTTCCAAGACATTTTGCTGTGTCATTTAGCTTATGCTTTTGATTGTGTCTTGTCCTCCACCAGCTTCTTTATAGATGGTTTTTAAAGTTTTCTTACTGTAAATGCTTTAGACTTTGTGCAGACTTGTCTTTGTCAATAATATTTTACTTTCTTTTCTTAATCTCTCTTTTAACTTCTTCTATGATCCATATTCTGCAACTTGAACTTTTAAATATTTTTTATGGTTTAAATTTATCGCAAGTACAATCAATTAATTACTCTATCATATGGAATCTTTTTTTTTTTACTTTGAAAGAGGATTTTGATAAGAACAAAGGTGTTTTGCTAAGAATTTTGGTCAACAATTGATAGTTGATAAAAATTTTATGAGCTTTATTTTGTCCTATCAATTGCTAGCTAGTTGGTGTTTTTATTATTTTTAAATTTTATTAACCTTATGAAAGTGTAATAATGACTAAGATTATTATAATTTCTGAATTTAATATTTTATGATCATCTCTTTATAATTAATTAAAGATAATAAATACTTTCTCCAAAAAAAAAAAATTAAAAGAACTATTAAATATTATAAAATTTAATACAAGGCATTAAAATAGAAAATAATATATTTATCTTAAAAATAAAAAATATACATATATGTTACATGATAATTTATAAAAATAATAACACTATTAATGATCATTATACACTTCAATAGTAACTGCTACTAAAATTTTAGTAAATATCAATATTCATCGGTTAAACATTAAATTACCGTTTAATCGTCAAGAAATAATTCAAAAGAGTGAGTCGAGCTTCTAAACCCTAGTTATTCTTCAAGTTTTTCCCATTCTCTCTCCATATGATTGATGTTTAGATTTGATTAGATTGACCACTACTAATAATTGCACGGCAGCAGTCCAGTGGGTCGGTGACTGTCCTTTCTACAAGATCAGGATGATCTTAATGTATAATACGGCAGCCAACATGAAAAGTACGTCTTCTCTATCCAGATTTTGAGAGTGTTGGAAATATTTATTAATACTTATATGTAGAATTTGCTTTTGCAATTTAAAACTTTTCTTGAAAATAAATCAAGAAATTGATATTGACAATTAACTGTATATAAGCCAGATCGATATCTTGATCTGGAAGACTTGTGAATTGTTTTCTTGTAAAATTGGGAATTTTTTATTCAATTAATTAAATGTTGGAGTCGTTGTTAATTTATTTTTTTAGTAATTTAATTTCTATATTGAGTCATTAACTAAATACTTAGCATCTTAATGATACTCTTATTATTATTATTATTATTATTGATAAAAAATCAAATGAATCGGAAGAATTTTGCTAATTACAAAATAGAGGTTTTAAATGACATTTATCATAATGGTGATAATTTTTATAGTAAAAATGATATAAATTTGAAATCTCTCACCCACCTTATTTTTTATAATATCGCTTACCACTAAATTTATTAATATTATTTTTCTTTTTAGAAAAAAAAATGTGCTAATTTTATGTTAATCATAATCAATTATGCCAAAACAAAACAAAAAAAATCTCAATTTTACTATTTCAATTTGCTACATAGAATAGAATAGGAAATGAAATGTCAATTTTCACTCCGTTATTTATTACAAAAATGAAAGGGAATAGCCCTTTTTTCCCATAAAAATACCAAATATACATTTTTTTTTTAAAGAAAAAAAAGTTAAAATTATTCTTATCTAATGATTTCTGATTTCATTTCTTCTTTATCCAAACAATCAAACAAAGGAATATATATCTGAAATTTCTATTTAATTTACATGCAAAACATAAAAAAAAAAAAAAAAATTCGTTCACATTTTTATTTCATATGATTTTGAGTTGCAAACCTACTTTTGTATTTTAATTGGGCATCCCAAATCATGAGACGGCTTTCTCTCTTTTTGTTATGCATGTTATTTTCCAGGTGTGCTTGATGGAGAAATATGAAGGAGGAAACTAGAAAAATAAGTAGAAAGATATTTTTTTTCTTCAATCAGACCTATACGTACATTTTCCCCTGAAAAGACATCAATTGAGGAGGTCCGTAGACTTGTTTATAGTATTGCCCCATGTAGGTCATTGCTTAACCTATTTAGAAAACGACTTCACGTTCTCTAAACTGTTTATAGATTTGTACGCACTCGCTTTTTTAACTTCTTTTTATTTTTTTCCCCTAAGAAAACCAATCATTGATGTTACACTATTTTTTTTAAAAAAATTATTTTTTTATAATGAAAATGATTATCTTTTGTGGTTCTCGAGGAGGAAAAAGTGTGATCGAGTAAAGTTTTTACTGACTCAAATTTAATCCATTACTCGATAGATGAAACAGGTCAAACCTATTATTATTAAACTTATACAATTAATGAGTAAATATTATTATTACATTATTTAAATTTTTTTTTGGCAAATGATTAAAGTATATTTATATATAAAAATTAAGAGGAAAAAGTTTAATAGTTTATTTTGCCTCTCATAAACAAAAATGGTTTCAAACCACAAAATTTGATAAAAGAAAAGAAAATAAAAAACACTAGTTCATCAGAAAGATCATTCGCCTACATAAACAATACAGAGATGATTAGTTTAGGTACTTCTATTTAACAAAGACAATTTAAGGATAACGTGGAAAAAAGGACGGATGAAAAAGATCGGCAAGAGCAGAGGAAGATTCAAAAGAGCACAAAAATTAACGCAGTCGTTTGATTGATGGGACTAGTGCATCAAATCACAACCGGCCTTTTGTGTCGTTTAGTTAATTTAGTTAACAGACAAGATTATTTAAAGATAATCTATATGTCATGATGTTTAATGGTTTGAGCAAATAATTAATTTGGTTTAAGATTTTTTTTTTTTTTTAATACAGAGGAGGGGTAAATCTCAGAAAAGAAACTACAAACACCGTTGTAGTGCCTCTTTCACAGTATATTAGTAGCTAGTTATTCTATTATCAGTTAGGAATTAACTTTTTGCTTGTAGTTATTTATATATCGTATTAAATTAGAAGCGTTCGATAAAAAATAGTTGTTTAATTTAAAATGATAAAAAATAAAAATTAAACGATTAATTAGTTTAATTTGGGAGAAAAACAATGAGTATGATTACTAAAAAAAAATTCAATTAATTTATGTGAGGGGAAGAGAGAGGAAGTGAAATAACAGTATAAAACGACGCTAATGTTATGTTTAATCCGCTATTTTCACACTCCTTGATATTTTTCAAGGAATTTTAAAAATTTCAAGATATTTTCACTCTCTATTTTAAATCCACCTATATTTTACCTCCATTCAAACAACCCATAAGCATTAGAATATTTAATATTTTATAGAAAACTCATCAACCTCTAAAAGTTATGTCACCGAATAACATAATTAATAGAGATAGAGTTTTGACTTTTTCAAAACGATAAAAACATTAAGATATTTAATGTTTTATAAAAGTTCATCAACTTCTAAGATTTACTTAACAATTTAATTAGAAGAGATAAAGAGCTTTGACTTGATCAAAACACATTTTATAAAAATCTCGTCAACTTCTAAAAGCTATCTTACTAAACAATATAATGAATAAAGATAAAGCTTTAATTTGATTAAAACGATAAAAGTCAGTTTAAAGTTGTTGCCAAATAAGACCTTATTCGTTACGAAATCAGACTTTTCATCCCAGTATATGGTATATAGAGTATCTAAAAAAAAGATAAGAGTGAGAATATATGTCCAACCACTATCCACAGCTAATTGGCTAACTTGTCTGCAATCTGGTTATAACAATGTTGAAGCACAACAATCCAATCACAAGCCAAAAGGAGACCGACGTTAAGAAATCAGATTAAAAACTATCTATCTGTGTCCCATATATATCCCATGCTAATGAAAGACAGTTAATAAGAGCTTGGAGCTCAACTTCCATACAAGTACGAATTTCTAGCCAAATAAAGGAAAAAAAAAAAAACCACAACAGAAACTCCATGGGAATCATAAATAATAATAAATTATATATAACACTGTTATTGGGCCAGGTTTAGGGTTGTTGGTCTTATTTCATAACAAGACCCACATAAACGGCCCAGGAAGGCAGGGATATTTCTAAACCAAACCCCAATATGCAAAAGCCCAAATTTACCCAACTACAAAACTCTTGACCTGTCGTTCACGTTGTTCGTATAAAACGAACTACAAAGCAACTGTCGTTTCATTGACAAACAAAGCTCGACAAAAGAACACTTTCCCTCTGTCCTTCAGAGAGTTAAGGGACGAATTTCCTTCATGTTCTGAGACGAAACAAGGAAAATCCAACGCGAAAGGCCAGATTCATCAAATTTCAGAAAGTATCAACCGGGAATTCGATTTTGGCAAGAAATGCACTGATCATCTATTAGCAGATCAATTGGAGAGCCCTAATTCTATTTTGTCGGAGATTGTTCAACTGCAGTCAACTTCTGTTTTGGCGGCAAACTATGACAAGTCACGTACCTAATGATGGAATGGGAGAGCCCTAATTTTAGTCAAATTTGGATTTTCTTTCTTTCTTTCTACCTAATGGGTATGCAAACAAAAAAATTGGGTCTCAAATGGATCCAAGATATCAAACCCGTATGGTTAAGCCCAAGAAAGAGCAGGTCTTTCCAACTAGGTCCAGTTCCCTGCTTTTATCTTCAGTTTTTTAAGATCACAGAACGGTTTGTCAGTTGCATAATAGAGACAGAGTAGCATGATGGTGTTAGGCTCTTTGCATGGCATTTCCTCTACATTTTCACTCAAGGGAACCTCCTCTTCCTCTTCAAATTCTCAGGATTCCTCAAATAAAATTCTCATTCTTACGAGGAGAAGAGCAGCAGCCTTTGGTTCCAGTTTGGTATTGGCTTCTCTGCTCAATTTGCAAAATCTCCATTCAAAACCACTTTCTTTTAATTATGCTATTGCTCAAGAAGATGAACTTGAGAAAGAAGAGCATAGAATTGTTAATCTTTTCCAGGTTTCTTTCTTTATATCACATTTTAATTTTCGCCTATAGCTCTAATTTGATAACCCGTCAAGCTTCTTGCTTGATTTATTTTTTTATGTTTGACTAAATTTTATTCTTGTTTTCCCCATACTGTTGCAGATAACTTCACCATCAGTTGTTTTCATTAAGGATCTTGAATTAGCTAAAAGCCCTGAAAGCTCGTCCTTTGATGTTGCGTTTACTGAGGATGAAAATGCCAAAGTTGAGGGGACAGGTTCGGGCTTCATTTGGGATAAGTTTGGTCACATTGTAAGCTTTCCCTTCTTTTGTTTCTTATAGGTCTATAAATTTATATTGTAGAATTTATAAAAGTGATCACCATTTATAAACTATTAGCAGATAACTTCATTAGATCTGCTAATTGTTAAGAATTTTAATTAATGTCGACGCACTTGCTCATATCCAAGTGAATTTTGATTTTGCTTGCTTCACTGTAATTCTTTCTTTCAGCTCAAGTGATTCTTTCAGATATTTCAATATTTGACAGGTAACGAACTACCATGTTGTTGATAAATTGGCAACGGATAAGAGCGGATTACAGCGTTGTAAGGTCTTGTCCATTTTTAGTTATCATGTGTTTAATGATTATTTATCTCAATTTGTTACTCCAAGTGGTCAAACTGTATTCCTTGGGTTTTGGTCATCCGCCTGAGCAGCATTTTATTCTTGGTCTCCTCTTTCATAGGTCTTTCTAGTTGATGCTGGAGGCAATGGCTTGTATAGGGAAGGCAAGATCATTGGTTTTGATCCAGCTTATGATCTGGCTGTTCTTAAGGTATCCAGTTGGACTTGTGCATTGAAAATATTTTAAACTTATTTTTGATACATGGAGAGTTCAAATTCACTCTCTTAGTTGGGACCTAGTTGTTCAGTATCTAGACAATTGTCCCAGTGATTTGTGGGCAGGTTCTATATGTTATATCCTATATGCAGACCTTGTTATCTCCATTCAAGCATGATCTATAGATCTTTCTTTGCCTTTAAAACTGGTTAAAAGTTGTACCTTGCTGTTCCAAGTACAGTAGGCAGTTAGGCAAGTAGGATTTCAGATAGACGCTCATCCAAGAAGTATCTGAGGCGCAAATTCTGCTGGTCATGCTGCTGCATTTATAACAAAACTATAATCTTTCTGTTTGGAATTGCTAAGTATTTTATATTAGCAAATGCATTTGAATGCATTTGGTTATCTGGTTTCTGCTTGAATTCTTGTAGTCATACTGGGATTTGCAATGTAGCAGGTTTTGGAAGATGCTTACTCTGATTCCATCTGCAGGTTGATGTTGAGGGCCATGAACTGAAGCCTGCTGTTCTTGGTACATCTAAAGATTTACGTGTTGGTCAAAGCTGCTTTGCAATTGGGAATCCTTATGGATATGATAACACACTTACAACAGGGGTAAATCTTCAATAATATGTAAAAGTTCTTTTTTGGGATGATTGCCTATATCCATTTATGTGTTTGCATGGAGTATCAAATTGCGTTGCGAGGGTCCTTTTGTTTATTTAGTCGACATTTTTAAATGAATGGTCTGGAGTTTATTGAGGTGACAGTTTTCCTTTTTTCCTCTGGGTCCGTTTTGCTCTAAATTGTTTTAAGTAATATTATCTAGCTAGATGCTGTTGCTGGAATCAAAATTAGAATCTTTTAAATAAAGTTTTTCCATACGGAGAGAGGATGTATGTGATTCAGTGATTGTTCACAAGCATGATGATTTGGATAATGGGTCAAAATGATGCAGGTGGTCAGCGGCCTAGGCAGGGAAATACCTTCACCAAATGGAAGAGCCATTCGAGGAGCTATTCAAACAGATGCAGCTATTAATGCAGGTAAAATATTAAAATGTTTTCTAGACAACACAAATTAATAGTTTATTTTATTTCATTCTATTTTATGTTTTTTGAATGCTTTGTTCATGGAAGTGATAGTAGGCTCAAAATACAGGTAGATTGCTTTATAATTTCTATGGAGTGCCTTTTTAGTATACGAGACTGTTTTCTTTGACTCCAGTTTAAACTTTCCATCACTAAATTAAGTTTTATTTAAGAATGGTAACGCTTTTACCTGCCATTAGGAAAATAATATTTAATTAAATCCATATATGGTTACGTTCAACTTTTATCTTAAAACTTATACAGGGAACTCAGGTGGTCCATTGATTGATTCGTATGGACATGTTATTGGAGTGAATACGGCAACTTTCACTCGAAAAGGTGAAGAGAGATGCTTTTCATTTCATTTATTTCTTAGGTCTTAGTTTTATCTTTTGAGTAAACATGTTATGAAACAATCATTCTTAGTGTGTTCCCTCACACCTGAATTTGGAAAATAAGTCTGCACTGACTTAGATTTACTACTTAAAGGTAAGCCATTTTCTAATAATTTATAACTTTTTTTGGATTTGGTTCTTGCCACTGGCACATTAAAAGAAAAATACTGGAAGCTAACTGGTCCAGTTCGAAGTTCTGAAATGTATTTTTTACTTGCATTCATTGCAGGAACAGGAATATCCTCTGGTGTGAATTTTGCAATACCAATTGATACTGTCCTGCGGACTGTACCTTATCTTATTGTGTATGGAACTCCTTACAGCGACAGGTTTTGAACATTTTTAGTTCTCCTGGTGAAGCTAAGATCAGACCTCTGGAATTATTGTAGCAATAGATAAGAAGTTATCAATGTCAATAACATGAACGTTACCGTTTTGTATTCTATGTATGTAGGTTTTGGAATTGATATGTTCTATATGTAAAATTATACCATGTAGATAAGGATTTTCCTTTTTTTTTTTTTTTTTCATTTGTAGGTTTGAAATGTACCATATTATGCAGGTTATGGATTTTATATATTTGATGTGTATCATAATTTTAATGCAATGATACAAACATATTATGGCCCTTGGGTGATCTATCTACTAAGTTGAAAATAGTGCAGGAGGGAAATGATAGATAAAAGTTTCCCCCAAACAAAATCTTATTTTTCATAGAATGAGCAAAAACATAAAATAACTTGAATTCAATAATGTCATGACTTGTTACTTCTTGTTGTTGGAGGCTCCATTCCAAATCTCTCCCATCAAATATTACAAACCAATTGTCTGAACATCTTTCCTTCATCCTTTTTTCATTCAATAAATGAAATTTACATTTTATAAATTTTGGTTTTATTTAAAATAAATATAATAAAGAAATGAATTTTAAGGGGATAGGAAAAGAACTAAAAATGGGCTAGGTCCAAGCATGCCAACGACCAACCCAATGCATAGGACTAGTATAATAGAAACCCAACAAAATATGGGCTTAATACTTGAAAGCCTATTGCCTCTCTTTCACAAATGTCACCGACTAACCCAATTAGGCAATATTGCCATTTAGCCATTGGAATCTTGAAATTCTCAAGCATTCTTTCATTTCAAATATGGTTATGGCCTCCGCTAATACTGCTAGTGAAGGCATGCAACTCTGCGTTTTTGATTTAAGAAGAGGTCAGCTTGAAGGGCAGGAACTGGACAAAATCCTCTTCTTCTTCCCAGCTGATTTGCCCTTCTCTACCCAACTTTCCGTCATAGGCCTCAGCGAAGGACTTATCACCTTTACAAGGTGAATGCCCAATTTTGTTTTGTATTTGGAATCCATCAATTTGATCAGATATTATTGGTTTTGCCTAATTTGGTTTAAGGTTATCACATGAATTATTTGCAGAATCTTCTCTCCGGAAACAGCTTGTGAGGTGATAGAAGCAGAAAGACATTCTCATGTTTTTTATGAGGCAGAGCCTGATATCTGGATGGTGATGGTATGATATTCCTTCCTTTTTAAATCAACTTTGGTTTTATCAAATTTATTTTTTCTGAAGTGGGTTTTGTTCAAAATTGTCATTTTGGAATGATTCTTCAATATAATTTTGGTGAAATTTGCTTAGTTTAGTTGGTAATTATTCTTTACTGCAGGTAGTAGAGAAAAGTAAGGGGCTAGAAGTTATATGGCGGATCGATGCATTAAGAGAGGTTCTCAAGCAAGTTCACTCTCTTTTCATGATGTTTAATGGGTCTATAAGAGCAATACTTGAAAGAGAACCAAGTGGAGGACTAATTCGATCTCATTTGTACCCTTTCATAATGGATTATCTAAGTGGTAAGATAAATTATTCCATTGTTTTACCCAACTAGTATTGCTTGCTCTATTATTAAAGTTTCTGTATTTGATTCAAAATATTTCATTGTAAGTCACTAATTGTCAGCATATCAAATGTGGTCTCCATTGGAAAACTGCTGCTGGGGTAATGCTGGAGTTGCTGTATCAAATCGCGTCCATTGGATTTGAACCACCAAAAGTATTGCTGAAGTTGCTGTATCTTGTAGTACCTTACATGTAACTTTTTATCTTTGGGACAGATTTTCTCGTTGGGAAGAAAATCCAATTACCATCATTTCGTGACTGTTTAACGGAGCGTGGAACTGTACAGATGTTGACTATTGGGAGGGAAGCTGCAATTGAAGTTCAGGTCTGCCTTTATAAAATGTTTAGTGCTCATACACATTTGAAATGCCAAATTCCATTGAAAATTTTCCAGAATAAGCTCTATAAGGCCATAGATTGAGTGAGACAATTACAATATCCAATGGTATATTTGAATTTCTTTTTCTTTTCCTAACTAAATTGATGAGTAGGTCTCATTAGTTTATTAAGAGGAAATAAGATCTTTTTTTGAATAAAATATTTTATTTTTAGTGCTAGACTTGTATTTATGGTCACTGAATTTTTGTGGGTGACTTCTCATTGAAACAAAAATCAAAGTTTAGATGACTAAAAAAAAAGTAACAAATTGAAGTTATGTGACTTAAATGAAACTAAATGCAAACTTTGATGACCATCAATGTAATTTAGCCATTATACATTATAATTACCATACAGGAAAGTAACTTGATTGAAACTCGATTGTTATATACTACACAAGATACCAGTGTCAGTTTTGAGAAAAATACTTCGAAGATGCACCTGTTGCCATGTTGGCGTGTTAGTAGTAGAAGTGTTTTAATTTTAACTATTACATTTTTTTTTTTTGGCAGTCACTTGTCAGGGTCGTAGAATCCTGTGCTGGGACCACGCCTTGCTATTCACTGATTTTCTTTCAGGACCTGCTTGTTTCCACAACAGTTTCTCCTGTATGTTTCATTCTCCATACACCTTTTAATTTTGATAGATGTCTACTTTTCATGATTTGCAGTTTCCTGTACTTCTAAATTTTATTTGAATCTCAAAGCTTTTATAGCACTTTTTAAAGTGAATTCTAATAATTATGTTGCCAAAAGACTTTGTTGGGCCAAATTCTAACTTTTGTTGCATTTGTCAGGATGACACCATAAACTTATTTACATATGCAGTTTTAAGGTTGACTCCTCGTGCTTTATCATCTGGAGTAAGTTCCTGGTCATATTTACGCAAAGGAAATTCTGCATCTCGTATTGCTGCAGGGTCTCCCGTGGTCCACTCAGCCTCTGTGTTAGAACACTTTTATCATTCACATGGTAACTCTGTTGGCCAAGATGGTAGTTACCATGTTAAAAGACCTTTACAGCTTGGCAGGTGGGCTAGAGAGAAGGATGGTTTTCTTGTCACTAATATTTGGGGAACAGAGATTGCTAGCTCAAGCTCAGCCACCCCAACCATTTGGCTTCGGCAGACAGAGGAACAGATGTATCTCTGTGCTTATCAGCATAAAAGCTTGACCTTGATACTTCTGATTCCTGTTTCCTCCATTCTTAATGGGGAGCAAGGTATTTCCCTGGTGAAGCAGCAAGTTCTTGAAAATGTAAGTACCTACCTTTGGTGATTAGTAGTGCATTGCCTCTCAGCTTCTCTTGTCAATTTTCATTTGTTGAAATTTCTTCATTTACCGTGCCTTATTCATTGTAATTTATAAGCAGTATCCTAAAATTTTCCCTCAACTAGATGAACTTCTTTTTTTTTTTTTTTTTTTCCTAAATTCCCTCAACTAGATGAACTTCTTTTTTTTTTTTTTTTTTCCTTGTTTGTCGAAAAAAAAGCTTGTAGGAACTCGTATAACCAGGCCTTAAAATAAAAATGGGTTCTTTTGCTTTAGAGCCTTGAAATACTCCATTATGGTACATGGTTGGGCTTTAGTTGTTTTCAATGTATAGACTTCTTTTTTTTTTTTTTTTTCCTTGTTTGTCGAAAAAAAGCTTGTAGGACTCGTATAACCAGGCCTTATAAAATGGTTCTTTTGCTTTAGAGCCTTGATACTCCATTATGGTACATGGTTGGGCTTTAGTTGTTTTCATTGTATAGAACCGGTATGAAAATTTCACAATCTTTTATCTAATAATTTTAGTCTTTCAAAATAGCTCTCTACATAAATGTAATATGCGTTTCTTATTTCAGCCAGTAATATCTAGATTCTACCTATGTCCACTCATTATATGTGCAAAGATTTGTGCATAAATAACCTAAAGGTAACTTTGAAATGTGATAGATGAGGATAGGTCATTGATTGTTCTTGCTTGTCTGAGATTTGAACATCAGCATGGTGTTGCACAGTAAAGAAAGTCTTGCATCATTGACCCAGTATTAGATAAATAACACATACTGAAACTTTGTTTGTTAAGTACACAATAATGATCAAGCTATTTAGATATTCTGCTTTATGTTCTTATTCTATCTTCTTTTTGAAAATTGAATATTGAATATACATTCATCAACAATTTTTTTTTTCTTTTTTGCTACTGTACTAGGCATCAACTAAGATGTTGAAAGTTGAAGAGAAACTATCAAAAGGATGGGGTGGTGAGAATGCCTATCATGTCAGCGGGTATCGTTACTTGCTGGTTGATGATGATCGAAATGTATCTAGGGCTTCTCCACCTGTAAAGGTTACGACACTTACAAAGGTAAAGAGCCTCCAATCTTGCTTAATGAAGACATGCTTTTCTGGTTTAACTTTCTGCTGCATGTCCTACCTCTAGTGGATTTGACAGCATAACTCTTTTCCTCACACTGAAGCACACATATGAAATTTTGCTATTATTTTGAATTTGAAGCACAAGTCCATAACAAAATTGTGAATAATACAGGGATGGCAAGTTCAGAAAAGTCATCTTAAATTTATTTAGTGACTGTTGACTTGAAAAGTGACATTTTCATCCACTTGATTGATTAATGCATTTTCGCAACAAGTTCACTCTAAAATTGACCTTTGTGGGCCTTATTGTTGGTCTGTTGAAGAGTTTGTTTTGTCACATGTTGCAGGAATCTTTACTTGCCATGAATAAACTAAGAGAAGAGGTAGATTTAGAAAAGAGTAGAGTGAAACAGGATAGTGTAGATCAGGAGAAAGATTTGGAAATATGCATCAGAGCAAACAACAATGCTTGGGTTATTGCTCGTACTACCAGAGGGAAAGAGCTTTACATGGTTCTGGAAAAAGCCAACGAGACACTTCTTTATGCCTCTGATGCTATCGAGAAGTTCAGCAACAGGTAGATCATTTCTTTTATTATTATTATTATTATCATTAAATGCATATCATTTTTACCAGTTGCTGAATGTTAGAAAATTTTATTTGTTACGTCTGATGTTATATACAGGTATTGTGGGGGAACTTTCTTGTTGGATTAGGGGACAAATGCTCTGCCTTTGATATAATCAGGATCAGAGAAGCAACTTGTGCAGAAAACAACGAGAAATAGAGAAACTTTGCTGGTCTCATATTCTTGGGTTAGGTACTTGTATGTGCATTGATGATCATCTCTTTCTTCTTTGATCGCTTTCCATGTATATAGGCATCCTGTAGATTTTTGTAAAACCAAGTTCCAAACGAATTTCTTGGTTTCTGTTGTATATGTTTTTCAATTGAATGATCAATCCTGGCATGTTAGCATTCCGATTGGTGGTTGTTGAGGTTGACATGGCCTTTTGGTGAGAGTTCAGGCCATCCATGTATTCTTTCTCCATTTCTTCTGTTACTATGAACTTTTTTAATTTAATGTGTTAACATATCCTTTAAACAAAATGAAGTCAATTTATATTGTTAACAGTTTGTTATTTCTTGTTGCCGCCATGATAATTTTATGTGAAGTTGAAGTCGATAACTACGAATAGTTGACGTTAAATAACTCTGATAGGCAATTGCAACAATGAAAATGAACTATATATAATTTATTTTTCTTAATGCTTTCATGTACTTAATTCCTCGGATTCCCAGAACCAAACAAGGACGTATGTTGAGTTTGTTCCTTGGGAAATTTCAAAGCTACCAACAAATTTGAATTTTTTATAAGTATCCAAGATGTATCAATTTAAAGACTAGGAAGATTATACCCAAGATGCATATGCTTCGAAAAAGAAAACAAATTTAAAGCTGAAATTGTTCCACTATCAAGTCATTAATTGCAATCACGTGAATGGTGCATATACAAGACAATTCCCAAAGGAAAGACAAATCTCTGCATCTAAATTCTAGCAGGTATGCTAGTTCTACAAACCAGGAATCATACTGGTTTTAAGGAGAAAGGTGTGGAATCCAAAATTGCTCTCTACTCCTGAAACTTTAACAGTGACAATTGTTCTTCAATGGAGCAATCTACATGACATGAAGTTCTGCAAGAGGAAGGGATAAGAATAAGGCCTAGGCACCGCTGTTCCATTGGCGAAGGAGAGGACCGCCGGGTGCTTCGATATTCTACTGCATCTTGCAGAATGATGTTCCCTTGCTTGTCAATGCAATGAAACATGCCCAAGAAAAAGCGCCCATCTTTAATTCCTACCAGCATCCTGCGAAACAGAAGCTTCCTCACTCGAGATACAAGACTTGAGCTGTTTGGGTTAGACCCATCTGAGCTCCCTGGCAGCGTTGAGGATTCCATCATGTGTTCGATATCAATGTCCATGTGCTTGAATTGATCATTGTTAATGAAAAAAAGAGAGGGAGAAGAGTCTCAGTTGATCTTCAGATCTAATATATTAGGGAAATAAATGAGAAAAAACCAAAATTGCAACTTGATGGAGGTTTTATACATGGATGCGGTTATGCACAGAAAAAGGAAAGAGGGCAGTAAAGAACATATGGAAAAATCTAGATATGCTGTATGAGTTGTGTAAAATGTCTAAACTTGCACATGAAGTATGGACATGGATTGAAAACCGAGGATAACCAAAAAATAAAAAAACCCAGTTCATGAGAATACAACAGCAGCCAAGTTGATCTAGCATATATTATTTGATAAAATAGCGTGCAATAGAACCATATTGTGTTCAGTAAGTCAACTACTGAATTTTCAAATGATAAAATTAAAAAGCAAACCCATTGGTTTGGTTAACAACTATTTTTCAGTTAGGTTTTCGTTCTTCCAAAATTTTTTCTTTTTTTTTTTTTTTCTCATCATAGTTATCTCCATCATATATAACGAGTTAAAAATGCATTTATCTCAAGTATCACCCTTTGTAGTTTGTTCTTTTCCTATTAATCAAAATCAACTACCTAATCACAAAGGCATTAAATGGATAAATAACACATTTCTGCTGTAAAAACAAAAGCCAAGAAGAGTTTCTAGCCATCCAAAATAGGCAAAAATGAGTTTTGCATCAGGCACCAGAAACAACAATATGATAAACGCATGAGTAACTTGGCTAGTTATCTCTGGCAACCTCTTAAGCAGCTTTCGCTTGACTTTTAGCAGACCACTTCCTATGAGTTGATCAACAAGTTCACAGTATTACAGTTCAGTCTATAAGGCTTGAAGAATTTTGTTTACAATTTGAGTTATTCACATTTTCCTGGATTTTTCAGTTTTTATTTAGTATTTAAGTAATTCGTTGAAGTAACCTTAAGCAAAGGACCGGCAAGTAGCATACAAGCTTACAAATAGCTTCATTCATTATAAAGCAAGTTCACCTGATACTATGGTTGGTAGAGAGCTAGGAGGAACCAACCCCCACAATCCATAGTTTCTATTTCTTGTATATCTACTTCCTCTTTGCTGAAAATTTCAACAGTTTTTGCCTTCAAATCCCGTTCATAGAAACTAACTTCCAGTAGCTATCAATTTCTTTTCTCTCCTTAGTATCGATCAAGTTAAACTCTTTTCATTATTTCTATCATTTCTCCTATCGCATCCTTCCCTGTTTCCTAGGAGAACATCAGATTGTTTACATCACCAACTCACCTCGCATAGGTTTGCTTTTCTTCCTCCCCTTCTGGGCCAAAAAATAAAAAAAAAAACAATACTTATATTGTTGAAACAAACATATAGAAAGGGCCATCTCATTCCCCAACAATCACATGTTACATTAATCCTAATCTCTTCCTTAACACTGCTCACTGCCCTCCTTAACATCTCCCCTTTTGGGATAATAAACCCATGACTAAATTCATTTACAAGATCCACAAACACAAAACAAGATGGTTATGCAGTATACTCATCCATAATGCAATCCACATGAAAACCCACATCCATTCATAAGCAAACACTCCTCTCCTCTGTCCCTTAGTTAAACCAATAACTCTTTCTTCAAAAACCCACTACAGTACTTTCGATTTCCTTTCATATATTGATTTACTTCTTTTTCTCAGCAATCGAACTTGTGTAGTATGTGAATTTAAAATAAAGAAAAAGTTCCCAAAAGCAAATAAAAGAAATTGCGATTCTTGATAAGAGGAGATGAATAGTACCTCTTCAACGATTGAATTGAATGAGCACAAAAGTTTCTTCGATTTGAGCGGATAGATCGAGCTACTTCATACGAAGAGAACTGTTTCTCGACGGGGCTTTTATTTATTGAAACCTTTTTAAGAAGACGAGATTTCAGAGAAACTTTTCCTTTCGTCTATAAACGACGGTAAAAGTCTCCCTGTCGTTCGTGGTTACGTGGAAATGTTTTCTTTTGTGGAGCTTTGATTTTTAATGAAACGACAATTGCATTTCGATAGACTTTTACAATGGAGTATAAGTCCAACGACCTGAACGACAGAACCTTTTTAGGTTAAATCATACCCGATACGTCAATATTTGCTTGCGGCTTGTAACAATATCACCGACTTATAACAATTTCACCGTAAATTGAATTTAATCTCAAATATTTCAATATCAAACCTTTGTAAAATTTACATTCTAATTAAAAATCCAGTCAAAATTTATATTAAAATATAATAAACATGAAACCTACCGTTAGAATCATCTAAACTCACCTTTGTTGTCGTAAAAAACTTAACCCTAATTCATCTAAAGCCCAACTTGTTGAACATGTTGCCTCACCTAATAAAATGTTTTTACTAATTTCTTATTAAGAAACAATAAAGTGAAAAAAAAAAAAAAAAATTACCGGCGGCTTTGTTGTCCGTAAAAAAACTTAACCCTAATTCAATCTAAAGCCCCAACTTGTTGAACATGTTGCCTCACCTAATAAAATGTTTTTACTATTTTTCTTATAAGAAACAATAAGTGAAAAAAAAAAAAAAAAAAATTAACCGGCGGAATAGTCGATTAAAAGCTGTAACTAAACCCTTAAAAAAAATACGGCGACTGACTTTGGAGTGGAGTGCGATCCAAGCAAAGGCTACAAGGCCACAAGCTATGAAAAAAAAAAAAAAAAATTACCGGCGGATAGTCGATTAAAAGCTGTAACTAACCTTAAAAAAATACGCGACTTGACTTTGGAGTGGGAGTGCGAATCCAAGCAAAGGCTACAAGGCCACAAGGCTATTACGCATAAGCCAACAAGCCATCTCTCTCATCTGTTTAGGGTTTTTCTTTCATCGTTTTTTTCTGGTAAGGACTTTTTCACATTAGCTAATCAACAATTTCAGTTTGATTCAATTCCTTTGTTTTGTGTTTCGTTTTTCCCGTGTTTATGGTTTTTGTATACTCTATTTTACTGCCAAACCTTTTTCGCTGTTATGATTTTCTTTTTGCCCTATTAATTTATATGCCAGATTGTGATGGCATTCAAGGGCCAATATGAACTTTTTGGCTTGAATTTAGCTGAAAAGAGCAATTTAACTTTTATTTGACTGTGCTGGTTTTGTTTTAATTCATTGTTATAAATAATGGTTCAATATCGTCTCAATATTTTATATTATTTTCTCTGTATTGGCTCTTAACCCTTTTTTCTTTGTATATATTGTGGCTATTTTGTATCTGTTAAATTGCTTAGAGAATTTTCCAGATATAATTCTTGTGATTTGAGGCCAGGAAAATAAGTTCTTTACTCTCAGAGTGGGCCTATAATATAGCTAAACATATTAGAATTGTATTTTTAATGTTTATCTGAATCTTTTTGATGCTTGCAGTTGCCGTTTGTATAAAAGATCAGGATAACATATTGGCACTTGAATTGTTCGACTTTATCTTTTGCTTCAGTTGAGACTTGTTTTCTGTTCTCAGGAGGCAATTGGTAATTGGTATGTGAAAAAATGGGCGAGAGTGGGAAGAGGTTCCGTTCGCATAGAGAACACGATAGCGACAGTAAGAATCAGAAGAGACGGATAAATGAGAAGGATGAAAGGGGCAGCGATGAACTGGTTGTTTATAGAATACTATGTCCAGATGAGGTTATAGGAAGTGTAATTGGCAAAAATGGGAAAGTCATAAATTCAATAAGACAAGAGACAAGGGCAAAGGTTAAGGTTGTGGACCCATTTCCTGGCGCGAAGGATAGGGTCATAACAATCTATTGCTATGTCAAAACGAAAGAAGATGTGGAGGTTGACGAAGAATTCAATGACCATGAGCCGTTATGCTCTGCCCAGGACGCTCTTCTTAGAGTTCATGCTGCAATTTCAAACGCAGTTGCATCTGTTGTAGATTCTGACAAGAAACGGAAAGATAAGGAGGAGTGCCAAATTCTTGTCCCGTCTAGCCAGTCTGCAAATATCATTGGTAAGGCTGGGATGAAAATAAAGAAATTGAGAAGTAAGACGAGGACAAATATTAAAGTTACTGCCAAGGATGCCTCCGACCCGACTCACTCGTGTGCTCTGGACTTTGACAACTTTATTCTGGTTAGTATGTAGAACATTAATTTCTTTCCATTTTACGTTTAAGGTTTTCTTATATAGACTTTAGTGCATTTTGGAAAAGTCTATCTGGAAACGGTATTTTTAAAAATATAGGAAATATAGGAAACGGAAACGTGGGAAAACTCCTAAATGTGAAAAATATAGGGTATATTTATAAATATAAAAAAAAATTATTATAAACCATTGTTCGACAAGAAATTTAATTATAAATACATAAATAATTAATTATTACTCAACATTTAATTATATCCAAAAGAAAAAAGAATACGTTTACAAGTTCCATACCCATAAAAAATAGATGTTGTGTGAATTCGCTTTTATGTATGTATTTATTTTCATTAAGAATCGAGTTTCCAAGAGTTTTCTGTTTTTGATGGGGGAAACATGTTTCCAAATTACCCAATTTACGGAAATGGCCACTAAATGTTTCCGAGGAGTTTCCAAATGTTTGTGTGCAGTAAATGTTTCAGAAACGAGGGAACGGCAGCCAAAGAAAGTTTCCGTGCAACATCAGTCTGCCTTTTGATATTTATTTATAATATGAGAGTTTAACAGCTGAACCTGTATTTCATTTGGAAAAAAGACCTCAAATCAACATACTTGACCTTTGTTATGACATCTCAATATACTTAGATGAACTCAACTGCTCATCAATTCTTTGAACCTGGTAGGATGATGAGGTCACAAGTCCTAAAGTTCTTTTGATTGTTTGCATCTGGGTATATATTACTTCTCTGTGCTCTCTCAACAATTAAACATGGCATGATGAGATCAAAAGCCTAAATCCTCTTAATAGCACATGCATGTGTAGAATATTGAGTCGCTATGCTTTCTCGAAAGTTAGACCCTTTTGGCACGGTTGTTAATAGTTGCTTAATTGTTGACTTACTTTCTCCAATATAATTGGTGTGTTTAATATTCATTCTTTAAGTTACATAAATGTTATGTAACTTGTTCTAACTTTTGTTCAAACTAAACAAAAAGAAAAAGGGAAAGAAATAAGAAGCTTCATAAAATAAAGCACACTGAAGTCACAATTCTCACACTGATTGGATACTGGACATATGAGTGATACATTAAGATTACCTCTCTCAAAAGTCATGACTTTCAGACGATTGGTTTTGGTGCTTAATTGTCAGTTCAGTTCCATTTCTTGTAAATGATATCATAGTTTGTTACAGAGTTGCCTCCACAACCTTAATTGTGCTCTATCTCTCTCTCTATCTATATGTGTGTGCGCGCGCGCACACACATTTCTATGATGAAATTTAATATTGGTATTGTGGGCCTCATTTTCTCCAGAACTCTTGAGGCATTCCCATACGCTTCATTATGAGCTCTTCCTTGGTGCTTAAGAGATTTTTTTTTCTTTCCCATGTGAATAGATAACTGGTGAATCAGAATCTGTGAAGAGAGCATTGTTTGCAGTTTCTGCAATTATGTATAAATTCAACCCTAAAGAAGAAATTCCTCTTGAGACAACTGTGCCAGAAGCTCCTCCAAGCATTATTATACCCTCGGATGTTTCTATTTATCCACCAGGTGGATTATATCCAAACGCAGATCAAATTGCCCCTCCTAGATCTGTTCCGCCAATTTTAAGTTCAACACATATGCCTGAACTTCAGGGTTATGGGGATACGAGGAATTCATGGCCTGTATATTCATCCACCCTCCCTGTAGTACCTAGCTTTGGCAGTGACTTGAGATCTGAGGAGTTAATAATACGAGTGTTGTGCCCCTTTGACAAGATTGGGCGAGTAATTGGCAAGGGAGGGGGCACTATTAAAAGCATAAGGCAGGCTAGTGGAGCTCGTGTTGAGGTCGATGATACCAAGGCTGACCGTGATGAGTGCATCATTACAGTTACCGCAACAGAGGTGCAATTCTTTTCTTTTTTTGTTTTCCAGTTTCCACAGTTGTTTTTCCTCTTCTTTTTTTCTTTTTTCTTTTTTGAATTTTTGTGAACAGTCAAACTATGTGGAGAAGGAACCTGATTATATCAAAGTTTCCTTGTTAATATACTGTTTCGAAGAAGCATCTCAATACAAAAGATGTATGAAATAAAGCATCTCACTTCCAAGCTGCATCAAATATTTGTTAGTTTCATAGCAATACTTAGTGCAGTTATTTCTTAAAACTTATTTCATAGATTGGATGCGAGCGTTTTTACTTCTCCTATATGTTCTAGTTCAAATATTTTGGTGAGAATATTGATCCTTATAAAAAGAAATCTGATACCAATTGGTGTTCTGCTCATAAACTGAAATGTTCTCATAGAATACGTTGAGTGTTGGTCATCTAATGTTTCTACCATTGTGGCAGTCACCCGACGATTTGAAATCCATGGCAGTTGAAGCTGTTTTACTACTCCAAGGGAAGATTAATGATGAAGATGATGACACCATTAGCATCAGACTCCTTGTTCCCTCTAAAGTTATTGGGTGCATTATTGGGAAAAGTGGTTCAATTGTAAATGAAATTCGGAAGAGAACCAGAGCAGATGTGCGCATATCAAAAGGCGAGAAGCCCAAGTGTGCTGATTCCAATGATGAACTTGTTGAGGTCTGGTTTATGAACTTATCCAAGACTTTATTCTATAAGTTTATGTCATATCTAGATTTGGCTTGCGCTGACTTTGTACCTCTGTAGGTATTAGGAGAAGTTGGTAATGTGAGAGATGCACTAGTCCAGATTGTTTTGAGACTCAGAGATGATATATTGAAAGAGAAAGATAATGGCCGTAATCCTTCAGCAGGTGCTGATTCTCTATATTCAGGTGGCGCTGGTATTCCTATGCCATCTCTATTGCCTTCTGTTCCACCAGTTGCTCCACTGGCTTATGACCAGAGGGCTGAAACTGGAAGTGGCTTGGGCCTGCTTTCAACAAACAGCCTTTATGGATATGGATCTTTGGCGGTATGAGCCTACTTGGGCAAATTTTGTCCCCCACTAGTTTCTTCTTTATGATAATTTACTATTTTAGTTTATAGCCTTCATATAGGCATCAGGAGTTCTGTTCAAGTCAATTGATGAAGGATGTCTCTTTTCGTTTGCGTGTTTTACTTGATATATCATATTTTATTGAGTTCTCCTGCTATTTTTCTTATGTGCACATTTCTGTTAAAGTTTTTATTTCCTCTTCTTCTTTTCATGCTTCTTTGCTTTAATCAAAATTTGATGATGGTTGCTGCTCCATTGGAATTTTTTTTTCCTTGTGAGTTTCTGATTTAATGTCTTCTTGCTTCTGTTAGTATTCATTCTTTATTTATTTTTGTTTAGATGGGGGAAAACGGTTATGGTTCAATGTCCTCATATTCATCATCTAAGCTGTATGGAGGGTTAGTACATTTTGTTCGTGAATTCTTGAGATAAGCCTGTTACCCTTGGTTCTATACCTTCAATTCAAGCTGTTTCTATGTGCTTGTGCAGGTTGCCTCAACCCTCAACGTTAGAGATCTTGGTGCCTGCTAATGCAGTGGGTAAAGTTTTGGGCAAAGGAGGGGCTAATATAGCCAACATCCGGAAGGTGTGTTCATACCTTTGCTCATTCCCTGGATGCACAGATGCAAACATGTAAACTTTTGGGGATTTTAGTAAAAATTGCATTCATTGTGGAAAAAAAGATGCAAAAAACAGTATTCACACAGGATCTTTCTTTTCTTAGTATAATCTGGTATGACTGAGCACAAGTATATCTACTGGGTTTCTTAAAGCAAAGTCTGTTGGACAAGATTCCTACTCATGCAAGAGATGAAAGATGAAGCTGATTAAGTGCTTGTGACCGTGAATTACTGTACATGGGGGTTGAGATCATAAATCCCCGCAATCTACATGTGTATTGCTACTGCCTTTGTTTGCTTTTGTCCACACTTAAGTTGTTAGTAATTGTCACTTTCACTTGTATTGCATTTTGGTTCCACTATATTGAATTTGTATACCAGTTGGCCATGCTAATTTATGCATATTGTCATTCCAGAATACCATAAAAGCATTTGAACTTATGCTACAGCCATTTTCAGAAATTTTATGCGTGTGTGCGCGCGCGCGCGCGCAAGGGTTATTTATTTTCCTCATATTTGATCTTAATTTTTTTCCGATGTGAGTTAAATTACATCTTATGCTTGTTTTGTTTTCAGATATCAGGGGCAATGATCGAGATATCTGATGCCAAATCTGCTAGGGGTGATCGTATTGCTCATATATCTGGCACACCAGAGCAGAAGCGTGCAGCTGAAAACTTGATCCAGGCATTTATAATGGCCACCTAAGTGTTGCGAACACTTCTTGATATTTGAAGGTGAATGGTTAAAAATCTTGGAAAATTTTCTTCGGCAATTTGTCCTTAGTTTATTTAGGTTTCGTCTGGAAGGGGCTTCATTTACTAGGCTTCCACAACTGAAGTCCTCCTGTTTCTTACATAACGCTGCCAATCAAGATCATGTGGGAGATTTACCGCCATTGTTGCTTGATCTATTCCCTGATCTGCGGATCTTAGAACTTTTTAGGTTCTTTCATTCCCTTCTTTTGTTTTATCAGGTCTTATCACTAACTAGTATGAGGCCCATCCTATTTCCGTTATTGTTTATTCTCTAATTTTATACTCACGTCAGAAAATGTTTTCAGTGACCATATTGCCAAACTCTATGAATGTGTGTTGTTTTTCTGGCGATACAATCTCGTGCACTCTGCTTGTTGGAAGATCTCTCCCAGCAATTCAAAATGCTGTATATTTGATGTTGAATCTCTACTTTATATTTTCCTGGTTTTTGCATTTCTAATGTAGCTTACTAAAGGCTATCAGTTCCTCTTCAAATAAAGTAGATATGACTCTTAGGAGCTCAACTTTCTTAATTCTCCTCTTAGTTTAGAGTCTTGTCTTTTTCTTTTTTCTGATTTATAAAGAGAATGTTTCAGAGGGCAGTTAAATTGCGCCACCATCCAGCTCCAGGATATCTCTTAGTATCCTCAATATATATTTTTGCGAATTATTTGTTCAATATCCTTCTGTGAAGGCTCAAATATCTTTTTTGTCTTGAAAACTTTTATTATTCCATACAAATCACATGATGTACTTCTTGTTTACTCTTTGGCTCACCTATTTCTTCTGTAACGATTAGTTGCTGTTTCTGTTGACTGCTGAGTTTGCTGCATCTTAAATTTAGTTGACCGTTAGTAGCGATGATAACTCATGTTATGAGCATCTTTTCTAGATGACTTGTAAGGGCATAATTAAATAAGCTTCCCATCTAATGGCTCCCACTCTATTTTCACTTCGTTCTGGGCCTCCCTCCAATTCTAGTTCCATCTATTACAACTTTGGTTCGTACACTTTCTGTTTCTTGCATTATTTTCAATGCACTATTTAGTTGTTGATGAAGGGCTCTTCTGAAAAAGTATTACTGGTTCCTTTTTATAGTGAATCTTCTTTCTACAGCGTTCTTTATGTCCATAAAATATATAAGGCCTTGTGACAAAAGAACCCAAATATTTGCATTTTGTTTTCAACTTCAGCATATTCTTTTAATTGTCATTTTAGCCTGCCTTTATGGCATTGATAACAATTTTGGCCAATTTAGTTAGAGAAAATGAAATCTCTGTAAATCCTTCATATCTATCTCAATTTGCAAAATATTATTTTGCGTACTATTAAGGGCAAATAATAAAATCCCTAAGTTATAGTCAAATTAACACATGTGGACCTCTATTTCTAAAAACTAACTACGAGATCTTTAAATTATGATTTTATTAACACTTTGGTCCTTCTGTCCAAAAAAAAGGGACCAAAGTATTAACGAAAATCATAATGAAACCTTAACAAAAGTCATAAGTTAGGGACTTCATAGTTAATTTGACTATAATTTAGAGACTAATTTCTTAATCAATTGACATTTAAAAGAGACTATTTTGAATGAAAGGACCAATGTGTTAATGGAATCATAAGTTAATGATTTCATAGTTAGTTTTTGAAAATAGAGGTCCTCATTTATTAATTTGACTACAACTCAGGAATCAATTTATTTTTTATCCCTACTATTAAATTTGAAACTAACTAATTTATGTTTTCTTTTAAAAGATATCTATGTAAAACTGTTCTAATAATTGGTAAATAAAAATATTAACTTTTTTAGGAAGGAAATAGTTTAAGAAATAGTATTTTGTCTTATCAACATCTGAAAGCAATTTAAACTATATTTTTGCCCACCAAGACAGCTAAGTGAGCTTTAAAAATAAAATCCAGTTCTCACTAAATTGGCCAAAATGGTTACCAATATCAAAAGGTTAGGATAAATTGGGAAAATGAAAATGCTTTGTTAAGATTGAAAATTCATGCAGAGTTTTATGGTTATTAGATATCTATATAACACAATCTAAATGTAAAAGGTAGTTGGTGATAGTTGCTTAATTTTCATTCAACGGCAGTTGATCTTGTTTTCCTGTATGTCTTTTCTGGGAGCTGCAACTCAGTGTCAGTCACATGTTACTATGTGGTTCTCACTGAATATTTGTCACTTTTCCATTTTCTTTGTGTCTATTTGAGGATTATTGATACTGGACTTTCACAAGAATGGTTCCTAATCTCACTTGGTATACGATGCTCCTTATGCGCAAGCGGGATTGCCTGGTTTGGGATTCAATCCTAGTATTTCATTGTGATCCCAAATAATTCTAGCTTGTGACAATGAACTGCAAAGCAATTTGCGAAGTTCAGATTGCCATGTTCTGGCAATGTTGTTTATTATAATTTTATCGATGTTGATCCACTAGGCATTTTTGTCTGAACAGCCTTCCCTCCCCTTAAGCTCCTTCCTTTTGCTATATTTGACAACCAAGTGATCTTGTCCTAGTACGCTTGCATTGAAAATCTGTAGGTAAAGCTCAACTTTTTAGGTGCTGCCCCTCCAATCAGGATTTCATATTAATTTCTTATATAGCGGCATTCTTCTTAAAATCTTAGAGGTCGATCCTAAAGTGCAAGCTTTTGAACTTGACAAAGTTTTAATGGTAGAGTACCTTTACAGTTGACAGTTCTGTACTATGCTGAGTCACTTTGTGGTGGTTTTGACTGGATATCAAGCTTTGTTTTTAGAATGAAGAGTTTTATTTTATAGGGTTAGCTTCTTTCTTGCCTTGTCAGATTGTGATAACATAGTCTGCTATGATAAGCAAGATTTCCCACTTTCTTTGCTCTCTGTCTACTGACATGCAAAAATTTCCTTCATTGTGCCCCTTCCTTTTAATTGCACAGGGCACTTCTTGACCAATTGTGTTAGCATTTGATAGATACAATAGTTTTTTTGCGTCCCTGTACAGTTTTAATGGAGGTCAATGAGATATGGTAGCTGTTTAGATGAGAAGAAAGCAATTTATGTATTCTCTTAGTTTTGTACTTTTTTTATTTTTTTCAGTTGCTATAGACAGTACTGTATATTGTTGTAAAGACCTGTTGTTGTAACTAGAGAACTTGCTTAACTTTTGAATTAAGCATAATGAAGAGGGGGAACCTTTTGTCAAATGATATTGTATATGGCTATCTTTTCTCCTTTGTGTATTTGTATGTGCACTAGTATATGTGCTTGTTTTCCTTATTTTTTCTGTAACAAATGTTTTCCTCATTTTTTCTGTATTCATGGTTCGCGTACTATATTGTAATTCTTGTGTGCACTAAAGTTATTGCATCTTTTAAAATGCTTAGCTACTTTTTAAATGGCGGAATTGGCTTGATTTGTTGATGAAGCTTATCTGATTTACTCTGTTTCTGTAAGAAGCTGAGTAGATGTTGTCAATTTTCAGATTACTTGCCGTAGGATTCATATAGAAAGAAAATTTGCAACTAAACAAAATGCTTTCCATGATTTACAATTTTGGCGGTGTAGTTTGCAAAACATTTGCCGTTTCGGCTTAAGCTTTCCAATGTGCAATTGGTGGAATGTCTATTTCTCTAGTCAACAAATTGATATTTGCCCATTTGCATCTATTTGCATAAAGAAAAGGTACTGAAATCAGCTGTGCATATGAAACGACACGGCCTATGATAGGCCTTGCTAGCAAGTGCATTACAAAAAGGAAAAACCCAATTTTGGTTTGGGAAGCAAAGTGGATATCCGACGTAGAAGACGCTATAATTTACAAATTGCATATATTTCTAAGTCGCGTAATATTCTGTTGGATGAATTTGTATTGTGAAAGAGAGATTCATTGGAGGAACAAAACACTACTTCAAATAGTAATTGTGAGGTGATGCTTGTCTTATTAGAAACGTTTCAAAAATTACCTTATTTAAAGATTGCATGGGAATGAAGCAAATCAACAGCTGAATCATACTCTACCTAGATAACAACTGTTAAGCAATATGTCATTCAATAAAAGAGAAGAAGAAAAAGAAAGAAAAGCAAATATGCATCGAGTCGAATATCCACTTGATATTTACTGCAGAATTTGGTTTAGTGGTAGTATATATTTTCTTTAAATAAATAATATAAAATAAAAAGGAAATAAAAGAGAAGCACGACGGTGATAGGTGGCTTTGGAAACTGGTATATAATTGGGAAGCGAGTGATTACGATAATATGTGCTTTGGGAGGTGTATCGCCGCAATATGACGTCAAATCTTAGGAAAACGTAAACACCTACTATACAAAACACTCTCTTCTTTGTTTTTTTATTTTTTATTTTTTATTTATTTTTTCTTATACTATTTTATATTTAAATGTCACTGATCCGATCAACCTGACTTTGCATTAAATAGAACTTTTCATATATTTAAAGAAATTCAATAATCATCAAAGAAAGTAGAAGTAAAAAATTACGAATCAATTTATTTTTTTATTAATATAAAAAGTGAATAATTATCCAAAGAATTTTCATTAATTGGGTAAATTAAAGAATGACTTATAATAATAATATTATTATTATTATTATTATTGTCCATCGATAAATAAAAAAAATGCAAAATGTGAATTTAAAGTTTTGTTATATTAATTTTATAGAAAAATTAATAAAAATTATTTAATTGATTTTTAAAAAGAAAATTCCGACTAATGAACTAGTAGTAGTTGTTTATCCTTAACATCATTCCTTCATAAAAAGCCATTGGAGAGATAATATAAATTATTGACGGAGAAGAGAACAATAACACAACTGATAACCACTTTTGCTAATAACTACTTTATCTTAAAAATTTTCAAATTTTCATTTGTATCAATGTCTGCATCAGCTAAGAAACCAATCCAGTGTTTATTGAGCAGAGTTTGCAGAGAAACTAGAAGGACTTATGGCGCTCTTCCTGAAGGTGCCTCTCCTTCCTCTTCTCAACAACTCATCGGCTTGGAATATGAATTCAGCGCTCACAAGTAAAAAAATCCTCTCTTTTTCTCTGTTTCTTTTCATTTTATTAGAATTCATGTTGTTTTCTATGATCATAACATTCCAATTGATGTGTAGATTTGTTTTTTTGGTGTAATTTGTTGGTCTTGTCGATGTAATGTAGTTACCATCCAGTTCCTGTTGTATTCTCTCAAGCGAAGGGTTCTTCTATTTGGGATCCTGAAGGCAACAAGTATCTTGATTTTCTTTCAGCTTACTCTGCAGTTAATCAGGTAATTAATGATATTTTTTATACTTTCTTAATGGGTTTAATCTCCAATCAATTATATAGATAATTGTTCGTGTACAGAAGCAGCACTTTTTTCTTTTGCTTATGAAGGCTTTTCTTTGTTTAAGATGGATTTGGATTTAAATTTATAGCTTCCTTTTTACAGGGACATTGCCATCCAAAGATAATGAAAGCATTGCAAGAGCAGGCAGAAAAGCTTACTCTCAGCTCTAGAGCCTTCTATAATGATAAATTTCCAATATTTGCAGAGCGTTTGACAAGCATGTTAGGCTATGATATGGTGCTGCCGATGAACACTGGTGCTGAGGGTGTGGAAACAGCTCTGAAGTTGGCTAGGAAATGGGGATATGAGAAGAAGAAAATTCCTAAGGATGAGGTAAAATACGAGCAGCTTGTGTGTATTAATACCTGCTGTGGTTAATGGCTATTATGTAAAACTATGTGAAATTCTTCTATTCTAATCAATTTATGTGCAAAGATAGTTCTTGGTATGCCGTTATGCCAGTTCATGAAGATTCAAGAATGTTAGTCAATCAAGTGAACTTTGGCAATGGAGAGATAAGGCAAGCAAAAGAAAATTTTGTTTAACATGCCATACTGCCTCTTTGAATTTTTGCTTGTGATTAAAATTTAAAAGTAATTGGGACTTGTTATAATGCCGATAAATCTACCAATGATCATCAAAAACATAAATATTTTGTTTTTAATTTTTCTATATCAATTCTTTGCCGATTATATTATTATTATTATTATTATTATTGAAATTCATGTTATAAATGATTTTATAGCATCCATTGCCTTTGATTCTTTGTAAAATTTTTGTTTTTTACTCTGTATTCCAAGCATTTATTTGTCTTAAAATCTGAAGTTGTTATATAAAGTGTTCTGCTGATAATATAAAGTAATTGTCTTTTGCTTTCTTTCTTTCTTTCTTTCTTTTTTCTTTTTTCTTTTTTTAATGATGCTGATCAAGAAATTTGGGTTTCACAATTTAAGGTTGCAGTATTATATATTATACTCATTTTAACAACTAACATTTAGTTTATAACTTGTCATTTTTCAAACCTCAAATATTACTTCTTTTTGCTTTTTAGTTTATTATTGCAAAAATTGTTCTTAATTGAAGTTTGGTTTATGCAGGCCATTATTGTCTCTTGTTGTGGCTGCTTCCATGGCCGTACATTAGCTGTCATCTCTATGAGCTGTGACAATGAGGCAACTCGGGGGTTTGGGCCATTGTTGCCTGGCCATCTTAAGGTTGATTTTGGTGATGAAGTTGCCCTTGAGAAAATTTTTAAAGGTTTGAATACCAAAGGTTTTAATAGTCATGATCCTTATTCCATTTGCATGGTATCGATGTTTTGGTAAAGCATTTCACTTCATGGATCATTATAATTTATATTTCATTTTATGAACCATTGTGATTTATCTGTATAGTTTTTAGCTCTATTGTGCGAGAGGGATATGAAAAAATGTTTTAAATGATTTATGCTTGCAGAAAGAGGAGACCAAATAGCTGGATTTCTTTTTGAACCTATCCAAGGAGAGGCAGGGGTATGTGTTTTCTGGTTTTGGATTGAAAAATTGTTATAAGATTTGAAGTACAAATCTTTGGCCTGTCTATCTAGATCTTTGCCTAAGTACATGAATTTAGTTTCAAATGAGAAGTGAATAATTGTTCTGTTGTTTATTTGTAAGTCCTGTAGCAGTATACTTAACTCTGATGTGGAATGTTTACGAAATAGAGCAACGTGGTTGCTTCAATCATTTTCTATTTTCCTTTCAATAAACTAAATTAAGAATGTAATATTCATGTTTAAATTCACAATGTTAGGGAATTTATAGTAAAGTAGGAATGCAGAATCTGCTTCTTGTTGAGCGTGTTCAATGTATGTGCTGATAATATAACGTATGCAATTTATGTCAAAGCTCACATTCCTTGTTCAGCAGAGAACGAGTTTTCTTTTTGTTTATTGTTCTCTTGGAGGAGCTAATTCTTCCATTTCCTTGTTCCCTTTAATCATTCCCACCTCTCTGTTTACTTGTGAACTATTTTAAATGCTTACTTTCTCTTTGTATGATAGGTTATAATTCCCCCTGATGGTTACCTACAAGCTGTCAGAGATCTTTGCTCAAAATATAATGTTCTGATGATTGCTGATGAAATTCAAACTGGCTTAGCACGGACAGGAAAAATGCTGGCTTGCGATTGGGAACAAGTTCGCCCTGATGTAGTGGTAACTCTCTTTTTCTTCTTTTGTTTTGATGGGTTTCCTGCTGTAGTGAAGACATTCCTTTCAAAATTAGTTCAGATGAACATGCTGCCTCTTTAACATTTAGTGAAAAAATGTTTGCCTGAATTGTAGATTATTTATAATTCCATAAAAATTGGTTCACCAGCCGGTTTCCTTTTTTTTCTAAATTCTGTAGTTAGGTTCTGAAGCAGCACATATAGCATGTATTGAGGAAATATGGTACTATAAGCAGCAGAAATGTAGCAAGTTGAATTGAAACTGATTATTGTAATGCTGGCTATAATTTGGTTTCACAATATGTAAAAATGCTTGGGTTCATCTCCTGAGGATTGAGATGCAGTGGCCATTCCTAGAAGGATATGTTAGATCCAAATTCTGTCCTAGGATGAAGTCTGTTAAGAATATGCTTTTATATACATCTTTGACTTTCCATAAACCAAACTATTCGTCCTGTAATAGAATGCTTGGTTATGAACTTTTATTGGATTTGCTTGAAGTAAATGAATGATAGTCTCATTTGGACTTTCAATATCTATACTCTTTCACATATATATAACTATTCGTCCTGTAATAGAATGCCTTGGTTTAATGAACTTTTATTGGATTGCTTTGAAGTAAGATTGATGATAGTTCTCATTTGGACTTTTTCAATACTCTATACTCTTTCACTATATATATATATATATATATATATATATAATATGTTTACCTGCATTTGTGTTTTCTGCCTTCGGAAAATGCAGCAACAATTATAAACTTGATATTATTCTTTAACTTGACGAAGAAAAAGTTTAAGGCCTTAAATCTATTACACTTATATATATATATAATATGTTTACCTGCATTTGTGTTTTCTTGCCTTCGGAAATGCAGCACAATTATAAACTTGATATTATCTTAACTTGACGAAGAAAAGTTAGGCCTAAATCTATTACACTTTGAAGTTACATCTTCAGAAATGAACCCACTATTGCAGCTACAGTTTATCATTTCCCTTGTTTAAACGAAAATTTCTGGAATTTGAAGTAAACAGAGAGTTAATGCTACAAGCATATATGTTGGTCAAATCCACTCCAGTTTGTGAGCTGCAAGGGATTGATTTTGCTAATTATAAGAGCAATAACCATCCTTTGTCGATTATCGACCTTTATAATGATTTTCTTTATTTATTTTTTGGCGAATTAACTAAGCTTTCTAGGTTAGAAATTGACTGATTCTTACGCATGCTAAACCTAATTGAGTGAATTAATATTATTTTACAAATTTGTCTTATATGCTTCCATAAGTGAAATAACTCTTTCTATGGTTTTTCTGCTCAGATACTAGGGAAAGCATTGGGTGGTGGAGTAATACCTGTAAGTGCAGTGCTCGCAGACAAAGATGTGATGCTTTGCATTCAACCTGGAGAGCATGGAAGGTTTGTCTATTCTATCTGGTTGTTTCTATGTGTATATTAGCATGTATATTATTTACTTTCCTAGATATCTATAGCTTTCTGTTCTGAGATCTCTCTTAGCTAGTGTCTACAATCTTCATTGTGTTATTACTGGGTTACTGCTTATAATGGCTCTGTTATTATTATCCTCAGCACATTTGGGGGAAATCCTTTGGCCAGTGCAGTTGCTGTTGCCTCACTTGATGTCATTAAAGATGAGCAGCTTGCTGAAAGGTATATATCCATATAATACATTATCAAGATATCTTCTGGAAATTTAATAATTAATACTTGATAAAATGTTGCTTTTTTGTCATCTAAATCATCGGAAATTGAGAGATACAGAAGTTGAACAAACTCCATTAATTTACTAAGATCTGATTTATTAATAAGAAGACTTAATAGAGTTGTTAATCAAAGTTCAACTCATAAGACATCCCTTCTTGGGAAGCAAAAGACATTCTTCGCATGAGGATCTCTTTCATTTGTTTTGATGTTTTGAATTCAAATTTGAAATCCATTTAAATGAAATTTGCTTGAGAACCTTTCTTATAAACCTCACTTAAGCATAAAAACATTTACCCCCTCCATTCCATAATTCTTATCCTACTTTCCTTTTCCATCCATTCTAAATTTTTGTCCTTTTCCTATTTTTAGAAGTGAATAATATTTAAAGTTTATTATTTTCCCTTATTTAATATGCTTTTTTGTCAATATATATGATTGTCAAACAACTATATGACATTATTAATATGTACCAATTAAATGTAATGGATTAATGTAAAAGTATATTAGGATAAAACAATGCAAAAATTATAGTTTTAACTATATTAACTAAATTTTCTTAATTTATGTGCAATTCAAACCATGACAAAAATTATGGTATGGAAGGAGTATTTTTATCCATTTTCTTTTCTCCTTGTTTTAAGTTTTTCTCTTTTTGAAGAATTCATCCATGATACTGAATTTCTTCAATTTTTTAGGTCTTCCCATTTAGGGGAGGAACTCAGGAATCAGCTATTTAAGGTTCAGCAACAGTTTCCAGACTACATTAAGGAAGTTCGAGGAAGAGGTTTGTTTAATGCTGTGGAGTTCAACAGCAAGACTTTGTCCCCAGTTTCTGCATATGAAATTTGTCTGAAGTTGAAGGACAGAGGAATTCTCGCTAAACCCACACATAACACCATTGTCCGGTTAACACCTCCACTCTCCATGAGGTAAGGAAGCATTGATAAGTGTTGAATGAAAATTGTGGCACTGAAAACTTTAAATTTCTCTTTATGAACTTAATCTGATCTGATGATACCTTTTGGTGCAATGAAATAAAGGAATAAATGAAATCATTGATATTGGTCAATCGAGAAGTTTTTGCATTCCCCAGGATGAATGATAACCATTTGTAGGCCTTAAAGTAGGATAGTTGGGACCTATTCAAACCCCATACTGATAATTGATAAATGCTTGGGCCATCAACCAATAGCATTGTTTAAGTTGGTTTACCTTGTAATGTTGTACTAGGCCATCCGAATTCTTTCCTCTAGTTCAATATGACACTAATTGATAGGTAGGCTGAAGATATATCATGTGCAAAGAAATAATAGACAACATTTTTGCATAACAACTTATCACTGCATGACGATATATTGAAAGCCTTGAGCATCTTTTCTGTGAGGAGTAGATTTTTTTCGTAATCCTTGTTCTTCTGTTTGGTTTTTGGTGGCTTTATCCATTTTTCTTTTGGATGATATCTCTTGCATTTTCAGTCGAAGAATTCTTGCAAATGTTGTCTTGTAACAGTAGCTTACACTGAGCTCTGAGCAGATTCACTTTCAGATAGGCATTTTGTTCCCTTTTATTTAATGACAATAGGATGCCTTTACTTGGAAGTTGATGAGAAATTCATTATGCTGTGAAAACTAAGACATTAGACATATATGTTCTAGTACAAACTCTTGAGTCAATATCTTCTAGATTTATGTAGTTTTGTATAATATCTTAATTGGACCAATCCACTTCTCTCTCTTAAAATTTTTAATCTAATATTTAATATCCATCTTCCATTGTTTGCTAACTAGAATTGTTTCTTATGGTACAAGTATATGACTTGATAAATAACTGTGTTGTTTTCAGTTTGGAGGAGCTCCGAGAAGGCACGAAGGCTCTGCGTGAAGTGTTGGAACTTGATTTACCAAGCATGCAGAAAACCAAACCAGAGAAGGCTTCCCCAGCTGCTTCTGCAGCATGTGATCACTGTGGGCGAAATTTGTATGGTTCTTCAGATTAAGATGTATAAATAACTAGTTCTTTCAGGCTAAGACTTATAAACTACAACTTGCATGTTTCAAGGCGATGACACTGGATTTTTATCTCCGATACTATACCAGCATATAGATTCTCTGAAATTTATAAGCTCATTTCTAGTCCTCTTTTATAAAAATTATGCAACTGAGATTCTCATCTCAATCTGAATGATGGTTTTCACTTTCTACTGTTCATCATTCAAGCGATTTATACTGTGCAAGAATAATAGAAGTAGAATATTTCTCTGTTTGACCTACTTTTTTAAATGTTCCATTCCTTATTTATTTTTTTTTTTTTCCCAAAACATTCTTTTGTACTCAACGAAATATGGACGGTGATATTGGAATGGAAGATGTCCAACCATAGTACCCAATATGCAACCAATAAGCTTCATTCCTGAGTACTGAATTTCATAATTTGCTACCAACAGTTATCTGAAATTCACAGAAAAAATCTGATGAGTTGCAATTTATCCTCAATATTTTTGCAACATAATTTAAAGCAAGTCATTTCACTTCAAAGCTGATTTGCCAGATTAGGTGATGAGATGGCCCTGGCCCCATAAAATGTGATCTTTCAACTTTTATATGACTTTGTTCTTATTTAGGTTTTATACACTGTCTGTATCTGTGCATGTTAGACAAAGGGAGAAAGCATTTTTCCCCAAAGTTTGTTGCTCTCTTGTATCGGTTTAAGTGCAGCATGGCTCGGAATCAAATACCTGTCCAGTTGCACGTGGAAATAGGAGATGGGCAAAACATGGGATTCAGGTACATTAAATTTCTTTCTCAGTTAGGATAGAATCCTATCTGATACAAAATTATAATTTTTCTCTATATATATATGCACACACCAACGTAGAAGAGAGGAGTGTACATGTGCTTATACATGAGCTTGCATACGCATGAGTTTGCAAACTCATTCCTGTAAACAAGTACAGGGCTTCATATTAATAGTGTTCTCTCTCTTCTGAGCTTCTCACACAGGCGTCACATGTATTCTTTATGGAAGCTGCTTAATTTATATATTCTTGTCTGGTGGTGCCATTTTAGTTTTAAATAGAGATTAATAATTTATGGATAAACATTTAACTGATTTTTCAGGTTTCATTTGAAATGCTAGCAAGTTAAAGTTCTATATCACTTTTCTTTTTGTTCCTTCTTCTTGTTGAATTAGACACACTCCATAGCTTTGTTCTTTATTATTTTTTATCCTTGTCTTGTGGTATAAGTATAAATAAGGTCACGTATATTAATTGTATACACCAGAATAATTAAAGGGTATGATTTTTTTTTTTGAAGATTTTGGTGGAGGGAGACATGTTAGAGACACAATAATGGAAAAACTTTTGGTGGTTATGTAATTATATAGCAAGAAACAGCTTCTTCTTCTTAATTATTTGATATACTTGCAGACGGATCATGTTAACCCATGAGAGGGAGCCCTTGTTAGCAGCCTCACCTTATTATAATGGATCATGTGCCCTACAAATTCTATTTTAGAAGTGTGTTTGTTTGCACCTTAGCTGGATATCATTATTGTTTATTGCAAAAGGCTTAGCTGTTATATATGAATGATCATAATATTGTAAGAACTTGCAACTTTGTATTTAATACAAAATTAAATACAAAGTTAAATATTGTTTAGGCTCTACCACTTCTGATGATACTCAAGAAATTTCGAAAAAGAAAACTATATTAATTAAAATCACTAATTTTCTACACTATAAGGAAGATACTCAAATTAATAATAATCTGACCTCGTAATACATTATACTTAAGCTTTGATCTCGATATAAATATAACAGTTTTTAAACGTATATGAGTGTGTAATTAGTATAATTTTGTCCTGCTGAGAGTGCGAAATAGCCAATTTATCATGTATTATGTAAATGCCAAAAAAATAATATATAGTACCAAAACCTATTAAATAAGGAATGTGGCTAGACATCCTTTCATGGTGGTTGAAGATGTTGTAGTCGGTGGATTTGAGATATAGAGGATAAATAAACAACTTGTGACCCCAGTTAAAATTATTTCATGGAATTCATTTGCTCAAAAGCTTGTAAAATCCTATTTGTGGCTGAGCATTTCAAGTATTGGTTGGTCCATATCTTTCTTGCCAGCCAATTATTAGTTCAGTAATCAACTATTTACACAGCAATATTAAAAATACATAACTAAAAATTCTATTAACATCCTTTTTTTATTAATGTTTGAAAAGTATATATATACTGAGTCCATAAGAATACGATCCATTAAAAATTAAAATTTATAACTGTTTTATCTAAATATTTTTCTTGAACTCGAATGTAGAAATATGTGTATGAACTTTACTTACAATGTCAGAAGTTGGAAACCTGGAAAATTCCAGTGTTTTCAGAGCAAGTTTCTTAACCAGTAACAATCTAAAGGTTGTAAAGTTAGTTAGACCAAGTTTAACTACTAAATGGTATTTTAATTTAGTCCTCATAATGACCAAAAACTCTAAAGTTATGGAAGTTAGCCTACTCTGTTTCTCCTGTTAACATCGGAAAAAAAAGTAATTTGCAGTAAAGTGATCTGTTTGTATGTGCATTTCATCAAATTCAAATGAAGGAAAGTAGCTCTTTCTTAAAATAATTAAAAGTGATTATGTTTGCTTAAACCTTAAACTTAGTGGAATCTTAGAAGAAAAGTGAGAAAGAAACGACCATTTCTGATTATACTCTTTGAACCAGCTGTCTTTGTCCTCTCATTCCTTATGATACAAGTATTTCTGTTTCTTTTTTTTTTTTTTTTTTTTTTTTCCAATTTTCTGATTATACTCTTTGAACCAGCTGTCTTTGTACCTCTCATTTCCTTTATGATACAAGTAATTCTGTCTTCTTTTTTTTTTTTTTTTTTTTTTTTTTTTTTTTGGGAAATGAATATAACATTTATGACAATGTCTTTGCTGTTGCATTATTAGGTTTCACTAATTAACTAAGTCGTCTCATTCAAATGAAAATAGTCTAATTCAATTATTTAATGGAAATTATTCTTTTTGCAATTTAAAAAAATATTTAATAATCTATGATATATATAAAAATGGGAATGGGTGGAGGGAATATTAGGATTGCTAAAAAATATATAGTAAGTTTATGAATTGATAGAAATATCATTAAAAAAATTTTTATTTGATTAATTGAAAATATAAAAATAATTTAATTTTGATTGTTCATATTAATTTTCTATATATATTTAAAACTAAATTGTATTGGATAAAATAAGAAATTATATTATATTACTATATAAAATATATATTATAATATAATAATACTATTTGATTGCATTCTTTTTTACAATTAGTAGTCTTGAACCGAAATCATATAATATAATAATTAAATAAGGTATATAATGTAAGGTATATAATGTATATATTAAATATGAATATATATATATGGTAATAAAATATTATATGATAATATTATTTGATGAAGACTAAATAAGGTATATAATAAATATGGTAAGAATATGATGCCTTTAAAGAATTTAATTTTATAATGACTAATATATTAATTATTATAATAATTAATATTGGTTTCTCATATTTTAGTAATATAGGCCATTTATTGTATTATACTATATGCAAAAAAGTTAAGTTAATTAAACTTAAATGGTTATAAAGAATTTAAATTGATTGATAAGTAATTTTATTTTCATGAAAATTTAATTATTAAAATATAATAATATTTTATTATTATAAGTATTTAATAATATTATGCTTTATAAATAAAATATAATAATATTTTATTATTATAAGTATGTTAATAATATTATGCTTTATAATAAAAAAATAATAAATTATATATAAAATTAAATTATATTTACTTGCGATGTTTAAAAATCAATAAGTGCAAATAACGTGTAATGCATGTTTGAGAAAAATAATATTTTTAAAAGTAGACAACATCAAAGATTCAAAACTTTCATTCTTCGTTATTGAGAGAGTTTTATCTAAATATTATCCCAATCTAAATAAGAAAATATAATTAAATAAATACATAAATTTATCCTTAGATTATGTGTCATATTAAATTTGTCGTGGGAAACCGGAAACCTACTGTACCTATCAATTTGCACATATTTTTATTCACCTAATAATAATAATTTTTAGAATTTTTATTTTTTAATATAAAATAATGATATAATATGTGATTAACATAATTTTTTAGAATAATGATTTTTATTATTTTTAACAATTTAATAAATGTGTATCAATTTAATTTTACAAATTAAAGTGTATAATAGTAATTTTATAATTTAAGGTGATGTAGTGGTAGTATATAGTTGAATCCCAACATCATCGATCATTAATGTTAAGCACGTACTAAAACATTAACATCATTCACTGTGTAATCACGGGAGTGGACAATTATAATTTAAGTGGGACCCACATTTACCAAATTTAAGATAATTATATTTATTGTCATTACTCATAAATTTTTTTTTTTTTTCTCAAATATTTAAGCTTCTTATTGGATGTGAAGGACCAAGTCACTATGTCTACGTGTACCTTTCAAAAAGAAAAGGGGACAATGACAACCATTACATATACACATATACAAGTTGATTAAACCTATGCCAAATGGCACCATATTAATTATTATTATTAATATATATAGTACAAATAATATCTTATAAATTATAATTTTTTTTTAAGTCCTACCTCTTTTTTTTTTTTCAACTTTTTTTAAGTGAACTTCAAATCCATATGTAACTAAGATCTTTAAAATTAAAATAGTATTTTTTTTTCCACTGAAATAAATAAACTCTTTCATTGTTTGTTGTGAACTAAATCATAAATAAAATTTTGTTTAGAACAATTTCATTTCTAATATTAAAAATAAATTAAGGATAAGAAGAACTGACCAATAATTTGATTGATTTAGTAATTAGCAACGCAATTAGAAAAGACATGATTTTATATTAAATTTGAATCGAAAAAGGTTGATTAGGAAAGTGATTATTGAACCAAAAAAATTAATAATCATTTATGTATGTGGTTGGGAGAGATTATAGGAAAAGAAAAGATTACCAAAACTTGCTAATTAAAATTAATCATGTGAATATAGTTGACCAAAATTTTAATGTAAGCATAAAAAAAGCATAGGTAAATTAATCCTTTGTATCTGTACTTTCATGATGTACGGAAATAATATCAGATTGTACATTAATACTTCTCTTCTTTATAGTTACTCCTTTGCGTCCAACCTTAAAAAGATACAAATCAAGAACACATGCCACAGCGTGAGGTTGCTTTTATTTATTTATTATAATTTAAGTGTATTTTTATTGATTTCTTAGATTAGATCTGATTAAACCTAATTCACTACTGCATGATGTCCTACGTTTTTTCCACTTAGATCCTGTTAATATAAGTTTTTTTTAATTACAATTTAATTTTCTATCAGTTCAGATAAATATTTTCCGTTAATTAATTTTTTTGTGTATCTCCAATGTCAAAATATTTTTAATATAAATTATTTTTTGAAAATAAACTGAGTAAACCAGGATTCAACTAGAATCTTAAAAATGAATGGAGTGATTATAATTGAATTTATCACCCTTTCATCAATTTGGACTAATTAACTAACCTGATTTGTGTGACCCATGAACAAAACATTTATGATTTACGTCATCTAATAGCTTTGTTTTAATGTCTATTAAGAAATTGTGTGGATAATTTCAAATTACGTCATTCATAATCAGCTCATTCCTAAAGTATAGGAGACGAACAAATTTCAACTTAAAGCATACGACACTTATGATTAATTCCAAAATAATTAATTAAATTGACAACACATGAATTTAAACAATTTATATTTTTAATAACTAGAGAAGAATAATTGAATTTGATCTATTTTCAAGTATTGATCATGAGGTTGAACTTACAAATGCTAGTTGATTTTCAAAATTTTTTTAATATAAAAGTGTTTAATTGATGAAAATAATTATTTTCACATATTTTATCTAATAAACTCTTAAATCTTGATTGATATTATTAAAATTTTAGTAATTGGAGAAACTGATTAAACGACATTTACAAATTACTTAAAAATTTATTACCAATTTACTTTTGTCAAGGAAAATATTCTTTATATGAACCATATAAATGGGCCTTGATTCATATTGGGTTCGGTTCGGTCGATCCATCACACGCCCCGGAGCAGGCAAATCGAGTAGCGGTTGAGGGCCATGGCCCACCATAATCAAAGCAGAATCACAAGTTGTTGCCCTACCTGTCTATGGTGTCTACTGTCTACCACCCATACTCTAATAGCTTCATTACTTTAAAATTAAAACTCGATTAAATTAAATATCGCCTTAAAATATACTTTACTGCTCATTTTATTACCAAATTGAAATATATTTTTTTATTCCCCTTTGTCTCTCTCTTTTTTTTTTTTTTTTTTTTTTTAACCAAATTGAAATATATTTTTTATTCCCCTTTGTCTCTCTCTTTTTTTTTTTTTTTTTTTTTTTTAATTTATAAGTGAACAGAATGGTTTTAAAATGTAATTAACCAAAAGTATTTTAAAGTCTTAGGTATCGTTGGACAATTAGCTTTTAGAGCATGTTTGAAACAAATGAATCATGATTGTAGAATTCATTTGCAAATGAGTTTATCATATTTGGTATGCTACAATTTAAAATAAGGAATTCAATTGAATTCCACAAAATTATATTTGTAATAAATTCTTAAATGAATAACAAACACCAATTATATTTATTATGTATAATATAATAACTTGCCATTTTTTATTAAAATATAAATAATAAATTTCATATAAATAAGTACACTAATATTTCACGCTAATTAATTAATTACATAAGCAATAACATTCACCATAATAATTATTTTTAAATGATGTAAAAAATTTTATTGATTTAAGTAATTAATTTGAAAACTAAAAAAATATTAAGAATATTATTATTGTTTTTAATTACATTTGAAAACAATTAAAACAATTGATGATGACTTGTTTTAATAGTATCACAGTTAATAAATAACTAACCGGTTATTACTAAAACTAAAAAAAATGTCATTACTAGTTTGAAATTTTTCAAAAAAAAAAAACAAAAAAGAAAAAAATAAAAATAAAAAAAAAAAAAAAAAGAAAAAAATAAAAATAAAAAAAACATCATTATTGGATAAAAAAAAATAACATTGTTATAGTTTGAAATTTTCCAAAGAAAAATAAACAAAAACGAAAAAGGAAAAAAAAAGTAAAAATAGTTGAGTTTATAGTAGGGGTAATTTTATCGATAAACATTTCAATAGTTAATTTTGTGAAATTTATTTACAAATTTCATCAATTTTAGTAGAATTTGGATTATACATATCTAATTTCATATAATTTAATTAGTAGAATTCTATATTTTTTCCATTCTAAACACAGTATTTTGAATTTTCAAATGAATTCTATAAATTAATTCGTTCCAAACGAATTGGTAGCCTTTTGAGAGCTTTTTATCTAATGTTAAATATTTCAATGTTTTAAATTTTACAAAGATTATATATCAAGGTGCACCCCACCGTAAGTGTATATATATATATATATATATATGTAGATGCCTAGTCCAAGTTTAAATTATATATATATAAAGTATATTATGATTATATGTAGATGCTAGTCAAGTTTAAATTTCCTAGCCCTTATTACTCAGTATTCAAAAAAAAAAATAAAAAAAACAAAGATTTTAAAAATTTAATTAAATTTTTTTTTTTTTATAATCATATCATTAGTTCTCTTTCACCCAATTCATTAATTAAATATTTATATTTTTTTGTTATTTTTAATTAAAAATATTAATTAAATTTTTTTATAATCATATCTATTATTTCTTTCACCAAATTCATTTAATTAAATATTTAATATTTTTTTGTTATTTTAATTTAAACGGTTAGGTATCAGTTAAAAATATCTTTTAAATTATTTTTCATTTCATTTATCATTTTAGAATATTAAGAAAGTTTTGGTTTTTTTTTTTTTAACTTTACATTTGTCTTTTAGTATCTCTACTGATATTTAGATAATTGACAAATGAATAATTTAATCAATTATAACAATTTTTTTCAAGTTGGAGTTACTTGATAATTTTTCTAATTGTTATGCGATTACCTTGAAATGTGTTTGGAGGGGATGAAACTATTATAATATAATGTTAATTTTGATAATAGCTATTGGGTATGCATATAATATTTTTAAATACTCTATTTAGTTAATAATTGTCTATATATGAGAAATTTATGGAGACTATTTTATCTTATGTTAAGTGTGTTATGTGTTTATTGAATTTGAATTATTTCTTGGACCAAACTAATAAAAAAAATTAAAAATTATAATTAAAACATAGCATTAAAATATTATCATTTTCAGCTGAAAGGTAAATGCATTACTTTAATGTCAATAGACAATAATAGCAATACCTATATTATTGTTAAATACTTTATGATTTTTCTTTTAAAATGAAAAAAAAAAAAAAGTAAAATGCACTCTCTTAAATAAAATAAATTAAAGGTTTAAATAAATTTTATTAGCATATAAAATCCGAAAATAAAATTCTCTGTCGATCTCTCACTCTCTCTCTCTCACATACACACACGCATCTTTTTCTCTTTACGCGCACAATAATATGCTTTCTCTGTGATTTATGATATGTCAACATCGTCTCTCTCATCTCTCTGTAAAGACAAAACCGTGGATCTATCTCCTCCGACCATTCCCCTTCTCTTCTCTTTCCCTTTCTCCTCCTCTTTCCTTCTCTCCATCTCTTTCTTTGTTCACAGACCTGCCTATTTTTGCAGCTAGAATTCTTTCCTTCCATTGATTTGGCCTTATCTCGTTGGTTGAGATCTAACTTTGTTTCTTCTTCCTACTAACTTCTTCCCTGTAAATCCCAGATCTCTCTAATTCTTCTTTTTCTAATCACCTCCTTGAGTCGTTAAAGATGACTTCTTTTCGCTCAGATCCGACCTCCAGAATCTACCCAGAACCAGAGTCTCTCTCAATCGATCACTTCGACCGCTTACCAGATTCGCTTCTGCTCCTCGTATTTAACAAAATTGGAGATGTTAAAGCGCTTGGCCGGTGCTGCGTGGTGTCTCGCCGTTTCCACTCTCTTGTTCCACAAGTAGACAACGTTGTAGTACGTGTCGATTGCGTCATTTCTGATGACGACAGCTCGCCTTCCTCTTCCTCTGAGAAATCTCGCTCTTCTGGTTCGTCTTCCGGGTTCTCTTCTCTTTTTCGGTTGGTGTTTGGTGGCATCGTTAAGCCATTCCAGGCTCTGGGTCAGCTGCTTGGACCCAGAAGAGAGATGCTAAATTCTTATTCTTCGCGGAATAGCCTTTTTTCATCATCTTCTTCTTATTCTTCTTCTTCCTTCTCTTCGACTTCTGCAGCGTCGTCTTCTTCTTCCCTTTTTGTTGGCAACGAGGATGATGGGGAAATGGATCAGGGCGGTGTTACCCATCATTCCCCTACTCAGGTTCTCAAGAATTTTAACGAAATTAGGTTTTTGCGGATCGAATTGCCGAGTGGGGAATTAGGGATTGACGATGGGGTTCTTTTGAAATGGAGAGCTGATTTTGGATCTACCCTTGATAATTGTGTTATTCTCGGTGCTGCGTCGGTAATCAACAATGGCCATGGCAAAAGTTTCTCTCTTTTGCAAGAAAATGGAGCTGATGTTGCTTGCGGGAATATTAATAATAACAGCAATGCTGTTGCTAATGTTAATAGTGTTGGTGATGATAATGGAAGCATACCCGAGTCGTTTTACACCAATGGTGGTTTAAAGTTGAGGGTAGTGTGGACAATTAGCTCCTTGATTGCTGCATCTGCAAGGCATTATTTGCTTCAACCAATAATTGCAGAGCACAAGACTCTTGATAGCTTGGTGCTTACTGATGCCGATGGGCAAGGAGTGCTGTGTATGAATAGGGAACAGTTAGAGGAGTTAAGGGTGAAGCCTTTATCAGCTTCTTCTGCATCAAAGAGGACGCTTGTGCCTGCACTGAATATGCGGCTTTGGTATGCACCCCACTTGGAATTGCCTGATGGGATTGTGTTAAAAGGGGCAACTCTGGTTGCAATTAGACCTAGCGAACAGTCTACTACCAAGAAGGAAGTCTCTGATTCTTCTTGGGTTTCAACAGCATTTGAGGAGCCTTATGGTACTGCTGCTAAGATGCTAGTGAAAAGGAGGACTTACTGCCTGGAGATGAACTCATTCTGAACATATCAATGGCGCTGAGGTAATATTTTAGAATCTGTAATTATGCTTTGTAAGAGTTTTAATGGATTTTTATATAGCTAGAGTATTTACCTATGCTGTCATTTGCAATCTAGTGCATGCTAATTGCTTTATAATTATATTTTTATGCCAATCGGCAATGAATGATCTTCCTGAATGAAGAATTTGGAAATCCATTACCTCTGGTGACAATACTCTTATGAAGTGTTACAAGTCAATGTTAAGATGTTCTTTGCTGGACTGCACTGCTCTACATGATATTAGTTGGATTGCTATTGTGTAATTGTAATACAGATGTATTTCATTACTTAAATTAAAGCAATTGCTTTTGGTTTGATAATTTATGGACTTTTCAGGGAAAGCGCGGATGGTTTTGGGGAAGGTGAATGTGCAAGTTCTTTCTAGTAGAATGGAGATTCGAAACCAATTTTGCTTTTCACTTTGCCTGAAGTGGGTTCACCGTCTCATGGAGCCTAAATCTTGTGAGGGATTGCCACTGCCAACGGCCATCCTTAGTCGATCACGCAATGCAAGTTTGCAATAGTTCGACGCATAAACTAATCATGAAAATGAAAATGCATCTGCTTGTTTTTATTGAGGCATATGCTTGTAAGGGTGCACGCATGCAACTAGATAAATGTTGTAAGAGCTTTGAGTTTGTAGTCATTTTACTTTAATCTATAATCTCTGTATGTGAAAAATTATAGGTATGAATATGTTGTGCTTATATTACACATTTGACATACATTGAGAAAATCCAGTTCGGATTAACCCTGAGCCTCTTCTCTCTCTCTCCCCCTAAATTAATTCTAGTTGGCCTCTGTACTTCTTTTTCACATAAAGCTGTATTGCACCTAAGGAGTGTTTTATTGGCAACTTGCATTTTAGTCTTCAGATGAGGGAATTGATGATTGTACTGTAATCATTTTGAAGCTCGAAGATAGCGAATCTGGCAATATTTGGGTCTCCAAATAACACAATACAAAACTATATTGCTAGTTAATGAATGATCAAAATCGCTTTAGCATTATTAGCAGCAAAGCGGTTGCATATTTAATCAGCAGAAGAATGCCTTGGCTACATCTACAAACAAAGTGCTTTTTGTTTTCTTCTATATTATTTCTATAAAAAAAACACAAATGAAAAATGGTACGGCATTCTCACTTTACATTATTCAGCTCAACAAGTTGCATTTTTAATATTAGCCATGAAACACCAGAGGGGCGATTTACCCTTTGTTTTCCTTTTCTGATCCGTAGCTTTCAGGGCCCCAAGCACTGCATAATTGCATTATTATGTGCCCAATTTTCATGAACGGAATGATGGAATGATGGCTATCTGTCATTCCCATTTGTAAAATAATTATACTCGATAAATATAAAATATTTCTTCAAAAAATTTTTATCTACCAAAACTTAATAAGAAGAAGATGCCATTTCAATGTATTATCAAATTCTACTAAAAATAAGAAGAAAGTTATAAATTTCCATTGGCCACCATTTATTAGCTGGTTCTTCCTCTACCTTTATCTGCTGATCACATGATAGATCTTTAGCTCGATACAGTTCACGTGAAGAAAACCCTTTTGACTTTGTGCTATGATAATTATAATCATACCACCAAATATGATTGAAAATGTAATCACCTTCATAATTGGAGATGTCACAGTTGGCTTTGCATGTAATTAATTTTATTTTTATTTTATAATAATTAGAATTATTTTTTCCCATTTAAAGAGCATAGTGGAGAATTATATGAGGAACAGATATGGTAAAATAGAGCCCCACATGTTTATTTATTGGCAGGCAATGGTTGTGACTGTGAGAGGAAGGAGGTTTAGTAGTGGAAGTTATAATTTAAAAAAAAAAAAAAATGTACTAATAAATTGCAATTCTTGAAGCAAACATGTTAATTTGCGAAATTAATTATTTTTATATGATTGTTTCTTCCACTCTCTCCACCTCATGTTCTTTATACAAGCATTTCAAGTGATTTGTTCTCCTTTTTCAGCCACAGAATGTAAGGTGGATGTTAATTATTATCCTTTTTTTTTTTTTCTTTTTTGTTGGGGTCAAATGACCATATTGCCCTTCAATTTTTTTATATATTACTCAGATAATATGACAATTGAAAAGAAACATATAATGCCTCCTACTGCAAGGGACCAAAATTAACCTCTGCTGGCTCTACAAGAACGGAAAATTACTTTGTAAAGTGCTTTTCAAAAAGAGGCAACGCAATTTTTATGCACTAATTTCCTCTGAAAAGGCCGATAAAAATGGAAGCATGCACTAGCTCTCTCTTTTCTACCATGAGGTGTCTCTTTCAAACACGTGTTGCTTTTTTTTTTTTTTTTTTTTTTTTTTTAAAATTTACTTGCTAAAGTGCTTTTTCAAAAAGAGGGCAACGCAAGTTTTTTATGCACTTTAATTCCTCTGAAGGAAAGCGATAAAAATGGAAGCATGCACTAGCTCTGCTCTTTGTCTACCTGCAGGTGTCTCTTTCCAAACAGCGTGTTGCTTTTTTTTTTTTTTTTTTTTTTTCTTTTTTTTTTTTTTTTTTTTTTTTTTTTCTTCTTCAGCTTTTTTGTTCTTATTTTCTCTACTACATTGGAAGTTCTTAAATGAAATGCTGGATTTAAATTTTTTTACTTTTGATTTTATAAAATAGATATCCAATTATTACTTTATTAGATTATTGATTTAATGGGTTTTGGAATTATTTTCTTAGATTCAAAGGTCTAAAATAAAAGTCCTTTTGATGGGTTCTTTGGAGCCTAAAATAAAGAAAAAGTAAAAAGGGAAATTGTGGGACATGGTTTCGTAACGAAGTTTACTCTTAGAAATTACATATCCACTTCACATGCTAATCTTTTAGGGCCTAAAATAGCCTACTTAGAATGGGCTTAATATTCTGGGTTTTGTTTTATTGGGACCAGGTTAATAAGGCCTTATTCTGGGCCTATATATTCTTTTGTATAATTATAAAACATTTTTTTTTTCCAAATCTTAGAAATAATTAGAAATAATTAGTAACAGCCAGTAAGTAATTAGAATTAATTCAAATATAATTGTAAAGAATTTTTTTTTTCCGAATCTTTAAAAATGGAAAAGTCTAAATAAGAATCTAAGGGAAATCATCAATTGGACATCCTTGAACGACTGAATTGTTGATTTTCAGATTTTCACATTTTCTGGATTAATTTGAGAAATAATAAGATGAGTAGATAACTATAATAACCTCTTAAAAAAAAAAAAAAAAAAAAACGCTCTTTAAAGAAAAAAAGAAAAAAAAAAGACATAACTATAAAAAACAGAAAATATAATTGATAATTTATAAAAAAAAAAAAAAAAAAAAGATAACTATAAAAACAGAAAATATAATTGATAATTTAGCACCAGATGCTAACAATCCTGTCATGGAAGGATGTCAAGCAATCGATTTCTCAGGTAACAAACTAGAGGAAGAAATTCTTAGATTTATATCTCTCTCTTTTTCTATTGAAAGTTATTGCAGTGAAAGAAAAACATTTATAATTATCTAATCATCTTATTATTTCTCAAATTAATCCAGGATTTAAGAGCAGTCTAATTGTGAGATTGTTGTACATGTCAAATAAAATAATAATAATAAGTAAGAAACTAATACATTATATATAAAAGATGATATATATCATTAACGACTGGTAATAGTTAAACAAAATAACTATTATAGCTTGTACATATATATAATATAAGTATAATATATATAATAATATATATTATATATATATATTATTTATATATACTAGTATATATATATTATATATATATATATTTTTGCAGAAGAGAATAAAATTTTCCATTCATTATTAGAAATCTAGAACAAAGAAGAGCTTCAATAATATATTTTGAAGAGAGAATAATTTTCCATTCATTATTAGAATCTAGAACAAGAAGAGCTTCAATATGAGAAGGAAGCTCAAACCAAAGATCAACATCAGCATACGAACAAGATACGTTAACTAAAGCACGACTTTGTTCGCTAATCTCCTAACCCAGTTGACCGTAACATTATTACTGTTATTACATAAATCAACACAGTCGGCTTGTATCTATAATTACTTCAATTTATATGATGTCTATTAATAAGTTGAAAGACTGGCTTTGAAACCTTAGACGGATCATATCAATCAAATGCAGCAGATGCAGGCTCTGGAGGATTAGTAAGAAAAAGATCAAGAAGCTGATCAATTGTAGTGTATGCAACTTCTGGATAAAGCATTGAAGCCTCAAGATCATCTTTATCCAGTTCATAGCCCATCAGATCACCCTTTACAAACAGGCTATGAAGTATGGCCACAGGAATATTCTGTGGATGTGGTAGGGCTGCATTAATTATACAATATTACGGACAAAAATTAATTTCAAGTTCCCCAAAAAGAAAACAAATAATTCTTGAAATGTAATTTCTTTATTTCAAGAACTTACTCTCAGATAGCTCCACAATGTGTTTTTCGGGGATATGAACCCTATTAAAAATCTGACCAGTTTTCTTCTCCCAGAGAGAGATTAGTTCAAGCTGAGATATAATATTCTTGTTTGGCCTGTAAATTATAACTCGATTAAGCGTTCTTGGATCGTCTGCTGCTTTTATGGTATAAACTGCTATATCTTCCTCGTAGTTTTAGTACAGCTGAATTACCATAGAAGGATTTTAGTGCATGCATGACATAAAATTTCATTTAAAAAAAAAAAAAAAAAAGTGGATCAATTTATTAGCATAATTTTACGACAATAACTTTCCTTTATCCAGTCATAAGGCCACTTATAGATCAAACCAGTTAAAAAAAAAAAATACAGAGCAGGAATAATTTTCAAAAAAATCCCTACCGTAGTTAATTTGGTCCATATGTAAACCTATGGACCGGGTCTAAGCAAACTTTATTCTATTTTTATTATAGGTGGTTGAGGAGGGGACGTACCTTCAGCTTCACCGCTACCATAGACAGAAATATCCATTCTATGCTCATATGGACGAAGCAAGTAATTGACAAAGTATGCACCAAAGCAATTCGCGGACACAAAAGTGTAAGGAATCCCAGCAACTTCAGTGGCTCTTCGAATCTCTCTCTTCTTCTCAAGAAAAGCTTCAAATGGCGGCAATGGACTCACTCTATCCTCTTCGATCCCAAAATCGGACGGAAAAAACCTCTGCAACATAAATACACATACCAATCAAAGATTCTTTTAAAGAATCTCACAAGAACTTGAACAAAAACAAAAACAATTAATATATACCTTTATCTTACCAGCAACCTTGATGGCATCTACGATTTTGAGTTGGTCAAGAACTTGAGGATAAGCTAATGCAGAGATAACTACATCTACTTGCTTAAGTAAAGCTACAATTTTGTCGTGCTGGTCCAATTCTCCCTGCCAAATATATTATTAATGCAAAGTTCTGAAGTGTTATTACAGCCAAAATAAATTGATGTTAGGAGATAAAAATAACAATGAGTTCATTTTATTTCATATATATACATAGGCAGGTGTGTTTGTAAGTGAAGAGAGAGAAAGGAAGTATACAGGAACTATGGTGACACCCATTGATTGAAAGTGACTGTGGATTTGTAACTTGGAAGGAGGAGACTGTGAGGTAATGGGACGAGTATAGACGTAGGTTTTATGGCCTAATGACACACTTGCTTTCACCATGTACTTGCCTATGTAACCAGTTCCTCCGAATATCAGAATCTTGCTTAAGCTTTTTCTCCATTGTTATTATCTTTGCTCTTCTTCTACACCGTTTCCGTTTATATTTGCTTCATCATTTCATATTATTTATAGAAGCAAGAATAAAGTAATTGGAGTGGGCTCAGTCATGGAGTGATGCAAATAAGCCGATTCTTGTTGTTTTGCTGCAGCACGTGATTCCTGCCAAGTATTCGCAACTTGGTTACTATACCACTATAAGCCAACTTTCCGTCACTTTGTACAATATCGGTAAGGCCATGTGATAAAAGAGAAAAAAACAGTCCCAATTTTGATAATTTTTTACAACTTCAATCAATTTTTTTAATTTTATCAATTCATACCTCATACTTTTTTCTGTATAATAATTACACATTTTATACAGAGTGTGAGCCTTTACATATGATACATAAACGCTCGTTAGAAAGTTTACTAATAACTCAGCTAAAAGATTTAGTTTTTCTGCTAAAAACTTAAGGGAATAGAAATGGAATTCCTGAGATTAATGTCTGAATTGATTAGGAGTAGTACATCTATTTTTTCAAAATAAATACAATTACCAAAGACATCCCAAATTTAAAATATATCAAACCGCTCGATAGAGCATCTAAATTCCCTGGTTATTTCAAAAGCAAGCGGATTCCAAGATTTCCATTCCTTGGAGAAAGATTAAAAGAGAAAATAGAGAAAAGACATAGCAGTTGCAAGTTGCAAGCCAAGATTCTCCATTACCCTGTGCGGGTCACTCCAACCCCAAAATCAAAGAAATTAAGATAAATGTTTTGAGGGTGCAGATTTTATAGATACAAGTTGATGTGAAGATATATAGTAAGAGAATGGTAAAATGAATTGAAGAGACAAATAAATGGTATAGACAATTTCAGAATAATAAATCATACACAATGGGAAAAAGAGTAACTTCCAATCGAATTGTTGACATATTTCATCAAAAAACACACATCCACGCATACATTAAAATTGCACTCCTGACATGAGAAATGCAATTAGCTGAACTGAACGATTCCAAAATGGATAAATCTTAACACCAACACTTTCAGAACCTTAATACTTTTATGTTATTACCATCCCAATCATAGCTAGGAAGGCATATGCATTTGCTCATGGCTTTGCCTGCTCTTTCTCCTTGTTCACTTAAAATTTCCTGAATCAAACAGTTTTTTACATGGTATTCATTAGATATTGGCACAAATCAACAAAAAAAATATATATATATCAGAATATAAATTCTTTACACATGGGTAAAAAATGAGTAACTTCCAATCCTGATATTGTTGTGACTGATATTTCATTCAAAAAACACACATCCCCGCATTACATTAAAATTGCAACTCCTTTGACATGTTAGAAATGCAATTAGCGTTTGAAGTGTAAACTTTGAATTCCAAATGGATTTTACAACTCTTTAACTTACCTTATTTACATATTACTTCATGAACCCTTAATTTTACTTTTATGTTATTTACTCTTTCATAATTCAATCTATGCTAAAGGGAAGGCATATGCATTTGGCTCATGGCTTTGCCTGCTCTTTCTCTTGTTCACTTAAAAATTTTCCTGAATCAAACAGTTTTTTACATGGTATTTCATTAGAGTATGCACAAATCAACAAAAAAAATTATATATATATATATATATATATTATAAAATAACTTATATAATATATAGATGAGATTTTGTGCTTGCAAACAAAATCAGTACTAATCTTTATGCATGTAAGGAATTTATTAGGAATTTCATAGAAATATAAGAGCATAAAATTGGGATGCCAGATGGTATTTAGGGATCTTGCAATCAATTGCAAAGTTGAAACTACATTTAATCATATTCAATCCGCCTAACATATCAGCAGCATTTTCCCTTTTCATGGGCAGAGAGGGAAGTGCTTCCCAAGTAATCGCCTATTAATACAAAGCATGGAGATGCCTAGAAAAGAAGGTCAAGATGCAAGAGATGCCCCATTGCTGTATCCATATTGAACCTCCTAGGAAACTAGTATGATAATGCATAGCACAGCATACTTTAGATTGTAGTAGAAGCATATTTAATAGCAGCAATCAAGTATTGCAAATAAAGTTAGATTACAAAGAATTCAAGAAAAGAATGCATGAGAGTTATTAAATCATCTAAATTGTTATCCATCATAACATAAGAAGTGAATCTCTCAACTTATTTCCGTTAAATATAAATTAGTTTGACGCAGGGAATGCAAATGATAAAATAGAAACCAAACAACAAATTAATTTCTTCTAGAAAGGTACAAAACATATTTCCTGACTTGCATAGGAGTGTTCTAACTTATTATCAGAAGCTTTTACTTGCCTCTAGTCAGCAGAATATCATCCTCATCTTTCTTTTGACTGCAGCAAAAATTGGCACACGATTGACAAAAAGGTGGTTGAATGACTCCACACACTATCCCACACTAGCTCTTTCCAGATGAGAAATTTACCATTAAATTGGAAAACTTGACCTGAGAAATTACAATATTCCCAAATCTTAGGCAACTGCTTTCTTTTCCTAGGCAGCGGGTGAAAGTAAGTGTTCAATTTCAGATTTAGGATGCTAAACTGAGAGCCACAAGCCCACATCGCAAAAAATAAGGACATACAGATCACATCACCAAATTATTGATCAAGCAAATATTTGCTTACCACTGTTTTCATTCTCCAATTGGATTGTTCCTCATATCAAGCCGTGGAATTCACCATGTGGTCAGCTAGCATGGATAGTTATCCTAGACTTCATGTATTTATTTTTCAGAAGTTTCATATCAACTTATAATATTTTCTATAGCTTTTTGTAGTGCATTCTTTAAGCTATACAACATTCTCATTGGAAGTTATCAATTCCACATTGATGGTTTAGCAATCCCTCATTAAACTAGGTCATTCTATGTCCTCTCAGAGTTTTCCGTCTCTACACGGTTAAACATGGAAACCCTAAGGCTCTAGTAGAACTTCTAGGGCGAAGTCTCACAATCTTCATAATTGCATAAACATCATTTCTTAACTGGAAAACAGCTTTAGGCAAAAACGTAGACAAAAGGTTTCCAAATGCTATATATTCATTATTTATTAATCTCTAACAAATCACTTTCTTTTCTTTTTTTTTTTTTTTTTTTCCAATCAGGTAGTGGTCTAATTAGTTTTCTCATTTATGTGAGGAGTGAAAGGTCAAAAGTTCAAGTCCTCTTGACCATAATTGTTTTCACTAATTTGGTGAGTCAAGAGTTACCCCCTGTTGTGTAACTCGCATTGTTTTTTCGCCCCATAAAGCCTCCAATGAATTAAAAAAACTTTAATTTTTTTATTAGCAACAAAAAATTTTATTAGAATTAAAAAAACCAGAAAAAGTAATATTTTCAGGAATCCATCCCAAGCCAATAAACTTTCCCAATACACCTATCACTACCCTGAAAATCTCTAACAAATTACTTACTTTCCTTCGTTCCCAATCCAGCATCACCTTCATTAACTTCCCCTTCCACCAACCTTAAAACTCACATGGAAAATGAATGTAGTTACAAAAAGGGTATAGCTCACTAAGTGAAATTGAGTAAAAGGAAGGAGGGAAGAAGGAAGAGGGTGTACACTGATAAATGTATTTTTTAAAAAATTAAAAAAAAATGATAATTTCTTTTCCTAATAAAGATGAAATTCCAGATTTTTTTTCCCAATAAGTGAATAAAATTTGTTAGTCACCTAGCTCTTATTATAGATATAATAGAAGTCTCTTCATACAGTTTAATTAGGAAAGAGAGAGGTGTTGGATAAAAATTACTCGCCTAGATCGGGTCCATAGTCACACTTATGGATCAAACTAGGATTTTTTAAAAAGTGTTCCCACTTTATCTTTTTTGTTTCCAGTGTATAGTCAGAAATATCCTCGTTTCAATAAAAAAATCTTATTCTCATTTGTTTGGTCTATGAGTGAGGCCATAGACCCAGTCTAAATAAAATTTTCCCGCATTGAATTTGAATCCCTTTTATTAGGAAGTAGGAGTTGTCATGTCCTTCCAAGTAATATGATGATGATTAGTTATGAATACAAGAAAGCTATTAAAGGAGATGTTCATCTCATGGCCTAATGACTTGGTTATTTATACCTCAAAGTTTTTGCATTTTCATAACTGTATCTTATTTTAAAAATTCAGCTGATTAAATCCCAATGTGAAAGTTAGTTTTGCAATTGTATATTATTAATCAATATTTTGAAAAAATAATAACATTCATTTTACTGGGAAGAGATATTTAATTCCACTTTTTCTCTCCTTTCCTCTCCTTTCCTCTACAATTCCAATTTAAGATAGATATAGAACACAAACACTTCACAGACTCTTTGGCTAAAATCTTATGCAAATGATTCGTTTTTAGTATGGTTATAAACTACTGGTTTGGCTCTTCTTTTGGTCAATCAGATTAGGTTTACATTTCAACAGTCCTTTCCACCTTTTGTAGATTCGTTAGGTTGGTGTGAGATATTAACTACCTCTTCTCTCCTATAGTTGGTGTGTCTCGTATGCTTTATTATTGCTGGTTTGTTTTAAGTGGGATTTAGTTCTTTTTATTGAGCTTCAGGAGGTATGTTGGTCGATCTTTTCTTACTTCAAGACTATTCTCATCATTTTTTTTTTCCAAGACTTTCAGTACTTTGTTCCTTGGCCATTAGTATGATTATTTTTGTATGTTCCTTTTACTTTCGATGTTTTGATCACGTTTTTTTTCACGGAATAAATCTAGGATAAATTTGGATATATGAGAGTGTCCATTGGCCCGGATTTAATTTTCAGATATATTAAAGTTTTTCTTAGACCAAATTAATAAAACAAAATTTCTTTTTAGTAATAAAAAAATCAAATAGTGTGTTTTGCATTTAATTGAGCTTAAGTTAAAGCTCTAACCTTTAATTTCTTTTTTAGCATGCAATTACAACATATTGAAAAGTTTAGACCTTCTTAATTTGCTTTTAGAGTGTAATTTTTGTAACCTAATTTTCTTTTAAAGTGTAATTATAAATAAATTGATAAATTTAAGCTGCCTAGGAAACAAAGGACAATTTAGGATAAATTTACAACTATTCGAATAATTTATAGTAAAATTGATGGTTAGGCCTAACATAATTTGGATTAACCATTTTGGGAAATTTAGCATCAGAGTGTTATTCTTGTATTGAAATTTAAACTGTAAATAAATTTTAACATTGAGGTTTATTTACTTATATTTATCTTGGAAATTACAATTTTATTAATAAGAATCAAGATAAACTAAACTTATAAGGTCTAAACTAAACTTAGATGGATAGATTCACCCTCTACACTCAACCGAAGACTTAAAATGCTAAGGAAAGAAACTTGATACCAGGACACCAGATTGAAGAATAGAACGCACAGAACTAAAGAGGCACTTCCCAAGAACTAAAATTTAACAAAGGTATCCTCGCAATATGATCAGCTCCCTATAAATTTTAGGTATATAAACCCTATATCACTTATCTTCACTATGTACCATATGCCCAGTTGGTAATCCCTTCAAAATTAGCCATTACTTACCAAATCTATTTGTCTTTCAAATTTTCGCATGTGCTCCTCTAGCAATTCAACAAGTTATCAATGCCAAGTATTCATCTTTTCTAGGATAACATAATAAAATATTGGCCTAATACAGAGCAGGTATACATAGAACTCTATCCTTAAACAATTAAATTAGCTTGTGTATATAACCCATATAAAAGCCAAAAGGGGTGCCTTATATCACGTTAAATAAATAACCATAGTTATGTACTACATTATTATTTTACCATTTGATCTAAAAATAAAGTTAATTGTAATTTTCCTTTAAAAGAAAAGTTAGTTGTAATTTTAAAGAATTTCCCCTTTTTCAATTAGCTAGATGTTGAAATCATCAAAATTTTGAAATTAGTAAGTAGGGACTAGGGAGCCTTATTACTTGGATATATTTTTTTTAAATAAGTTAAGTTTTTCCTGAATTTAAAATTAAAAAAAAATTCATTTTGCCAATAATTTTTTTTTTTTTTTTTTTTTTTTAAAATTATTTTTTTTTTAATAAGGTAAAGTTTTTCCACTGAATTTAAAATTAAAAAAATTCATTTTATGCCAATAATTTTTTTTTTTTTTTTTTTTTGAAACCTCAAGAATCATCATTTGAGGACATTAACAAGGTAAATAGTTATTGATTCATTCAATTATTTGATTCTACTTTTCTCTATTCAATTCAATTATTTGATTCTTTTACTTAATACTCTATTCAGCAAAATGCTATTGGTTGTATTTAGAAATTTATTGTCCTATCAAAACCAAAAGCTGCCAAAATGATATAATATTTTTTAAAAATATTCCATAGTTAATAAGAAGAATAGTTATTTTTGTTCTTTATTATATTCATTTGAAGCCAAAACAAAAAACAAACATTATAAAACAATTTCCTAAATTTGTCTTTCCAGATTTTTTTTTTTTTTTTTTTTTTTTGAAACCTCAAGAATCATCATTTGAGGACAATTAACAAGGTAATAGTTATGATCATTCAATTATTTGATTCTTTACTTTCTCTATTCAGCAAAGTGCTATTTGTGTATTTATAGAAATTTTATTGTCCTATCAAAACAAAAGCTGCCAAAATGATATAATATTTAAAATTATCATAGTATAAGAAGAATAGTTATTTTTGTTCTTTTATTATTTCATTTGAAGCCAAACAAACAACATTTATTAACAATTTCCTAAATTTGTCATTTCAGAATATTCATTGTTTTCCTGTATGTCTTTTAGCAGATTCCATAAAGAAGAATAAATATGAAAGCAACAGATTATCATATTATTCTCTCAAAAAGAACAGATATATTATCTATATACCTAAAAATCATAATTTTAATGGATTCTTTCCCTTTCAAAGGAAAACTAAGAAGAATATAGGATTAAAATCTCAAGCCTTTTAAATTATGATTTGCATTTCCATCATTAGGCTGCTCAAAGAGGTTTTTAGTTAAATGCTAAATTGGGGAAAATAATATTCTTTTGGTACTTCTAGTTAAAATGAATGATCACCAAGTGAAATCCTCCTGAACCCTTGTAGGATTTTAAATAGAGGTTGGAATTTATTAGCTATAACATAAGTTTTTATTGAAGGAAAACTAAGTTAGACAACGGGCATGAAATAACCAGCAGTACAATTACAGCATTACAATCTGTTCATTTTTTTTCTTTTTCAAATTTAGGCAGTCTGTTCATTCTATTGATGTAACCAATTTAACAACTAAAACCCTAAAACAGTTAGCAGAACCGACATACGCCGATCTATTATCATGTGGCCCAACCCTACTCGCAGAAAAGAATTGGGATTCTAAAGCTTATTAAGGTTTCCACCTTTGAAAGGTCTAACCTTTATTCCAGTCAGTGCCAACCACATTATTGCGCCACAGGGAAGCTAACACCTGGCTAAGATTACAGATGTTAGGGAGAAGGGAACAAGCAATACAACAAACAAGGAGACAACCAGCCGATTTTCATTCACCCCAACCCATGTACAAACCATGAAAAGGCATTATAATACGTAACCTCCATAAAAATACACCCAATGGTTAACTTTCTTTATGACTACCAAGAAAAAAAAAAAAAAAAAAAACTGTCATGGTTAGTGTTACTATGCACTTCACGCAAACCTAAATACCAGTTCCACATGGAGAAATCACAAAAACATTAAAAAAGCACAAGACATACAAACAAAAAACCACAAGAACGGCGAATATAATATATGTAACCATGTAAACAATATAACTAAAATGCGAAACAGAAATAAGAATAAAAATACAGGAGGGAGGACTGTTTTAGCTTACCCGGAAGAAGATGGACCAAGAGGAATGAGCACTTCAAGGCAATGATCAGTTCTTTCCTTTGCCTTTCTGGTCAGAATGCCTGCTTCCATCGCCATAGCAGAGCTGCAACCCAGGTTGGAACTGATGGTGTTGATGATTCTCCATAGGTGGTGGCGGTGGTCCAGCAGCACCAATGAAGAAAGGTACGTTTGTTGAGCCGTCTATAGGAGAAGAAGAAAACCTCTGGAGGTGAGGCAAAAGCGACGGTGATGATGAATTGGACTGAAGGGTCCCCCTATTGAAACCAGCAAGGCCTGAAGAAATAGTGAAGTTAAGGTTATAGTCCCCACCGGGACCCGGTTGTGTTGTGGCCACTGGGATCAAATGATCGGAAACGAAAGGAAAATGCTGCAATTGCTCCTGGTGATTCTCCCCTGAGAAATTAAATGGCGGGATTGACATTGTCATTGCTTGAGGGATTGAATTCCCTAACTGGATTTGCCCTGAAAACCCTGATGAATTGTGAGCTGTCCGTGACAAGGACGGCCCTAAGAACCCTGTACCAAAGTAATCCATTGGGGTCAAGGGCCAATGCCTTGACTTGTGAAACAAGTTGGCCTCAGAACCAGAAGGACTAGTAGTAGCAGCAGTGTGATGGTTGTTATTGCTCACGCTACTAATCCCCGCAGTTAAAAGCTCAGTAAATGTAGAATTTTGAGAAATTGGGTTCATATTCTGGTGATGTGCAACGCGTGATTCATTCTCTTTCTCCTTGGCTCTCTCCCTTGCTCTATCCCTAGCCTTAACACGGCGAATATCAGACCTGGATAGAGATAAACCAGAACCTTTGCTTGTGTCTGAAGTGCTACTACAAGCAGATTTAGACAATGAAAGATGCTGGCTCTGGTTCTGGTTAAATTTTGGATCTTCAAGCTCTACATCAGCTGAATCAAATCCCTGTTCAGTACCGTCACTGTTTCTTTTCTCATCACTTAATTGCTTTGGAGTGTCAGGGAAAGAACCATTAAGCGAAGGGAGCTCATTTATTGCATCTGCAGCTGCTTTAATCAGCCATTCTACCGCTTTACTTGGCTGATCATAACCCAACCGATCTTGGAGATCGTAAAATTGTATCGCCGTGGTTACTGATAACCGGACCCGCCGGTCCCTTAACCCCTTCGAAGTCCACACCTTGCTATGCCGATCTTTTCCACCGGATGCTCTAGAAACCCTAATTATGCGTGAAGAGGGGTGCCAACCTCGAAACCGATTGGCACTGCCGGAGTCGCCTCCTGCACCACCGGCACCACCTCCACTTCCACTGCCAAGATTAGACCTTTTGAGCTCTCCATCTTCTTCGTCATCTGGGTATTGGTGGTCACCACTTCCTTTTTTGGCTATTCTGCTGGTGTCACTTCTGCCATTACCAACTCTAGAGAATTTACAGGGTTGTGTCTGAATCTCCTCCACCTCCATAGCACTTTCATTCCTTTGTCAAAACGAGAACTCAAAAGCCAAGACCCTCCTCCACTTCTCCCCTTTCCTTTTTGCTTACTTCTTGTTCCTATCTAGCTCTCTTTCTTATGTTTTCGTACTTAGTATAACGAGAATAAAGCTGAAAAATGGTTGTGGTTTCTATAGAAAGAGAGAGAAATGAAGAAGCTAGAAGAAGTGCAGTAGGTGGGGTTGCTGTGTCCTATGCATTGATGACGATAATTCAGAAGAGTACTTTGGCTTTGTAGTGATAAAAAGACCTTTTTTCACGATTCGATATATCACGGTCCAAGTCAGGAGAGAGAGATAGAAAGAGAAAACCCTTCTCAGCTTCTCTCTCGGTTAAGCTTTTTGCAGTTTGCACAGAAGACTCTCAAAAAGCAAAGCCTGCAATGGCAGCCTCAGCCCTGCAATCAAAAAACCAAACAAGATGTCTTCTTTTTTCAAGAAAAAAAAAAAAAAAAAAACAGGAAAGAAAGAAAGAAGAGAAAAGACTAAACAGCTATATATATGTAAAAGATAGAGAAAAAACAAAGCAAAAGATGGCTTAAATAGGTACACAGAAGCACACCCAGCTGCCTTAACCGCACCCACATATAGAGAAATAGATATATAGCCATAGACTCGCTCATTTCATAGCCTGAGATCTGAGTTATTTGTCTATAGATGACCTTTAGCAGCTTAAACCTAAAGATTATTAGCTTTAACAAAAGTCGAAACAAAAAAAAAAAAAAAAAAAAAAGCAGGAAGAAAGAAAGAAGAGGAAAAGACTAAACAGCTATATATGATTGTAAAAGATAGAGAAAAAACAAAGCAAAAAGGATGGCCTTAAAAATAGGTAACACAGAAGAAGCACACCCGCTGCCTTAACCGCCACCCACATATAGAGAAAATAGATTATATAGCCAAGGGACTCGCTCATTTCATAGCCTAGAGAAATCTGGAGAAGGTTTTATTTGGTCTAATAGGATGACCTTTAGCAGCTTAACCCTAAGATATTAGCTTCTAACAAAAAGTTCGAAAACAAAAAAAAAAAAAAAAAAATAAGACCGCAAACCTCACGGCATTCAAATTGCACACACCACACTAAAAAAAACAGACATACAAAGACTCTTGATCTATAGCCTTTCTGCTTCAAAACAAAAAAAAAAAAAAAAAAAAAAAGACCCAACCTACGCATTCAAATTGCACACACCACACAAAAACACATACAAAGACTCTTGATCTATGCCTTTCTGCTTCAAAATTAAGCTAAAGAAGAAGCAGTAATAGCGTACGGATTGCCGATCTGAGCCTGACTCTTTTTCTTTTTAGCTCTCTCTTTCTTTCTCTCTCTCTCTCTCTCTCTCTCTCTCTCTTGTATTCAAAGCTTCCTTTCTCTGACTCTAAAAACGGCAGGCACTTAACACCACCACCACCACCATCACCACCTCCTCCTCCCACCACCACCACCTCCCACCACTATACACAAGAACAATAAATGACAAAAAATCATTTATTAAAACACTGTTTCAAAATTACCAACAACACGGACTATAGTTCAAAGGAACCAAAATAAATAAATAAAAAAATAAAAAAATAAAGAGTAGCTTACACTGAAACAATGTTGGGTATAGTTACAGGTGTCAAGCTCTTAAAAGATTTTATTTTTCTCCTTTTTTTGTCCCTCTTCTTTCCTTTGCTTGCTTCTTCTGTTCCTGTTTGCGCTTTTTTCACCAATTGGTTACTCGCAGATCTTTTGTTTACAAGCATCCAAAATTGACGGATCTGTGGCCCTTGCTGGAGAAGATTAATTAGCTTGAGGGATCAGTCCTTGTACTGCAAAACCACAAAACAAAAATGAAAAAGATATTAAAATTTAAATAATCAATTTTGATTATGTGACAGTAATTAAACTAATTACAACCTGAACTGAAATTTCGTCGTCAGAACAAAATTATTATTTCTTCTAATGAATGCAGTGAAGTACTTCAATGTAATACTATCAATCATTATCTTTAACCTGCAATTATAAGCTCATTGAAGAAGAAAATTAAATTAAATTAAAGTAAGCGTTTCAGGTCAGCTCAAAAACAAGAGAACAAGTGAATATCCAAGAAGGAAAATAAAACAGAAAATTTCAAATAATTCACACTTCTAAACCTTCATTTCAGAAAAGAAAAAATTTTGCAAATGCTACTACAGCAAACTCTAGAAAAAACGCAAGTAGAAAATCAGTTATATACTTTGAAGAAATATAAGAAGAAGAAAGGACTCTTGAGACTGGTACTGACTTGCTAGCTAGAGTTTGCAGCTTACTTATAGATTGTTAAAGTCTCAGCTTTAAAATGCAAAACAATACGAAAGAGCTTTTTCAAAATTATTTGCTAATTTTTTCAGCTTAATTAGAAAAAACTCACCCTTCCCTAGAAAAAAAAAAGAAAGGTAAAACAGGTAGCCCACCATTAACAGACCTCGAATTCAGAGAAACAATTAACACTCACTCGCTAACACAAAAAGTTAGGGTTGAAAATGGAGGAAAACTGAGAAAATATAAATAAAAATAATAATAATAATAACAATAAGAGAAAAATTAGATATTATGTAATTAGGTTTTAGGTTTTGAAGAGAAGGAACGAAGTGAGGAGAAAAAGAGTTTAGGGGTTGAAGAAGCTGATGCATACCCATTCGAGCAAACCACCGGGCTTATCGGGAAAGAGCAGACACTGCGCCGTTCCTCATCCTTTAATATATCTCTTTCTTTTTCTCCTCCTTTTGCCCTGTACTTCATCACTTAATTACTTATATTGCCACTCCCTAATCATTAAAAAAAATGCAAAAAATGAAAAATAATGTGTTTTTTAAAATTTCCAGCTAATTAGAAATACTAGTACACTGGCAATAATACACTTTCTTTTGTTTTTTACTCTTTTATTTTTTTTTCTTAAGAAAATTGTTTTTTATTTGATTGGTTGTATTTTTATTGTTTTTTCCTTTTCTATTTGTTTAAAAAAATTCATTTGTCTCGTGGATTTTCTTTTAAATAAAAAATGAAGCTTTAAAATATTTATGCAATGAATGAAAAAAAATATTTATGACAATAAAAGAAATGAACAACCAAACATTTTTGTATGTACCTTTCAATCAACCTCTCTTTTGAGAACTACTATTTTAGAAACCAACCTTCTTGATTCGTTCTCATTAGATGCTCCATCAAAGATTTTGAATAATTCATAAATTTAGTTTAAATTTAATCCTCTTAATTAATTTGGGACCAAAATTTAATTATTGTTATTATATAAAAAATAACATATATATCAAATATCTTTGTGGGTTTTAAAAATTTTCATAAATTTTAAAATTCTCAATTCAAATATGTGTTCATGCCTTATATCATTTCAATATATTTTTTATTTATTGGGGTTTTAATAGATAAATAAAGCCAAATAACTAAAATAATTCTACTTTTTAGATCATTTTTGTGATCGGGAGAATTCGAACTCGAAAACTAATCTAACCACAACTTATTATCTAACTTTTACTTATTAACTAACTTTTCGGTTTGGTTTTTTTATGATTTTTTTTCTAATTTTATTATTAGCATGCATTATTGTGACGGTTTAGGTTACTTAATATGATCACAGAAATAAAACTTTGGGGTTTAAAATGAAAATAGAAGGTACAAATTACAATTTGTTGTTCACTATTAGGGTTTATAAATTACAATCAATCAAGTGAAATAGTTAAGAAGATAAAATATCATAAAAGTCCTTTTACAATTTACATGGATTATATATAGCTTTGAAGTCATAATTAAACAATTACAGTAAGAAGATTTGGATATCAAAAACTGCATTGGCATGGACCAACCACTCCCATTATAATTATTAAATATTACTACTAATAGCTTAATAAGCTTCCATGTTTTAAATTTCATTTCCCTTATTAAATTTATCAAAATGTTGCAAAGATAATTTTGGAATGATAACAGTTGTTTAGTTAAAATCAATATTTACCGACTTGAAGATTTGCCTCGTCATTAAATTTTTTGCATTTTTTTTTCCTTTTCATCTTTATTTTGCTCGAGTTTTAATTGATGAATTTATTTGATTGCAATCGATATTTATAACAGTTATATTTTCTATTTCAAAATAATAATTTTAGAAAAAATATGAAAAATATTTAGTCCAATCCATTTTATTTCGTCCTACAATCTCAGATTTTATCCCATTGTGTCTCGAATAAAACTACAGATATGACTGAAATGGGAATAAAAATTACATCGTGCTTTTCCTGATCCGACCTATTCCTATAGTTTCTATTACTCACATAGACAAGTAAAATAATTGACTGAGAGCTGTCGCAGAAAGTAATTAGTGACAAATATATTTGCCATCATTAATTACTTATAGAAATAAATAAAATAACCATGAGTTACAAAGATCCATGAATTTAAATAAAAAAAGAAACAAAAATTTATATATATCTATGTATTTTTAACAAGATGAAAAAATGATTTAATTGCATTATTAAATACTTGTTCTTGAAAGAATTCCATAGATAAAATATATTGATGAACAGAACCATTATTGTTGCTTTGCGATGTTTATACTTTCCTCCTGAGTACTAAGAAAAAAAAAATGAAAATAATATTATAATTAGAACCTTTCAAAAAATAATATTATAATTAGAGGAATTAATTTGTCATTACAATCAAAGTTTTAGAAGCTAATATGATATTTGCTATAAATATATGCCCTCCTAACCCTAACAAACAACTCTAATGTAGTGGTGGATAATTTATATATATATATATAGTGTTTTTTTTACATGTACAAGGAAAATTATACGATCTACACTATCGGTGAGTTAGAATAATATCAAAATCTATCGGCAACAGTTAGAACAGTATCGAAGCTCAATAAAAGCAGTAAAAAATAAATAAAAACCCATTAAGGACTACTCGGTCAAAAAAAAAAAAAAGAAAAGAAAAGAAAAAAAAGTATATCTCTATCACATAAAATGAAGGTAAGCAAGCAATACCCAACAAAAAGCAGTGGAGAAAGCAATAAAGATTTCCATTCCCATATGCGATCCTAATAGAGAGAGAGAGATTTTAAAACGACATGAAAAATAAATAAATAAATACTAGGAATTTATTTTCAAAGGATTCATCACCGCATTTGCTTTTTTTTTTTTTTTTTTTTTTTTAAAAATACTAGGATTTTATTTTTCAAAGGATTCATCAACGCCATTTTGCTTTTTTTTTTTTTTTTTATTTTAAAAATTTTTTTTTTTTTTTTTTTTTATTTTAAAAAATTGCGAGTTATATTATCAAAGAAAAAGTTGGAATTTAACAGACATATGTATGATTTCTGACCTTAATTAGTCCAAAAATGAAATCAACATAGGGACCCATATTCAAAATTATTCATACTTGGTTGTAATATATGGGCCACAACACACTCCGGCATGGAAGTAATTTTGGGCATTTTGTACAGTCATTGGCCCGACATAAAGGACAACCCTTCATGGAGTCACAGAATTCACTATCTATAATTAAAGTAAAAACATTTTTTTTTTATGATTAACTTAGTAGTTTCAATCCTATTGATTAAGATGAACGTTGTAAATTATGCCTCATCAAGATAAACAATGCCGATGTCGTAATATGAAAATGTCTCAAATTTTAAGTTCCTATCTATTCACTATTTAATTTGAAATTTTTATCCTTTACGGATTAGGTTTGTTTAAATTGAATTACCATCTCTACATATTTATAATATATATATATATATAAATAAGACGGGTATTAAAACCCTAATTAACTTTTAAAGATCAAGAAACAAACACCATACATAACCCTAATTGATTAATTATTTAATGACCAAATAGATAATGGTAGAATAGTAATTGGATAAAGAAAAGGCTTTAAATTAGAGAAGGGTTAATAGAGTGCAGTATGCAGCTTGTAAAGTTGATGCAAAAACTAATAGTCTTTAGCACCCAAATGTCAAAGTTGAAAACTCAGTCTTACAGCTAATCACAAACTTTTGAAAAAAGGGGTTTTTGGGTTTTGTTTAAAAAATTTAAATTGATTTGTTTAAAGCAAGGATCTTATGAGGAATTAGGGATTTAATTAATGTGGTTAAACTTATAATTCCGTACTAGTTAGTAATGATGTGTCTCTTTGCTTCCCATCTTTAATATATACTTATATAATAATTAATTATGGAAGATTACATTTGATGGGCTGTGGATGCAACAGAAATCAACTATGATCCCTTTGCTGGCAAACAAAATAGCAACGAGACCAGTTTTTTGGCACTCACCTTTTTCCTTTTTCATTATTGAAGCATCGCATGAAATGGAAGAAATCTAAAATGACAACTTTTGAGGGGTATATTACAATTTAAAAAGGTGAATTTCCACATAAACAACTTTTATTGGCATTAAATGTGTTATACTTATTGTTTATATTTTTAATTTTGGATTTTTAATTTGTAAATCACAAAATAATATTTATAGTATATTTTTAATGATGTCATAAATTAATCTTGATAAATTGGGTTATATTTATTAAAAATAATTAAAGATCAGTCAAAAAATTAAAAGAATATAAATAAAGAATCTTTTAATTTGCTAAAAGATCAGCTAACTGTATAAGGTATAAAGTATGTACTTAGAAAATTAAAGACTGGTTTATCATTCACGTTCATGAAAAAAAAAAAAAAAAACTAAAATAAAACATAAAAAAAAAAAAAAAACCCAAAAATCAACAATCGAATATACAATGGAAAATTGCAATTTTGTGGGGATGGCTATGTAACTAAGTGGACAGTGTAAAAGAAGAAAAGAAAGCACAAGATTTGTGAAGTGGTCTCACATTCCATAACTATAAAAGATTATGCGCACTTTAATCCACGTGATCACTTTGTGTCAGGGGAGGGCCATTTGTTTTTTGGGGGGCCCATTTTTTTTTTTTTTTTGGTATGATGCTAGAAAAATCTAGCACGTAGGGAAGGAAATACGTAGAAATACTAGGTTGTTGCCTTTATTTATATATATAGCCATTTTCTTTTTTGAAAAATTTAAAGAAAGATTATAAGGTGAAAATTGGTAGTTGTGGAGTTGTGGGTTGTACCATGTTTTTTTATCCAAATCATAGTAATGTCTCCCCATAACCCCCAATTACCAAAAACAAATCTAAAAACAAAAAACTCACCATTACTATATATTAATACATCAACGGTCAAAAATTTAGAAATAAAAACTCAAGCGCAAAGGAAAGGCGTGTTGCTCGCAATTCCATGCTCAATCCCTTGCCGGCTAAAATGAAGCCAACCTTAATATAATCCCCTATACTCTACTTTTTACAAATTTAAAATTGGGAAAAATATTACTCCACACGAATCATTCTACATAAGAATAATGCACCCACATTTTACACCGTCGGATTAGTGGGATTTATTATCAAATATGAATCTTCAAATCAAACTGCCTACAATAGTTTCATGTGAATTGTTATCTTTTCTTTCTAGATCAAATAAGATTTGTCTATGTCTATGGATCCTCTTATACATGGGATCAGTTAAAAGAAAACATTTTAACAAGTATTAACGTGTTATCTTTTTTTATAGTATTAAACTAAAATGCCTACATGTGATTAATATAGTATATAAATAAATTCATTCATCTCGTGTGTGTAAATCTTTCTCGTTTATCATTAAAGGGGAATATGTATTTTTTTATCTAAATAAAAAAATAATTACAGGATTAATTCGTATTGTGCAGTTCAAGTAGTAAAATTTATTGTTTATGCAAAATTAAGGATTCAATATCCAAAAAGGTAGAATTATTTTTACCAATAGGCTTAAAGTCATTCGTGAAGATTATTGATGCTGGATAACAAAGTTGTTAAAGTTATATAATAATTAAGCAAAACCGACTTTGCAGTTAAGATTAGTTTAGATTAATAAAATAAGTGGATTAGAGAGTATGATATGATTAAGGCATAAACTATAAGCAAAACCCACTATGTAGCATATGAGAAAAAGGGTAAAAGATGGCCAAATGGGGAGATGGGAAAAAGGTAGGGTTATGTTGAGAAGTTCAAGGCAAAGAGAGAGTGAGTGACAGAGTTTGTGACACGCTCGAGAATGAGAGGAAGGAAGCAGAGGCACGTGTCTCGTGGTCTAAGAGGGAAAGAGAAGTGTAAAAAGTATATATCAATGCGCTTTAGAGGGAGTGGGAGTGGGAGTGGGAGTGGCTGACTTCTCGATGACCAGACCAGAGCACGTGTCATGGTCTTGGTCACTGAGTGTGTATGAGCAACCACCATGATTTGCCCTTCTCTCTTCTTCGTTGGATGCTTCGTGCTTCTTCTGCCTCTCTCCTTTTCTGCCTTAGGGTTTAGGTCTTACTGTTCTATTAATTTGTTTTAATGTTAAAACTAAAATTATAGAAATGAAATTGCTATTCATAACGGTGGATGATTTGTTTGTATGTTTTTTTTTTTTTTTTTTAATTTTTTTTTTTTTTTTTTTTAAGAGTACATGTGACCAATTCTCGATTTTAAATCGACTCACTTCGGTCAGATTCGGATAGTTATTTTAGAAATTTGTTTACCATATATAACCAACTAAATTTATTTTTTAAGTCACAAATAACTAATTCAGTTTCGAATCAAATCGATTTAATTCAACTTCAATCGATTGTTATACCATTTAATTTCAAATTTAAATACTGTAAAAAATATATTTAAATAAATAAAACTAAGCTAACTCAGTTTGATTAACTGGAGCTACCTATCATTTTGATTGTTGGGATTAAACGAACTGAATAGACCTTTTATAAGGATTAATTGTTGGAATATTAATGATTAATTATCTCTCACTATCATTTTGATTGTCTCTATTAAAAAATATATATATATATAGTCTCTATTTGATAAATGATAAATCAAAGCCTTATGCTGGTAAAAAGGCAGTAGTACAAGATACATAGCATAAGCCTTCTTTCTTGTCCTCTCTTATAGCTTTTTTTACCTTTGCTTCTTTTCTACCTTTTTCACTTTAAGGGATCTCTTTTCTTTCTCCTTTTTCTTCTTTTATTTTTCCCTTTTCTTTTTTCTTTCTCCTAATTGAAATTTTCTCACTTATCCTTAAAATTTGCAAAATATGTTTAATATTTGACACAATCCTTAAATCGTTAAAAGCTTTATTTGATTAAGTTCTTTCTTTCTTTTGCCTTTTGCTATAGTATTCAAATTTTTCAAAAGTCAAAATTGCATATTTATCAAATAAAGTCAGATTTTTTTAATTGGCTGATGATGGTAATGTCCATTTTCGTAATATAAAAAATATAATATTTAAATATCTCTTCTACCGTTGATGTTGTTTTTTTTTTTTTTTTTTTTTTTTTTTTATGTTGTAATCTAATACACATCCTTACTACATATATACTTTTTTTTTTTTTTTTCCAAAGTGTTGGAATATGAAGAGGACCTGTTACTGATAAAAGTCAGAGTTAGGTTAAAATGTTTTTTTTTTTTTTTTTTTTTTTTTTCCAAATGTTGGATAGAAAAGACCTGTACGATAAAGTCAGAGTTAGGTTACAAATGTTTCAATTCTCAAGTCAGCGAAGAGAATAATTGGTTCGATGAATTATAAACTTTTGAAAAATGCATATTTATAACGTCCTTTCTGATCATAACAAGATAAGGTTCCAATAGTAATTCACCTATATGTCTTCTTCGTCTCCTCTGGATTCTCTACAGTTTAGAAAAACTTCTAATTATGAAAGAGAAAGAGAATAAAAATGAAGAGTTTATAATAAAATAATTTATCCATAATCAGAAACATTCAATCTAATTAATTCAAAATACTGTACAAATTCAATGACTTTGCTGATGAATGATCAAATCACATCTCTTTCAAGAAAAAGAAAGAAAAGAAAAATAACCCTAATGTAAACAAATCAAATTTAAATTCCAAAAGGGTTTTAGCTTTCTATTTTGAGAAAGCTTGGATAACTAGACAACTCCAAGTTGACTAAAAAAATATATTTAAAAAGGAAAATTGATGCTGAATAAGAAAGAATAAGATGCTAACAGTAAGTTTAATTTGCCTACTTTAACCCTCCATGCTTTTCCTTGATTAGTAAAAGAAAAGTAGGTAATGGAGCTAGCTGGGAAGGATTAATGGTGGTCCTGTCAAAATCATGTTTTGGGAGTCAAAGTTATACTCTTTGGAGTATAAAAGCAAACAAAGTGTTAAATCCACTTTGTATGTACTATGTACAATGGCTTGAAGGGTCTAATCCTTTTCTTTGTGTCTAATCTATCACTATACTCACATAATTCAGAGATGTTCTTTCTTTTGGGTTTGACCACCAGCTAGAGAGATTATAATATTAATAAATAAATAACAATCTCCTTAGAATTGGTTGTTATTATTTATTAGTTTAAAATCTGGAATTTAAAATAAAAAAAGTCGGTAGGATTCTGCATGTAGATGGTTAGGATTTTCTTGTTGCTGCAGTATAAATTTGACTAGATAACTGCATGTCCAATCTTTGTGTCTGATTAGCCTGTTTTGGACGATCTTCCTCCTACCTCTCAAAGACGTAGTTATGAACCGAATAAAAAATTAATATTTTCTTGAACTCAATGTATATACAAAAATTAATTAAATATAAGTTGGGTTTGATTATATGATGCTTTCAATTTTGACTAGAAAACTAATTAATAAATTAAAAATAATTAATTTTGAATGCATTTGCGAGATATGAGTTCTTTCAATTGCCATACAACAATCTTCTCGAAGTCGTAAGTTATTGACAGAAGCAACAACATAAAAAAAAAAATTGCGGCTTAGCTTCAATTTTCAAGCTAAAATAAGTCAAATCAAATCATAAACTAACGGCGGATATAAAAAAAAATTTTATAGGTTAATATATGGTAAAATATAATAAAAAAAGGACCTAATCTTGATTTTCACAGGTATTAATTTTAAAATAAAATATTTGTATACAAAAAAATATTTAAAAATAAAATATTTTTCGGAATTAAAAATAGCATTAAATATATTTGATTAATTTGAGCTGTATGAATGGGCCAATATGGTCATGAACACTACGTTCGGCCTTAGGGTTTGTGGGTTTGGCTCCTAACCATAATCACTACGTTGAAGTGGATAAATTCGCTAAGGTGGCACAATTCTAAAATATGATCTCGTTGACTTCATTTTTTTTTTTTTTTAAAGTTATCTTTTTAATATTGATATGTGTATTGATGGAGTTAGGTTAATATCATTAATGATACTTTTATTCTTCTAATACTTAATAAAATTAATATTTCGAAAACAGTTCAATTTCTTTTTCAATAAATAATAAAATGTTTTGGTTTCTTTTTAGTAATTAATGAAATTTGTAATATCACTAATATTATTTCAAAGTAATTAACAACATCATAATGTTAGTAATCTCTATATAAATTATAATGAAATTTATAACCTCACTAATATTTTCTTTTGAGGAATGTTTAATTTTCACTTTAAAGGAAATTAGTTTTATTTGAATTTTTTAATTTAGACATTAATGGAGTTTGAATTAGTATCATTAATTATATTAACGATTTTTCAGCTATTAATCATTGATAAAATTAATAACAATAATTCTAATAAACAATCACTAATATTTTTAAATAATAAAATTGCATATTCGCACAACCGCCTACATGACCAGTTTTCTTATCTTGCACGATTTTTTTAATGAATTCAAATTTTAACGGTTCTGTGGTTTTTGATATTTCCGGCTTAAATGATCGGAACGAAGCGACATCGTTTAGCTTTCGTTTCACTATATTTGGGCTTTCTATTTCCAATATTCGACTCTTGAGTCTTGAGAAGAAGACCTAGGCGCTTAAATGACATGGAGGGCAACACGGTCCAACTTGGCCCAGAAACCGACCTCATAAACGGACGACACAGGAATATTTTCCACGGAAAATTTTCCACTGATCAGAAAAATTTTTCTTCAATCAAGAACTCATCGTTTATTCTTTAAAATCAACAGCTTTTGCATCCATACTTAAGCTTAAAATATTGATTTTGAGAAATGACAGAGTCTGAGAAAGATTATATAACTATGGAGCTTTATATTATTCCTTCTACTTACATAAATAAGTTCCTCATTTCAATAATAATGGAGGAAACTATATGGACAATCATCTACTGACGAAGACTCAAGAAACCGCCATTTTGAATTAGCTATAATATTAGGAAACCCCATTCTTAAATTTGCAGGGTCCCCTAATAAATTCATTATGTATAATTATGTCCTACTGCTAATCAAATTTCAAACTTCTGGCTTTTTCTCAAATGGTTTAGGCCTCTCTTCCCAGAACTTGATTTGCAGAGATCGGAGCTCCAGCATTTTCTCAACTTCCTCGATCGGTAGCCCTTTAGTTTCAGGCACACAGATTAAAACAAAGACCAATGCTACTACAGATATAACACCAAAGATTAAGAATGTCCATGATGTCCCTATAGCTTGTGTAAGAGACAAGAAAGACTGAGCAACTATAAGATTTGAAATCCAGTTTGCTGTTGCAGCTATTCCTCCACAGACTCCTCTGAATCTTAGAGGGTAAATCTCAGAATTAACGATCCACGGCACGGTACCCATTCCAGGAGAGAAGAATATAATGTAGAGAGCTAAGCCAATTAGTGCCACCCATCCATATTTGCTTGGACATCCCCTTGTATACCATTCTCTGTGATCGTTGTGACACAAATCCTTCACTGTGTCATTTGAGATCAAACATACTCCAGGCAATAGCTGCAATGAAATGCAAATGTCAGTTAGTGATAAAGCTGATAAGAAAAATGTTATCTGACATAGTGATATGTGCCCTTTTTTTTACCTTATCAGAAGCTGAAGCACAAAACCCACATTCAGGATGAGCCTTCAAGCACTTCATGCAATCCCAAGAAGCAGCATTTGTAGCCGAACTGTAATCAGGACAGGTATAATTTCCAAAGCGAACTTCAGTTGGTTTAACCATTGGCGAGTGAGTTGTAGTTTCGTGGAAAATTCCTGATAAGAGACCAAGCGAAAGTATCACGCCAATCAAACTGATTATCAGAAGTTTCTTCCTTCCTGTCCTGTCAATGAAGTATATACTCACAACAGAACCTAATGCATTGAGTCCAGCAGTAACAAGTGAGAGCAGTAAAGCAGTTTGGTTAGACGCGAAACCGGCCAATTGAACTATGGTGGGACTGTAATACATAACTGTGTTAATTCCTACAAACTGCTGGAAAACCTGAAGGCCAACACCAGCAATTAGTCCTCTTCTCACTGTTTTGGTTTTGCATAGTTTAATAAGGTTAATCTTCTCAGAATTTCCTTCTTCTAGAATTTCTTTGTCGATTGATTCCTTTAAATCTCTGATTTCTGTTTCAACATCTTCAGCTGGGTATATTTTCCTCAATATGGCTTTAGCTTCTTCTTCCCTTCCCTATCATGTGCAAATATTATAAGTATGTGATTGACAAGAAATAGTACTTTTATAAAAATCAGGTTTTAATTAAACCTTTCTGTATAACCAACGAGGCGATTCAGGAAGTAATAGCATCAGAATGAACTGTAGAAGAGCTGGGACACCTGCAACGCCAAGCATCCATCGCCATGTCTCTGGCGCCTAAACGATAATAAAAAGGAAAATGTTTACAGATTGATTCAGGAGCTTCAGGTTTTCTGGTATCATCAATCCTCGTAATAGTTTACCTTAGTAAAGGCCAAGTTGATGAGATAAGAAAGAAACTGGCCACCAGTAATAAGAAACCCATTAGTACTAACAAGAGCACCTCTAATTTTCGCCGGAGAAGCCTCTGAAATGTAAAGAGGGGCAGTCATGGATGCCATTCCAACGCCAAGTCCAACAAAAACTCGACCAATGATTAACATAGCAGGGCCAGGAGAGGCAGCCATCACTACTGCTCCTATGAAAAATAGGAAATCTGCAACAAGAATTGCACTTCTCCTTCCATACCGATCATTTAACCATCCACCAATTGCCGCTCCAATTATTGCTCCAGCAACAGCCATACTCACTATGCTCTCCTATTTTTTTTTTTTTTTTTGGCAGCCATCACTACTGGCGTGCATGAAAAATAGGGAAATCTGCAAACAAAGAATTGCACTTCTGCTTCCAAATAACGATCATTTTAACCAATGCCACCAACTTGCGCTCCAATTATTGCTCAGCCAGCATACTCAATATCCTATTTTTTTTTTTTTTTTGTCGTTTCATCAAACTACATTTAGTATTATATACATAAAAACAATTGTCTATATGGTCTATGTTTTAAATTAATATTCACTAGTTCTGAAATTTTTATTAATCAAAATATGTCAAAATTAACTTCAATTTAAAATTATAATTTGAAAAAAAAAAATGCGACAGTAATATTAAACAGATTAGTGTTTTGGGCTGTTACAAATATTTATACCAGCCCAGAAATAGTCAGTTTGAGTTGCTGGGCTTGCTAAGCCCAAAACCAGAAACTTCACTATCAATCCTGGTTGGACACTTGTCTGCATACCAGGATCTGTTGGAAGTTTTGGCCATATACAATTAAATTCCTATGCCTATGAGTTTCTGAATTATCAACACAAAAAGCATATTCTTGATAAATTAATATTATATTTTTAATCCCATAAAAAACTATTAAAATGATTAAAAACTTATTCAAAGTGATGGGTGACAGGTAAAAATAATTTATTTTTAAAAAATATATATGTGAAAGAAAATAAAAACAAACATAAGGATAGAGAAAAGCTTTTTAGGTGAAAGGTGAAAATTCAAATTGAAAATAAAGGGAACACCAAATTTTCTAAAAATTAAAAAGCTAAAATAAAATCCAGGACCATTAACATAATAATTAATTATACATGTAAAAGAATAAAATATAAATTATAATTAATTATAATTAAAAAAAAAAAAAGAAAATCACCTGCAATACAGTTTCCCTATCCACGGACTTGAAATCATCTCTTATGTAAAGAAGGGCACCAGAAATCACTCCTGCAACCAAAAATGAAAATTTCCAAAAATATTTTTAATTTTCAAAAATATTTTTAATATATATATATATTAAATTATATATATATATATATATAATATTATACGTAATATATATATATATAAGTAATATATATATAGTAAATTAAAATTCAATTAGAGAGAGAGAGAATAACCAGTGTCATAGCCAAAGAGAAGGCCGCCAATGCCAGCAGAAAAAGCAAGACGAAGAACATAAGGATTCTTCCAAGCAAGAGAGAAACATTCTCTAAAAGCAGATGCATCTGTTCCAGGATGTATCCCTCCTTCCATTTTCTTCAATCCAGAAGAGGATTAAGCTCCCTTTTCTTTTTCTTTTTCTATGTAGTTTTGGCACAAAGAAAGAAAAAGAACATATGTATAGAAACAAAGAGATAAGACTAGTACTGGTAGCAAACTCTTGGAGTTGAATTTTCCAAGAAAAGAGAAGAAAGTGAAGGAAAACAAGAGAAAATGTGAAAGACAAATTTTGGGGGTTGGAGCAATGAGAAGGTGAGTCTGAGTTAAATTATAAATATCGGGACCTCTGGGAGTATCTGGCTATAAAGTCAAGAGTTACGATTTCTTAGTCTACTAATTTTGTCGTTTGTTTATTTTCATATTTAAGCCTAATAGAATAAAAAAAAATAAGCATTTCTTTAATTAAATAATTAATAATAATATAATCTAACCTTAAAAGTGAATCCAAACCATCAATTAAGAAAAACATTTGTAGCACTGATCTATTACATATATAATAATAATAATAATAATAATAATAATTACCCATTTATATTATAATTAAATACGTGTTTGTATATATAATTATTGATTATTTAAGGAATGTTAAGTTCATATGTATTGACAAATTGAGAATTTTTGTCCGATTTGAGGGAGGAATATCATGGACAGATACGTGTATTTTCTCAATGCACCATACTTTTGTTATTTAATATATTAAATATTTTTCTGTTTTTGTTTTCCCCGTATTGATTGGGGTTCCTATAATTTTCCTTTTCATAAGCTTTCAACAGATACATCAAACATTTTTTTCCCCAAAAATATAATTCAATAATTATTATAATACCAAAATGCATTATTTTTCCTGAACAAAAAGAATGAAAAAGAAATCACCAACTAATAAATATTTGGATACAATTAAAATAATTACTAATTTAAAACTATAGGGACTGGAATTTATATTTTCCTTCTTTTTCTTTTTCTTTTTTTTTTTTTTTTTCTTTTTCTTTTTTTTTTTTTTTGGGGGTTTGGGGGAATTGGGTAATTTTTCTCTGTTAGATTAATGAGATTTTTAAATCTACTTTCCATATGGAATCTTCTTTTTCTTTTTCTTTTTTTTTTTTTTTGGGGGGGGATTGTAATTTTCTGTTAATTAAAGATTTTAAATCACTTTCAAAGATCTTCTAAAAAAAATCGCTTTTAAAGATTAAAGAAAATGGAAATATTTATAAAATAAGGTCAAGATGCATTTGTAATTTGCTTTTGATTAAAAAAATTTTAATTTTTAATCTCTTTTTTTTTTTGGGAGGTAATTTTTTTAATCTCAGTATTCTATTTACATTATAATTATTATTATTATTGTAGAATCCCGAAAAGGTTTTTTTGTATAATAATAATATTAAAGAAGGATATAGCATTGCCATATTATTTAATTTTAAATATTAGACTAGATATTATTCGTTTTCCAAAGTCTCGTGTACATGCATGCACTTACTATTATTCTATTATATATATTTTCCTTTTTTTTATTTGGATTAATGCCCTTTTTAATCATGAACAACTTTTAGGCTCATCAATTATAGATCCCATCATTTCTTTATATTATTTCCTTAATCATAATTAGAGGATATTATTTTTTGTTTATTGATTTATAGTTGGTTATATAGAGTGTTCTCATCATATATATTCAATTTATATTTTAGAAAATTTAAAAAAAATTTTTTTATTCAAGTAGTAAAAGTTCAATTGTACAAATTTTAAGACAAAGATGACAACAGACCTAATAAAAAATCAGTAATATATAAATACCTCATAGACCGGCAAAAATTGGGCATTAAATTCAACCGTCACAACCTAATAATAAGAAAGCAAAATCAAAATGAAAAAGAAAAAGGATAAGCATAAGCTCCATCTCTATCTGCCTGATATATACCTGCACCGTTCGGAATTGAAGGCATGCACTTCCATCTTTCCTGTCGTTTGTAATAGAATATATACCTATTTATTATCTAATTATTATTGCTTTTTAAATAAAGTATTATTTTGCGTTTTGAATTTATTATTCAGGAAAAAAAAAAGTCTAAAATTCAGCTTTTTGACTCAATTTATTTTTAAATTTGTAATTTCATACAAAGTCACAAGTTGATGTTAGAAGCTCTTTGTATTATTTCAGTGTAATTACAAGTTGAGGAGACAAATGAGCTAAAAAATCGATTTTTTTAATTAAAATTAGGAGGTACGTTGAGCTTTATCCTTCCCAGTTATGATCTTCTAAATTAAGGTTTTAAATGAAATAAGACATAATTAAGTGGTTGAGGAATAATAAAAGAGGAATGAGTTATTTAAAAATAAAAATAATGCAATGAAAAAAGGTGGGAAAGCGTATTAAGGTTTTACTAATTATTTATTTATTTCCAATCTATTGAGTTATAAAATATACTTCATCCGTTTCATTTTAATAGTAATATTTATTTTTTATATGAATTAAAAATATGTTTAAATTTATTGATTTTTAAAAAATACACTGTAAAATGTGTAAATTACTCTTCTTAAAAGTAAATATAAAAATAAATTATACATAATAAATAGAAATAAAATTAAAAAAATAATTAATAAAATCTCAAAATTTTGAATGAGTATTTAAAGCAAAACAAGATAAATATCTATTTATTACTATTAAAGCAAAACAAAGGAGTAACATTTATCGTATTATTTTTTGTAAAAAAAAAAAACGTGGAAAGCAAGGGGGAAGACAGAGAGATAAAAAAAAAAAAAAGAAAAGAGAAAGGGGAAAAGGACTATGAATTATTTATGTGGATGCATAAATTCTATAAACAAGAAATTTTTGACATGGTATGGTCCCAATTGATGTCGGCCACAGCTTTTCCACTTCTTTTTCTCTCTAATTTTGAAGGTCGTTAGCGTTTAGTGCTTTAATCTAATGGTCCAAATCCCAATCCAATTATCATGTAGTAAAAAAAAAAAAAAAAAATCCATGTTTTTTACTATGATTTGACAACTCCAATGTCTTGAAGTTAACTTGACTAATTAATTCTCTGTTTTTTTTTTCTTTTTACCTCTTTAATAAAATCTTTGTAGGAAAAAAGATTTGAGGTCGTCGGTCTGTTAGCGACTTAACAGAATAAAATCTTGGGTTCATCCACTCCACTCACGTAGCTTTTTCCTCGAAGGTGAATACTCTCATGCATCTATGACTTCAGCATAACGCTTATCTCTGTTCATCTTCAGCACAAGAGTGGCTGCAATTGGAAAATGTTCGCCCTAATTTCCATAATTGCCATAAAGTAATAGAAACGAGAGGGGAACCGACCTGAAATCCAACGAGGACATCCATTTGTGGCACTAACCCAATCATCATTTGCTATTTTGAAATATAGCTTACTAAAGGACAGGCAACGCAAAAATTAGACATATGGGGTTTAATTGGGGGAAGCATGGTGTGACTCCACTAGGTCGAGGATTTGAAATCCACGTGCTTGAATCTGAGTACTCCACCAACTTGTTGGGTTCTTGATGTTGATTGCTAAAATCATTACACTACTATGATTCATCACATTCACATATTATGTTTTTCTTGTCTCCATGATTCACATGATAATTTTGCCGGGGAAATTCATACTCTTTATATGTAGAGGATAAATGCTTAGAAACTTTTATTATTCAATTGGTTTAAAATTTATTTCCAGACTAATTTGAAATATAAAATTGTACTTATATAATTACAACTCTAAAGACGATAAAATATTACAAAAAAAACTATAAAACTCTATCCAGATAAAGAGATTTATTTTAATATTTTAATATTTCATCTCAAAATTATATTTTATTGGTATTTGGAGGTTCGAAACTGCCTCAAATTTAGTCCTACTCCTGTTAAATTTTTTTCATAATAAGGATGGGGAAGAACGGTGTCGAGATAGAATTTCTTTTTTATCTATCGGATTATGGGACGAAAAAGAGCAAAATCTATAAACGTGGCGCCGGGATCGAGGCAGCGGGCATAGCCCGGCCCCCAGTTGCTCGTTGAAGAATGTGAACGCTAATCTCGTTTTGCTTTTCTTTTGGCCAGGGAAAGGGAAAGGGCAAAATAAATACAAGTAAATGACAAAAATTCAGAAAAAGAAATCTTGTTTGATATACATATGGATAAGATTCAATATTAAAATAATTCACACTAAATAACGGTCAAATTTTTAGTCTCGCCTTGGCAGTTATATATACTTTCCTCCTCGGAAATTGGTGTTTAAACTAGAATTAAACATCTTTCCTTTTAAAAGAAAAAAAAAAACAATTTAACTAATTTGTTAAAGAAAGGAAGTTTGACTTAATTTTTTTTTTTAAAAAAAAGTCCTTTCTTTGGAAGAAAGATGACGCCATTGACAGCCTAATTTCAAAGCTCTTATAGAAGAAATTATTATTATTATTATTATTATTATTATTATTATTTTTCTTCGAACATCACTTTCTTGCTTAAAAAATTCAGATGATCCGAAGAGTTATTTTCTATTTTCTAACAGTATGACGCACAAAGAAAAAAAAAGTGTGACAGAAAATTTAATCTAATTAATCCTAATATTCATCTATAAAATATAGAATTATAATCTTAAAATATAAAAAATCAGAGTCCAACCTTAAATAAAACAAATGTTTGTGTTGAACAATACAGTAGAAAGTTTATAAACACATAAGAATGAGCATTGAGTGTGACATGAGATCAAATATACCAAAAAAATAATACCCAAATGAAAGAAGGTAAGTGGGGGTCAGGTAACGATGAACCAACACATTGAAATGATTGTATTAAGTCCAAAAATAAAGGAAATCTATCATTCAAATGGGTTATGTGCATGTATGGTTGTCACAACTTAAGGATCCATCAAATTTTTGGGACACTCAAGTTGTGACTCTTGTTTTTTAATTTGGGGAGGCTGTATCAAGAAAATGCTCTACTCTGGATTACATGTGTCGCATTTCTCTTTGTAAAAGTTGGTGTTTTTGACAGATATGCTCTTGTTCCTTTTTTTGAAGAAAAAAAAAAAAGTCACTTGTTCTTAATTTCTTATACATGCAACAATTTTATATTCTCATGTATATTAATTTTTTTTTATTTTGATATTTCAATGATAAATTTTCAAATTAAGTATCTTAATGATAAAAAGAAACACGATTGAGACATTTAGAAAAACTTTCAGTTCAAACACAAAAATTTTAAAATCTATCTATATTGATATTTCATGATAAATTTCAAATTAAGTTATCTTAATGTATAAAAA